GAACCGCCGACTCCATCGCCACCGGCGCCCATCGCCTCTCGGACGCGCTCCCGCGTCTATACTACTCGCCGACCCTTATCCACGCGTCCCGTCAACTCCGAGCCCGGCCCGTCCTCAAGGGTCTGAGGACCTTAGAGGGGGGGTGATGTTACGCCCTCTTGACGCCCCCTTCCTTTTTCGACTATTCGCGGTCACGTGTGTCACGTGCTTGGTCGCAGCTCTCGTCACGGTGGTCGTGCTAGGGGTGCGGATGTTACAGGGAGGATTCGGATCACCCGTTGTCCAGGTACTTCCGGTACCTGTCGAGACTCACCCATCGTGATCCGTCCGTGACGTTCGCCGCTCTGATGTGTTGCCCGGATGTAGTGTTCCCATTTCCCCTTGACTCGTTAATGACTCGTTTTTATTACTCACGTGTTGTACTATAGTTCCGGAGTCTGGCTCCTTGCTGCGCGTTGATCGCGCAGCCGGTATAGCCTTCGTTTCCTTGTCTACCCCCATCTTTGACTCCGGATGACTCGTATCTATTTCAGCGATTAGTTCGTTTACTACTGCGGATACGCGTCGCGACGCGTCTGTCACGACTGATAGGGTACTCGTACTTAGGGGTATTTAAACCCACGTACTTTACTCTGTATCCTCAGTTTTTCGATAGTCTGCAACTGAGCTAATTACTTCGCTTCAATCCTTGTTCTCTCTCCGTGCGAACAACCTTAGGGACTCGCCAGCAGAAGGAACCTCTGTCGGATTCTCGCGATAACTCAGCCATAGGGGTTACGACAAGTTCGGCCCGTGTCTCCCACCTCGCGCGCTTCGTGCCTATTCCATTTGAAGAAGTCACCGCGCTCGGGCATAACAAATCTCCATGTGTGCAATAGTATGTTGTGCAAATGCTGCAAGATGCCAAGACATGCTGACTCATTCCTCCACATCTAACTGTGTGCTGCCATGTATAGACCCATATATGTTGGCTGTGAAGCCTTTACATGAATCCTATGCAATCCTGGTGTGTGTTGTAGCATCTTGTGCCATTGCCACCAGCTGCCAGTAGTTGCTGTTAAGTTCAGCTCACTCCTTCCATTTTGCTGGTGTGTCCCCAGCCATCCTTGCTGGCTGCCACAATGTCCTGATGAATTCTGGTGCAATCCTGCCCAGTGCCATGGTGCATGGTGCCATTTCCCACAGTTGCTGAGACTTCCAATGAAGAAAGTCATATCTGCCAGCTGCCACTACTTGCCAATACAAGCTGCTGAATCCCAGTTTGTGGCACTGAATGTCAATCTTCTAAGCTATGCTCATTCTGGTAGTATCTGCAGGGGATAGGTGTGCTGGGTATACTGGTAATAAGTGCAGATCTCAACCTAGGCTACTGTGAGTATTAATGCAACAATCAGTTTGTGGCCCACTCATGTGACACTGGATGACATCATCTAGGCTAACTCCTGCCACATGGTGATTACTCACTGTTGGGCTCAATCTCTGCTGGCCCATGAGACATGGCCAATTGTCAGCCTCTGCTGGCCATGCTGTATGGAACAATGTGGGTGCATTATGTGCTTCAGGTGGGGGTGCATGCCCTTCTCCCTGATGCAGCTGTCTGTCCTGTTGGGCCTGACCCTGAGCATTGTCTCACTCCCAACATTGCTCCAGCACTTTGATGGCTTCTTCTCTGGTCATGTTTCCCCCAGCCATTATGAGTTTGACTACACCTTGTAAAGCTTGGAGGGCAAAGTCAGGTCAGTCTTGTCTCTGGGGTTGGTTATCTTCCATGCTTGCAACTCCAGATGCAATTGCTCTGGGCATGAGAAGTGATGCTTCCAATCAACAGAGGGGGATAGCAACTAGGTTGGTGGTATGCTAAAAAAAGGAGTGACTTCAGTTTGTGAAAAAATAACAAAGTGGGGCCCATGCTGTTGTTGGAGATATATTCTCCCCTGTGCTGCACTCACTTTGGTGCGATGTTTAGGTGCTTACATAATCACCTTAGAGCGTACATAGTGATACATTCCCTTCATTATCCCCTCAGTAGTTTCACACCTACTGAGGGTAAGCACTCATTTACTTGGCTAGTATTCTACATACTGACATCCTGTAGTAGCCTACAGGTACAGTAATGCACACAGTAGTTTCACACCTACTGAGGTAGTGGTAGCCTACAGATATTTCTACAGCTGTGGGCTGAGTGCTGATGACAGTGGAGGAAAGAAAAGATGAAGTGCGTCGCAGCACAGCCACTCATGCAAAAACAAAATCATATATTTAAGGGAGAATGAAAAAAAAAAAAAAAAAAAAAAAAAAAAACACCCAATCACCAATACTTAATGACTATTTCATGTATTTCACACATTTTGACTATTTCACTAATTTCACTAAGTAATATAAAACTTCCTCTTTTGTACAACAAAAACCATGTGGCAATGTGGTAATTTTTCTCTTGGCTGTCAGATCTAATCTTTGCTTGACTAACAAAAGCATGGTATCATGTCCACTTTTTTGACTGTCAAGTGACTACTGAAAGTGTAGCAATGTGTTGTGTAGTTAACTGCCTAATAAGTGAAGTGTAGTGTCAGCTTTTTTGACTGTCAAGTGACTACCAAGAGTGTAGCATTGCATTGTGTGGTTAGCTGCCTAATAGGTGCAGGTAGTGTCTGCTTTTTTGACTATCAAGTGACTACCAGAAGTGTAGCATTGGGTTGTGTAGTTAACTGCCTAATAGGTGCAGAGTAGTAATGATTACATTCCAAAGGAGGTGTTGAACACACTAGATCCATCAGGGTTCCCTCTTCATGAGTTGGAGTTGAAGCCTGGTGTTCCCCTCATGCTTCTTTGCAATCTGGATCCTATCCATGGCCTTATAATGGTACTAGGCTGGTCTTGATCAGATCTACCTGTCATATATTGGAGTGCTGTGTGTTGCAGAAAAGGGATGGAGATGCCAACAATGATGTGGTGCTGATTCCTTGCATGGCTTTGGATACCAATCCAGATGACTTCCCAATACCCCTGTGTCACCTGCAGTTCCCTGTTCATCTGGCCTATTCAATGACCATCAATAAATCACAAGGCCAGACAGTCCAACATGTGGGCCTTGACCTCACAACACCTGTGTTTTCTCATGGGCAACTATATGTTACTCTGTCCAGATGTACTCATCCAAGGAACATCAAGGTGCTGCACAGTGGCCAAGGACAGCAAACAAACAAGTCTATGAAGGTAGTGTTCAATGAAGTTTTGAGATGATTGCATGTATAAATGTACTATACTATAGACATGTCTTTTTCAAATTGTATAACTCCTGTCTACCATCAAATTTCTATGACTACAAGAGCTCAACAGCTGAATGGCTTGAAGCATTGTGCAGGCAAATGAGATGAAGCTCTTCCTTTGAAAGCTGAGCTGGCATTTGTTGGTTGGTTGAGGAATGCCAGTGGAATGACCATTGTGTCACAAATCCAGGTTGGCATTGGTTAGTTGAGGAGCAATGCTCCTCAACTGACCAGTGCCAGCAGAATGACCATGTAGGATGCCCCTGGGGCCTCTCGGCCCCAGGGCTAGCAATAGCTAGTTCTATTACTGGTCATACCTCCTATGTACTAGAATCACTACTCATGCCCTTATATGGCAGTCACGTGCAACTGCGACTGCGACTGCGACTGCGGCGTACTCTGAGCCTCCCTAATTACATCGCTTGTCGGCTTGGCGGTCTTGAAGAACAGCCTCGAGATTTATATTTCGATCCTGGGAGTTTTTCTGCGCCTACAGAGTGCCGTTATCCTCCCCGACGTGGATCCGCATGACAAACCGGCTGCCGATGGTTTTTTTGGCTTCTCAGGCGCTCCACTAAAGATGACTTGGAAAACAGGTGCTTCCGCAGTAGCTGAAGTACCTTCATACCATGGTCCTTGCATCCCGTAAGCTGACGAAGCCTGCTCACAGTCGGGAGGGAATGATTATCTTCTGTTGAGTCTTTGGTCTGCGGGGAGATTAAAGCCCACTCGACGTTAACACTACTTTTTCTAATGTTGCAACACACGATCATAACAACCCGACAGCGACTCTCGCATTACACAGCTTGCCGAAATTTGCAATCCACTTTGCAATCCACTGGCACGGCTGACGAACGTTGATATCTCTCGACGAGGCAATGAATGAACATACCGATGGGAGACCGGTAAGTACCTATCGAGTATCCATCCTCAGTCTTCCCGTCAAAGTGTGTCAATAATGTTTACACATGCGCCCCTTCGGGCTTGTTGCGCTCGGAGGGGCCCGGAGGGCTTTTGGTACTTTTATGAGTCGTCTACAGGGTATTACAGGAACTCACGTACTCGTGTGGGCAGTGTAGCGTGGAACAGTTTTGCAAGGTGCGTAGATGCAACGCCGTAAAGTTGTCCATGGGGGATTAGTGATAGATTACAGACATTCGAACAGGCAGTGCAAGCAAGCACCTAACGCATTGAACATTGCGGAGCTACGAAGCCCGTGTTTAGGTGAGAACTCCATACTGATTCATATGCTAAGTTCATGACTCCGGAAGAGTCCTGTGCATCATTGTCACATTAGAATCACTTACAAAGCACGATGGTGTTCAATCTTCAGCAGATGCATACTAGTCTGCGTGCGAGGCTAGTAGTGTCTGGCAGTCAAGATCAAGTCGAGATAACGAACCAAGTGTGACTCGAATGGTTATCAAACAATGCCATTGTTCCGACCAGATGGCTGGCCCTGGCCGGTATCAACGCGGCGGACAAAGCCTCTTCCCAGACCTGGACTAGGATGGGAATCACATACTTGGCTTTGCCATCTCGCCGGAGCTGATCCTTGTGCGTCGCATTGTCAGCTTGTCACCGTAAGATATAATTAACAACGGCGCCGTACCGCTGGGAGGAAAGGACAGAAAATCTCATCAATCTTGACGACGGCACATGCAGCTTGCGCCCTGGCACAAATGGATGGGTAGAGTGCACTCTGCCCTCATGTGTTGCATTAATTATTCAGTTACCGATGATGATCCTCATCTTTCCACCGGCCTGAGAGTACCCCTAGCAGGATAGGAGCACTCACATGTGTCACGAGGTCCTCCCCGGCGTCCAAGTTTCATCCCACTTTCATTAATGTACATACAGGACCGTTACGGATGGCTTACAATGCCATAGCCTCGCCATGTAGGTACATGCCGAACGATGATTCCACGATGGGCGCAGCAACTGATGTGGATCGGAATCCCAAACATGAATATTTGGATATTCGCGGACATCGAAACAAGTTGACAGGTTTTCCAGGTGCAGTGATCCTTGTAAACAAGGCGTTTAGTATGAAGGACCAGCACTTAGCGGATGCCCTTGAGGATTGGCGGGAGGCAAGGACAATTACCGTCTATGATTGGGCAAACATCAATGACCTTAGCCCTTCTCTCATTGTAACCAACCCCACTTTAGACCGCATCCCTGATTCCATGCATCACCACAAAATCCGAACGTGTCGAGGGAAACGGGTCGGGTCAGATACCGACAGTTAGGCGGGCGAAGTCCCCGCAGTCATTCAAAGTTGACGCTGTACTGCTCTCTTTATCATAATTTGCTTTCAAGTCGCTAAGGCCCAACACGGCACTCAGTGTCACCAGACGCAGAGACACCTTCGCCTCTCGCTGCCACCCCGTTGACATCTGGCGAAGGCTCTTAAAGTGATGAGCCCTTACCGGATGTCTGAAGCACCGCATCCAGTATAGTACATGCGGTCAGCGACACCTTCCTCACATAACCCCGCTCACACCCACAGCAGCGGCTTGAAGCGTGAGCCTGTACGGGCGTAGGATGCTGTCAGTGAAACCCGGTGTCTTGCTGCGGCATGACCAAATCTTCAGATCTCACCTTGACTTTGTGGTGTAAAAGTTCAAAGATAACGGCAACCAGAACAATTTTAATGGTAATCCCAGAGATAATAATCATTTCACCGAGCGTCGGAAAAAACTGTGGTACCCTACGCAGTATTACGAGGGATGCTACGTTCACATATATACAAGTCACTCGCATTGCCTCACTCGCCAACCTCTGCCTCCATCATCGCCCTTAGCACTTTTACGTCCAAGCGAGGGATGAAGTCAACCTTACACGGGTAGGGCCGCGAGATAAGCGTGTCAGTGTATGCATCGACGTCAATTGGAGCGTCCGGGCGCTCAACGATGCGGAAGGACCAAAGGAGGGAGGCCATGGTCATGAAAAGCGAATCATTCGCGAGGTACATACCAGGACAAACCCTTATCAAGACGTAAAGTTCGGCATGCCAAGGGAAGATCAGGAAATGAGACGCACCTTCTGCCTTGTCCGTAGGGGTAAAACTTCAAGTCAGTGCGGATTCGACCATTATGATCGAGCCAACGTTGAGGGTTAAACTCGTCTGGTTCAGGGAATACATCGGAGTCTCGGGATATAGCCCTATTAAGCCTTAATAAGCCATCGCGCTCGTGGCAGTTGCGTTTCCTGTATACTAACCAGAGACATCCGTAAATAACAGCGCCGGCAGGTATTAGATACCCGCGCTGAGTACGCGGCAATTAATGTGGAATTCAATGCAACAATTTCAGAAACGCACCCAGATGATGTCCTTGGTGACCCGATGGCCAAAGCCTAATTTCTGGGTTAGATAATACTGCCCTTCACCACGATAGTAAGAACTTGCCATGAGGTATCACCGGCCTCCAGCGTGCCGTTTCTAAAATAAATGCTTGTAGCTGCGGAAGTGAGTCAGCATCGTTCCAATTGGGCGCTGGAAAGAGAAGTAGTGACACGATCAGGTTGGCGTAGTAAGATATGGCTAGAATCACCAACCTTGGTCTCTGCCGACCACTGCATCGATTTCATTTTGGACACAGAGTTGTGCATCAGGATGGCAAGCGGCGGCTACAATCATACTCATGAGACCGACCGCACTCTGGACGACGGTTGCGGTAAGTGCATGTTCGCGTACAATGAAAGGACCTTTACCGTTTCTGAACCAGCGCCGTACATCGACCCCGCGAGATACGCCATCTCATCTCTGGGCATGCTGTCAAGTTCGTGCTCCAATAGTGTCCGCGCAAATGAAGGTCCACAGTCCGTAGTTTCCTGTTAAGTACACCAACTCGATAATTGAAGTCACGTTATGTGATATAGTACTTGCCATTTCCCTCTGTACTCGTGCTAGCTGTTCTCGGAACAATTTAATCTCATAGCGGTGCCACTGTTCTATTTCGCGTCCGTACCAAGGCACGTGCTTGAGAATCGGGACACGATCCACAAGGTATGCCCCCGGACGCATGACTCGCTGGAAGCGTCCAAGAGCTGTATGAACGCCAATGACCTCTGCATCGTCATTAGACGTCGAGGTTGACTTTCCATACGTGACACGAAGAATGACAGAGGCACCATATCTGTGCAACGGCGGTCAGGAAAGACCGCCTTCCGGAAGCAAGATTACTTGCCGGAGTGTATGTGTTTGGTGATTTCCTGGGTCATTCAAGACGTCGAGGACGAACCTCCTGGCGTCTTGCATTTGCATAGGCCTGAACTTGGATATGGATTTGGGCTGCAGGTGAGTACTCATGGCTTTCCTCAGCCGACGGTGTCTTTCATTGTTGTGCTCGAGTACCATGCGTAGTCCCTTGGAAAGCAATTCGCGGGCGGCGATCGAATGAGGGCGATCCGCAGTAGAAGCGCCATTCTTCTCCATGATCTCAGTAACTGCCTAGATGATACAAGATCCAGATGAGATATCTGCACATGCACTGATAATGACACTTACGTCCATGCGACCAACAATGATAGTTACCTGGCGGCCTTGCTGCAAACTGATTACAGGGCCATACTCATTCACCCAATCTGCAAGGGTACGAGCGATACTGCCCAGGAAAAACTTTGTTATAACCCTGCCATATCAATTGTAGCCAGCACGTACTCCGTACGTGGCAAAGGATTCTGCCAGAACCAGCGAGCTGGGGGACCAGGGGGAAGAGGGAGAGAATTCCTGGATGAAGCCCATCGCGTCACCTTGAAGAAGCCCAGTGCTAGAAAGACACCAACGACAGTCAAATGAACAAGTGAGAATGATTCAAACATCGTGCTTGCGAAAAGAGGGCTCAGGGTTACTCCTACTTATAGATTCAGTGAACGCTTCCATCGGCCTATCAATGCGCCGAGCCCAATCGAACAGCTGAATCATGCTTGAAGCGAACCAATCACGCCTGCATTCACGAGAGCACAGCGACCATGATTCATAATGGTGAGTTAAAATGGTGAAGTGTGCGGTGGTGCCACGTCGAATCACGGGTGGCACAGGCCAGAATGATCAGCCGGAGCACGCGCAACTACCCCGACTAATAGGAGCTTGTTTTCTCTGACATAATGCGATCTCCTCGTATTGGAGCGCAAGAACGCAATACATTAGGGCGGCTGTGGTTCGCCAAGGTGCACGGGTAGTTAATATGTACTTTCCGACTAGGCTATTGATGCACGTCAGAAGTTAGATATGAAAACGTTTTTTGCAACGCCTACCGACTTAACTTAAGCCGCAATTTCATACTGGCACAGCAGTCAGCGCGCTAATATAGCCTGTTAGAAAGCTTGCGGGCGACCTTGCCATTTTGGTGAGTTTCATACATGCCAAACTGGTGCGCAATTCAGTTCACCTGTGATGCTCTGTCCATTGCGCCAACGAAGGTGTACCATTTCTCTGCGCTGAAACTAACCTGAAGTGGTCGCGCTCGGTTGTAACAAATCGTAATAACTCACCGGCAGTAAAGTGGCCAGAAAGAGCATATTCCAAATACCTTGCAGTCCCCGTTGATTACTAATCATCACTTCCACCGGCATCATGCATCACGAGTTCTCCGCACTCCGCACCGTTGCCATCGTCGAAGCCGGGTATATTCTCTGCCAGTGAATAAGAAACCTCGGCTTTCGGCTCTCGGCGTCGCCGGCCTATACCCTCGGGTCTTCCAAATGTAGCTATGGTGTGTTAGTGTGGTCTGTGACGGTGGGAGACTCCAGGCAAGTAGTACGCCATTCTAGGTTCCTATCACCACTGCAAAACAAGCATGCTGCTTAGGTCAGTGGCACAGAGTTGTAAATGACATCGGGCAGAACACAAGGCTGACATGGACATACGGAGTTGACAGTCAGCATACTGGCGAAATCAGTCATATTCGTGGTTTTCAGGAAGGAAAGGTGAGGCCTTGGGCACTCCATTGAACTTATATCGGTCGTCACATCAAAGCAATGTATCGTTTACTGATGAAACAAGGTATAGAACGGGAGCAGAGTTAGGTTTGAGAGCTTCCGTATTCGATCGTCAATTTCACAGCTTGCATATTGTTACACGACACTCTTCGGTCTTCTTGGGTAAAACTGGTGCTATGCCTCCTGATACCATATCTTAAGACCATATGCTTTGAATGGGTGCCCTCAGCCCCAGTGGAGTTCACAGTTTTGTGATCAACGACAACAGGTGATGGTATTTCCGGACGTTCATTGGAGCTATGCTACCGGAACGAGAAGGCTCGACGGAGCGTATGAAGACGAATGAAGGAGTGGAGAGGCACCGCAGCAGATATTCTGGGCGGCTGCATTCATATTGCCGACAACGACAACCCTTCCTTGCTATTATCAATAGCCAGTATTCAGTGTCGTGTGTATCGGAGTGTGCACGAGGAGGTAAGATGGATATAACTCGTCTGTGCGGTAATAGCGGTCCCCTGGATACATGGAAGGCAGGTGAGTTTCCAGAGGCATCGATGCATATTACCAATACCTCAGTGACGTGGCAAGCGACGTATTTACTATGCATTCTTGAACCCCAGTTTGTTCACGCAGCTACCACCGAACAACGGGCGGTGTAGCCAAGGTGGCCCAAATCGTGGAGGTTGGCTATACATTTGGCAATGGTTGGGTTAAAATCAGGTGTGTCTGTAACGAGGACCGTCGTCTGAGACATCTTTAGTCAGTTGGTTCCCCAGCCCGCGCGATCTTCTATCAGGATCTTTACCTTCAGTTCGCGGCAGAAGCCAAAAGGTGCGTCTCGATGCCGTTTCTTGGTTTTATTGTCTGATGACTGCTCTCTTAAAACTACTGGCCTTCAGAATTTAGAATGTTCCACTCTCACAGTTTTGCATCGCTCAGCTGCACGACTGCAGTCAATGGCGTGCTGTTTGCCAGCTCACTCTCCATCGTCTTGGAGATCCTACGTGCCAATGAATCTTTCCATGTTGGTAGACCTTGGTGAGAGGTGGCGGCTGTCTGGCCCCCAACGTTTACGGCTGCAAAGAATTGGGGCTCGAGAAGGTTTTGCTAACCGTATATGAAGGCAAAATTTTTCTCTGACCTTCCGTGTCCTCTTGTTCCTTTGCCGACCTTGTTCCATGGTGTCCTTCGCTATGTTGTTCTGTTTGGGCACGGTCCTGAGCTTGTCCCATCGCGTATTTAGTTTAGGTTCCCTGTGTTCTGCCCCCCTCAATGGTGGAACAGCAGCTCCCGGCGACCCTTACTGGCTTGAAACCATCAAACACCAAGGAACCTCTGCGTTCAATCCGAACCCAAGCTCGTACCAAGTTTTCCGCAATGTCAAAGACTTTGGCGCCACGGGTAACGGTGTTACTGACGACACTGCCGCAATCAAGTGGGTTACATTCAAACACTTCGTTGTTGGACATATCTCAAGTAAGTTTAGCGCAGCAATGTCTTCAGGAGGACGCTGCGGTGGAGGTACCTGTCCTTCATCTACGTATGTATGCCCGTCATCTTGTTTACATATGATAGTAAGCCAGCTATCCCCAGCGTTACCCCGGCTATCGTCTACTTTCCGCAAGGGTGAGTTTCTGATTGGCTTATTTCGCTATTATTTCGACCATTGCGTAGAACATACTTGGTTTCTTCAGCAATCAACACGTATTACTATACTCAGATGATTGGTGATGCGAGGAACCCACCGACTCTCCTGGCATCCCCCAATTTCTCCGGGTTTGCTGTCATAGGTAAGTAGGCGGCTCTTGATCTTCCGTAGCATGCATTGACGAACATTCGTACTTTAGACGCTGATCCTTATATTCCCAACGGCTACGGCGCTCAGTGGTTCGTCAATCAAGATAACTTGTAAGAGCTGTGCACTGCTGTCTCCGACTTTCCCAAGTACTTAACGTACTTAAGCTATCGTTCGGTGCGGAACTTGATCATCGATTTACGGCAGATTCCCGCTTCGACATCTGCTATCGGCCTGCACTGGCAAGTGTCGCAAGCTACGTCTCTAATTAATGTCGTTGTAGAAATGTCGACCGCCTCAGGCAACAACCATCAAGGTTAGCCCTAATATAGTACTTGATCGCAAAGTAATGAACTGACTTGTTAGGCATGTTTATGGAAAATGGGAGGTAAGATTTCTGATATTCCGCACGATTGTGGTACATAACCAGTGTCATCGTCTTTAAAGTGGTGGTTTTATGGGAGGTGTGTTGTTCATCATTTTTGTGATACCACCACTCTCAAGCACCGGTCGCAGATATTGTTTTTAATGGAGGTAGCACCTTCCTCTTTTCCATGTAGAAATACCTCATTATGACCCTAATAGGAAAATACGGCATTCAAGTTGGAAACCAGCAATTTACCATCCGGAACTTGACAGTCAATAACGCCAACATAGGTAATGCGGGCGGTAGCTTCGATGGCACGGCACTGATGAATCACTCTACTAGCTGTATCCGGTATCTGGAATTGGGGTTAGTCATTATATGCAACGTCAGATAGAGTTTGCTTAAAGTTCTATCCAGGCTTTACGTTTCAGGGAGTTACCATCAATAATTGTCAGGTAGGAGTCCCCCACAATGAAGCGGTGCAGCACAGCTGACAATCCATATCAGGTTGGCTTCGACTTGGCTACGGGCGGTACTAACCAATCGACCCAAGTCCGTAGTTCCTCGAGTAATATGCTGTATGCGCTAAAGAAACACCCAGTCTGTCGGTTCTGAGGCTATTATCGATGCTGTAGTAACAAATACTCCCATTTTCGTTCGCACATCCACTGCAAGTAATGGGAAATTGGGAGGCTCACTCGTTTTGAATAACATAAAACTGAACAACGTTCCCATTGCAGTAGGGGTCAATAACGGTCCCACAGTGCTTACCGGTGGTACTGTCACGATTACATCTTGGGGACAAGGGAACGTTTTCACTGGAACCAGTGGCACGCCGACCTTTACGCAGGGAAACATCGTGTCGGCTAACAAGCCATCATCGCTTCTGGATAGCTCCGGTAAAATATTTGGCAAATCCCACCCTCAGTATGCAAACTACGCAGCAAGCCAGTTCATCAGCGTCAAGAGTCAGGGTGCCGCTGGCGACGGCCATACGGATGACACAGCAGCGATTCAGAATGTTATCAATCAGGCAAGTGATACTGTTCAGGCAGTGTCGTGGGAAGGGAAGATGTCGCTGATCATGCTGCGTACAGTATGCTGGATGCATGATTATCTTTTTCGACGCGGGCACCTACTATGTTACGAATACCATCGCCATCCCAGCGGGTACACAAATCGTTGGCGAGGCGTGGTCCGTGATCCTTGCAGGTGGAAGTGCATTTCAAAATCAGAACAGTCCGAAGGTCGCCATCCAAGCTGGCACTGCCGGCTCCACTGGCTTGATGGAGATCAGTGATATGATCTTATCCACTGCAGGACCCGGTGAGTCAAGTTTGCATAATTCAAATCGCAGTTTAACCATAGAAATCTTAGCCCCTGGTGCCATTTTGCTCGAATGGAACGTCCACGACCCATCCGGACAGCAAGGAGCTGCGGGACTCTGGGACACTCACATTAGGTACGCACCACTCCCGTTCGACCATGCAGTGGCTAATGTATAGCATAAAGACTTGGAGGAGGTAGGCATTGTGATACAGGAGGGATCTCTATTGACGAGCGCCATGCACAGCTGCGGGAACCAATATGCAGGCCAGTCAATGTCCGTCTGGATCAGTGAACACTAATTGCCAGGCGGCCTTCCTCGGCATACACCTCACATCGGGGTCTAGCGCATATTTTGAGGTGCGAACTTCAGCTGGCATTCTTGGAGTTTACTGCAAATTTGGCTTGTAGGGTACATGGGTATGGACTGCTGACCACGACCTGGATGCTGGCAACTCAGCACAGATCAGTGTATTCACTGGGCGCGGCGTCCTCTCTCAATCTGCTGGCCCTGTTTGGTTAATCGGAACTGCCTGTAAGTATGATTCCTCTGGAACATGTCAGCCAAACTCTGACGACTCCTTAGCGGAGCACGCTGCGCTTTACCAATACAACTTGGCTAGTGCACAGAACCACTGGATTGGGTTTGTGCAAACTGAGACAGTGAGCTTGGCGTTCTCTTTGCAATGTCCTCGATGAACTTGCCACCTATAGCCTTACTATCAACCTGTTCCCGCTGCCCCAGCGCCCTACAGCAGCACGTCCGTTTACAGTGATCCATCGTTTTCCAGCAACATCAACATGGCATGGGGCATGTGGGTGCAAAACTCATACAATATCATCTTATTTGGTATGCGCCACTTGGTTCCCACACACCTCTAGCTAACACGGGTTTCAGGCACTGGCTTTTATAGCTTTTTCCAAGTACGTCCAGAGTTTACCTTGATTCAACTGGGAAAGCTCACCGGATGGTAGAATTACGCGCAAAGTTGCTTGAACACGTGGAGTTGTCAATCCCAGATTTTCAACGTTGATTCAAGTTCGACTATTACAGTTTACAGTCTCTCAACCGTTGGCACGACATATCAACTCAGCGTGTCGCAAAACGGGATCGTGAATGAGAGTAGTAACCAGGACGGCTTCCAGGAAACACTCACAGTTTGGAGTCAATGAAATATCAACATCCGATAAGTAGTTACACGATGCACTGTCAATCTACTATGGCAATCACGACTGTAGAACCACTAGAAGCACTCATACTCTTGTACTTTGTGTTAATCACTCAAGCCTAATAGATAGAGGTCTATGAGAGCTAAGTTCGATTTCGGGCATAGCAGACCAGGAGAAAAGTGATCTATGTGAGGCTGAGCAGTTGCATGCGCTCTTCCCTTGCGGCATATAGGATGACGAAACGGTGTCCATCAGCCTTGCGCTTCGCCACTGCCTCCCGAACTTGATGGGAGTAGGCACTTTGGAGACTGGGCATAGAGGCCACGATGGCTTTCCATGCTTCATCATCATGAATCCAGTTAGAGTTCCTCACTAAGCCATCGAAAACTGCGGTGGGCACGTCGACAACAATTGTGGAGATGCCGCTTTGGACGGCGTCACTCAACTCAGTACTCTTTTCATACGCTGCAGTGCAAGTGAGCAGACCTGCTCAGCTGAAAACTTTCATAATTTGGCTTACCTTTATCAAGTAATATTCTAACATGCTTGCGCTGCTTCTTTGTGTCAACTGGTAGGACGAGGTGAACATCACTTCCACTGGACGTTCCTCCAGACAATGAAGTGTGCAGGATATCAGGATAGCTAGTAGCTCCCGACGTTGAGGAATCAATGCGCTTCTGTTCTGCGATCTGTTGCTGGAGCCAGCCAACCAAATCCTGTCTCGAGACTGAAGCCGACGCTGAGTGTGCAACAGGAGTCCAGAGAAAATTGCGTACCCTCGTATTCCGTACCCTTCAAAATACTCTTCACTTTGAAAGCAGTTTGGTCTCGACGACCGCTTCGAGATCGAATGTATACCGCGAACCTACGTCGGTTCAGTAAAGATACGAGCTTTAAAACAATAGTAAACTCACAGGATCCCTTCTCGTGAGCAAAGATCATTGTGACTCTCGTGATCCACATCTGCGAGGTTTGCTTCATACATAATATCAGCGCTTATATTGTTCTGCCACAGAAGTGCGGCAACTTCCAGTCTGTCTTGCAAGTAACCTGGCTGAAACGAGAGGACATAGACGTCGCATCTGCGTGGACTCCAAAAACCGAAAGATCTTTGCTCCTTAACTAAGGCCTTCACCGATGTACTCTGATACGCGGCTAAAGCGACTGTTATCTTCTCCAGTGCGATCTGGACAGCAAAAGCACAGATTTGCTCTGACTTGGATTTCGGAGCGGCATACTGCTTGATGAGATTGTCATATCTAAAGACAAGGACTCAAAAAAGCATTGCGTTGGGGAGAGACTCCACGCACCTCCCTGCTGCTGCAAGGACGTCTAGTCTTCTGGTGCGTCGTACAACTTCCAGCCGGAACCCTTCTTTGAAGTGCATATGGTGCGTACCCCACATCAGCGGATGGAAGTAGATTGGCTCGTTGAACCCTGCCGCTGACGCATATCGAATGCATTCCTTGATTTCCTCTGCAGCAGGTTTCATCATAGTCATCAGGGACGGCGCAACTTTCCCGAGCTTTGCAAGTAACCCATCGATATCTTCGTCTGCGTTGTATCCGTGAGCACACCACCGTCACTCCACAGGGTACGAAGTGACTGACCTATTTCAGCAAGAATCTCCAATTCGTCGGCAGTGCTTCGCAAGAGACCTTTCTTTAACAGTGAGGCGCGTTTTTGAGAAGCCGAAGATTTCGATTGGTTGATGATATCAATCACTGAAGCGCGCAATTCTTCTGGAATACGACTCAATGCGAGTTCAACAACTGCACATAAGTCAGCCATATATCTATAGGAGACTAAGAAGAAATTCAATACTTCTCGAGTGTGAAATGTGAATTTCATAAGTCTGCGTAAGGTTCGGGAAGCTATAAAGGCAATCATTGAGTAACATGATTAACTCTGCACCACCTGCAACGATGCCGCTTGAAATATCTGGCGTAATAATGTCGAGCACAGCGGCTTTCGTAACTCTGGGATGACCAGGCACGGCGCTACCCGAGACACGTCAGAAGTGGATATTTAGAGGGAGACATAGTACTTACCTAGGGCGGTAGATGTTAGTAATATGAAACCGCTTAATCCTCTGAACGTTGTTACGAGCAGCCAACCTTGCAAACGGAACAAGAGCATTGTTGGGTAGACAAACGACTTCACCATGCCGGTCAACATAAGCAGCCTGCGATTGGCTATCTTCTGGACCAGTCGACGGCACCAGAAGCAGAGGTTCCATGTCAACAGCTCCATGCAGGCGGAAGATAGATGACAGCTTGTCTTGCACAATGGTATTCAGGTGGGCATGTTCGGGAATCTCAGCTTCAAGGTCGTAAAGGTAGCTTCTGACCTGATCTCCTGGCTGGTTGAACAACGTAGATAGAACCCCTTGGTAGTAGGGTGAATCTTTCTTTGCTGAAAGATACCATTTAAGTCACAGACAAATTTCAAGCATGGACACATACACATCATCCTCAATGCACCCTTGAAATACTCGTCTTCCATTCTTGGAGGCAGAAGCGAACTCTGGGTGAGTTCCAGAGCAGTGGGCCGTTCTGCAGGGTCATGACGCAGAAGCCACGAGATAACTGGGTGCCATTAGCCAACCGCCGCACCAAAACGAACAGGGAAACTTACTCTGCTTTTGGCGCGCTCTATGTTGGTCCCATTCCCGTGGAAAGTACACTTCGGGCTTTCTTAGATCCTCAATGACCGCGATACGCTCAGAACCTGTACTGAACATGTAGTTCATCTCGAAGAATACAATCTGAAAACCCGCTGAGAAAGCAAGCAGAACGGGCATGACGTCTGTAACTCACTCCCAAACTGTACATGTCGGCTTTGTTGTGGTTGCGGGGTCCCCTTTTCCGAGACAATACCTCAGGTGCGATATATAACTTGGTTCCCACCTCTGTAAACGAGAATTCAGCGGGAGGTGCAACATAAGAAGGTTCAAGTACTACCAAGGGTAAAGTCAGAATCCGAGTGCGCTATCTGAGGCGACAAGTCCGAAGGATCCACAGCTGCAAGGCTAGAAGTGGCAAGCCCGAAATCACCAACTAAAGAAGATGTGAGACGCCGTATGCAGCACCAAATGAAGCTCCCGACCTTTGCAGTCGCCCTTGCCATCTGAGACAAACGACCTCAATAGCCAGAAAGGAAAATACAACGGACCCCTCTCACCAATGAAGATATTCGTTAGCTTGATATCTCTGTGCAACTGCACACCGTAACGTCAGTACACAATGTGGTGAGGAGGGAAGATTATTACGATGCCCATGCTTCCCATGTGTACTAGGGCCTCCAAAATTTGATAGAAAAGGCGCCATGCTTCTTCCTCAGACAAACCTTCTGCAACCCGCTATGAAAAGAACATACTCAACAATGACCAAATAAGACGCGTGAATCCAGCATACCTCCTTCAGTGTCTGACGCTCCACAAATTCCTGACGATTTGCATAAGCTAGAGATAATCGGCGGGAACTATACCAAGGCAAACCATCTGAATGTACAAAGTCCGAGGCACCACCGGTGTAGTAGGCATCACAACGTCCACATCGTCGGAGTATTCCGAAACGAAGAGATTAGCAAACGCATCATCACTATCTTCATCTTCTTCGTCCTTCTCGTCATTCACCTCTGACCGCGTAAAGTGGATACTCGGAAACGACGACCGACTACCCGAACCATAGTCGTCCAGATCGTCCAGATCGATGCTGAACGGGTCTGAATGTTCACCCCTCCTCTCGAACGAATTCGGGACGGAGGTTCGTCCACCTTCGGTCCCCGAACCAGTGCCCGAATCGTCCTCAGAAGATGGAGCTGTGGAATCTGGTTGAGCGGTTTCGACCCAAGTCGTGTAATAGCGCACGATAAATCGATGCGAGAGCTTGCTAAGTGCATTAACTTCGCGGAAGATTTTCGTGTCGCTCTGGTCAGTGCGAAGCCGAATCTTCTTGACTTAGGATGCTCCATCATTGAAAGGTTCGTCTTTCCTACAAACAATCCCAACTCACCTGCATATATGCGATTGTCAATCTTATTACGTGCTTTCACAACCGACCCAAACGCCCCTCGTCCCTAGCAGAAAGTACCATGAGGTTGATAGAAGTTCAAATGGGTCAAATTCTGTTACCAAGAGTTCAAGTTCCTCCCAGTCCTCTTTCCACCTACTGGCTTGTCTCGTCCTTGGGGGTGCACGGAAGTAATCCTTCTCCGGCGACGTCCCGTAAATGCTACCGTTAGCCAAGGGGGTTCTCGGCCCAACCGGAATCGTCGGTGAATGTATCGTCGTGGGAGAGTTCGTCGACAGAGATGCGAGGTCGGCCAACAAGCTCAAACATGTCACGCTGCTCTTCTTGCTGGTGGACATCATATTCAGGGCACACGTTTTCAGAATTGGAGACACTGATGCTGAAGTGGATCATCAGATGAAGTACAAACAAAAAGAGTGGGGGGGAGCTTTCCTGCTTGCGCGGCCTCTCGTGGATTACGGAATCGAAACATGACGTCTAAACCGTGCAACATCTGTAACAATATCACTCCGACGTTGTGGATATCGCGACCCTTGGTGTACGACAATGGAGACTCGAGGACATCTTTCGAGAGCCTTGAATTCGCGGTTATTAACCGTATGCAAAGCAGGATAGAAGCGTCTCACCAAGCCTCAGGCAAGTCGGGTTCATCATTGGCTAAGACCAAACCAGTGCAGAAAGGATTCGACCGATGGAGATCCTTCAAGCGTGCATAATATCCGACTTTGCCCACCTTGACGAGCTTAGCACCCAAGCGATTTTCTCGAGTGGCTAAAAATACGCAGCACGTGTTCAATCCTGAAAACGGTAAAGCGATGTTTCCGACAAAATGAATGTGGCTCACCTCTGTGTACTAGATCATGGGAATGCACGGCGTTCAGCGCCGAAAGAATTTGGCCAAGATAGTCCTAAGAAATAGGAGTTGATACGAGAAACTACAATGAAAGACAATTGGCACGCTACCGAAGCTCTGTCTTCCCGCAGGCAATGGCAATCCTCGAGGACATCTTGCAGAGTGAGTGACGGACGTTGTTCAGAAAGAACGGCAAGCAGTGGAGGGCCGGTATGAGGAAAAGATAACTTGACGGCCAACACGCTTAACAAGTTCGGGTGATTGACATTCATCAAACGCTGGATTTCTGCCTCGAGTTGCGCAAGCTTCTTCCTCCCTGAAATATTGCATTCAGCCGGGTGAATGATTTCATGAAGGACAGTATTCAATTACCTTGAGTAGACGTGTAGTATTCTGAATTGAACTCGACCGCGTGCACCTCCAAGGGAAGGGTAGCATGAACGTCGTCGCATAAGGGATCCGCCAGATAGGTGATACCCAAACACTCTGAAGGCCCGTGCTTAATTTATCGCCCGCCTTGCTTACACACGAACGCACCTCGTCGAGGATGAAACATCTTAACAGCGTTGAAGCGTATCCCACGAAACTCGACTTCAGAAGGGAACGATTCCGTCAAAGTGTCACCGGCAGAAGGAACCTCCGTAGCGTCTGATTGTGCTCTCCGTCGAGCAGCCTTGTATTGCATTTCTTTAGCCAAAAGATGCTTCTGAGAATCTGCCTGAATCTTCTCTTGAAGTTGTGCGGCAAGCTGGGCTGCCAGTGCTGATTGGCGTTCTGCTTCCGCCTCTTCTTTCTGGCGGCGTTCCTGTTCAACGTTGTGATCAGAAGGAAATTCATGCAACGGGTGCGCAGCACGTACCTGCTCTTCCTGAGTGGCACGTTTCGTCATCTCAGTAGCAAGGGATCCAGATGGCTCGCTTGGGGGTTTGATACGCTCTGCTATCCATTCTTGGGCTGTCGTGATGATCTAGACGTCAGCGAGACAGTCATTAGCAAAGTACAACACGTTAGCATAAAAGAAAGCAAACCTGAAAGACCATTTCCGACCCTCGAAGTCTCTGGGCTTCAGCATGGATGACCTTTGGCAACGCAGCTTCCACATCGGGAGTAATGCCGCGCATCGGTTTCTGGACACTAAAGATAGGTGTGGCAAGTGTGGGGTATGTCTTTGGGAATCTAACAGCTGGGTCGGTGACATCGGCGAAGACCTATTGTCAGTTGCTTACTTGATATGAAGATGAAAGAAAACTTTGGATGCATGGTAAGGGTCGGGGTGCACGACTTTGATGATGAATTCTGGGAGCCTGGCAGCTGCCTAACGGTACAGTGAGGACGATCACCTCGTCGTCATCAGATCTGATTGGAAGAAACGCGCGCAGATATACCTTCCAAGCTTTTGGTGGGGGTGGTTCGAAGAAATCCTGGTCATAAATCGATTTTAAGGCGGTGATTTCGAGTTGTTGCAGTTCTTCTGTGGTTTCCATCTTGCTCTTCGAACGATGTCGATCCTGAGAAGCAGTCTCGCAATGAATCAAGCCAGTGTGAACATCATTGAGGGCCAATTGGACCCCAGCAGCTCACGCAGACATCCGCCTTTGTTCAGAGTGTGTAGGGAAATAATATCAAGTTATAGTGAGATCGCCGATCACTCGAGTCAGCCAGTACCCAGAAACCTCAAAGATGTTTGTAGCCGTTTGCCAATCATTCGTAACCAACTAATATTATTGACCTCCTTTGAGTTATACGTCCTAGCCCGTGTTACATCTTGGTTACATCTATCCAGAAACCCCAAGTTCTACCAGAGATACATATTTACGAGCAAGTAGCCGCATACGCGCGATAAACGGACATCCCCTCATTCCCAGCTCTGAACGAAACGCTGACGTTCGCTCCAATAAACACTGCATTTCCCGTAGACAACGCCAGATCACCACCCTCATTTTCCGATATGACTGAGCCAGATCCTCCAGTGATGATTGCGATTGAAGCACTGTCGAAATTAGGATGTCTTTCGGTACCGTTTTCTGGGATTTTCACGGCAAGCACTCTGAAATCAAGTACGGGTGGAATATAAGCGGTGGTGTACGTGCTTCCCGGGAGAGGCTTGGGTTGGACCATATGACTATCTGCCTTAGCAGCGTTGTATGTGAGTGACTCGATGAGATTTGGGACGTCCTTAGGTTTGGGAGTAAGACCAGCCCTGATCACGTTATCCGAATTCGCCATGCACTCTATGATGTCTTGAGAAGCACCAAAGATGAGCACTTGTACATGAGGATATAAACATGAAGTACCTCCAGAAACATAGGCATGCGGCTCTCCCGCGCCGAGGAATATTGCCTCCCCCGGTTGCAAATCGACCAGGTTGAGCATAAAAGCACAGAAAATGCCGACATCACCGGGATGTTGCGAATTCAGAGCCAGAACAAGATCCCTGACGCCGTGCTCGATTCCCGTCTCTCGACCCTCCAGGTAGCGACTGACGAGTTTTGAAATCTCCTCTTTTACCCGGTCCGCGTCGGCAGTCATGATACCAGTGAAAAAGTCCCTCAGAGCGGCCCTTTCATCCTGCTCCGAAGCGCCTTCGAAACGACGCACAACTTCGTCCGGAGCAATAGCTCTGAATTCTGGGACAGCGGCAAGGTATGCCTTGATTTCAGGAGCGGGTGAAAATCCACAGAGTCCGTGGAAAGGCGTCAAGGCAATGGCTATCTCAGGTTTATGATTCGGGTCTAGCGGTTCGAATGAGATAATTGGAGAACGAACTTAGAACTAAGTATGCTCGCCGGTGTAGACACTAGGCTGTTGAGCATGCAATTTCTCCGCTGTTTTCTTGTCTGGATGCACTTGAATGCTCAACGCCTTCCCAATCGAGAGTACCTTCAAGAGGAAAGGAAGGTTTCCGCCGGTGGTGTCGAACACCGAGGACACACCACCCATCAGTTCCGGGTGCCCGGCAAGGAAGTCCCTCAGCGTCACACCAAGACCGGGAACCCCTGAAGGAGACTTGACATGCGTGCCCATCCATAACTGGGTCGTAAAGTTAGATGTAGCGACAATGCAGCGAGTCGGCTACCCACCTCTGCATAAGGAATTGACTGGCTCAGTGCAAAACCAGGCACTGCCGATTCGGCGAGTTGAGCGACTTTGGAAGACTTTCCCATTTTGCCCCAGCCATATTGTTGAATTGTGGGTACGATCAGAAAGACGGGGCTGGTCGTGGACATTGTAGACGTGGCCGAATGGTTTGATGTCGACGGCGGCGCTGACAGTGCGGAGGAAAGACGGGGGTCATCTTGACGTCATGTCATCACCAGCACTCCCCCTGTGAATGGCTGCCTTTGAAGCTCTCGAAGGTGGATCGGGCATTTCGAGTATCTGGGGATAAGGCCTAGGGTTCAACCGACATACTAAATTTATTGAACGTAACTTGCTGTTCTATCGGTCCATCCTACCAAGACCATCCAATCCTGTAATACTGATATTCTACTACATCAGAGCTCTTCTTCGCGTCACCGCCCCTGTATGCTTCGCAAAGTATAGTGTCCCTTGAGAGTATCACAAGTTCCGGGTGTCCCTCTTGCGGTATATCGTCCGTCCACCGAAAAGCAGTCTCGATACTACTAGACTCTAACGAGTGCGTTGGTCTGAGGGGTATCACTAAGTGGAAGATAGGGAGGGAGTCGGGTTCAGAGGGACAGCCTGCTGATGAGCTCGGGCGACGCAAAAGCCGCTCCAGACACTTTTTGATCCAGGTAGCGTGTTCTGTCTCGTACACGATATCTGCGCCGAGGATAACGTCAAATGGCTCGGAGAGAAGGTCGGGGACCGAAGACATGGCCGGGAACTTTGACCAGTCGAGGAAGTGACTGGCGATGGTTATAGCACCATCACTCAGGTTTCCAGGGAAGTTTTTATCGATGTTCGCCTTGAGATTCTGCAAGACCGACGGGTAAAAGTCCGTTGCTACGATGGTCGCCCTGCGATTCTTCCCAGCCGAGGACGCAACAAGGACTTTGGTGGCGGTCAACCCAACCAGCCCAGTTCCAGCACCCAGTTCGAGTACGCGGAAAGGACGTTCGCCGCCAGTACAATCTATTCCAATGCGAAAACCGAGACCAAATTGTTCTGAGTGCTCGACGATCATCTCCGCCAATACACACGCTCCACCCCATGTCTGGGCTCCAACACTCCCATAATCCTGATTCTCTATGGGGATATCCATCACACGTACGTCTATCCTCCCTATTTCGTCCGAACCAAAAGAAAAAATGCGTTCTACAGTCCCAGCTGCAGCAACGCCAGCACATATAGCCAGGAGAGAAGCAGCTTGTTGAATTAAAATTTCAGGATGTATGGGTCCATGAAAAGCAGACGTCGACTCTAATTGGGTGTCGTCGATCGATGCCTGTAAATCCTCCATTCGAGCTACTAATGCAGTGAGCCATCGTATCGCATACGAGCGTTCGAAGGTATCTGATCGGATTAACTGGATATGATTATCGTCGTCGCCGAAACGCCACTTGGCATCGATAGCCGACACGTCTTGATTGCACGTAGGGTTGGAGCGTATCCTTCGAGAACCTCGCACCTCGGGGTTGTACAGGAGTCTGAGGTACACCAGGGCATCAAGCAACTGCGTCGAGGTATAAGTTGCGGTCTTCGCAATCGACGGGAGGTAAGAAGTGGGCGGTTGGATTATAACCATGCAGCGTATTAGTGGCCGTGTGTAGCTGTTAGCAGACTGTCACATATCACATGTCACATGTAACGGACAAGCAGTCGTCCTGTGGTGTTACGTAATACTTGAGCCTCCGCAGCGTCTATAGACAAGCCATCATCGAGGCCACCAAAGATGAACTTCAGCCAGCAATCGTACACCCCGTCCAGCTCACAGGCATCCATAGGGTTGACATACACCATTCCCTCGCTACCATCCAACTATTCCATCGCCCCCTTCTTATCCCAGGAATCCTCGACGAGCATCACGGACCAAAATTCACCCGAAGCATTCAGGCAGAATATCCAGATCGCCCTTGACCACGTCGCCAGAGTCGACGCGTTTGCTCGCAGTGCCTTGAACGGAATGTAAGTCTGTGTTCGTAAAGATGTACTGAAGTAACGCCTCGCCTCCTGACCAACTCGGATCAGCCAGAACGCATACCAGGCAGGAAGCAGCCCAGCGCAAACGGAAGGTGCGGTAACAGTTCGCTACGAGTACTCGATTGATGATGTTGCCATCTACAGCGGACCTGGTCGCTCTCGACCAAACTTTACTTATGCTTGCGGACTTCTTCAAGACCACAGGGCTTGGGGCCTTTCCGCTCCCGCCTTCCGATCCAGGCGCCGCATCTGGTCCTCCGACTGAGCAGCACCTCATCGCAGAGATGAATGGAGAAGTTCAGTCTCTTTATGAGAAACTCAAACGTATACAGGAAAGTAGCGGTGTCGTTGCGCAACACCTTTCTGCCCTGGATACGAGGCCGAAACCTTGATGCGATGCAACCTTGTCTTACTATCAAGCAGGTCATCAGGCTTGCTCCTCCATCTGCTTTTACGCTCAGAAGTGAGACTGCAGGCGTATCGGGAGAAAAGCCGCCCAATATGTAGCATCAAACATTCCGGGTCCTTTCCATAGTTTCCAATTGATGCCCTGAGATCTCTAGAACGAAATCAATCATTCAGAGTGCATCGAAGACTTTGTCACGCCTTCACAGGCTCGAAGTTTCACTACCTGGTCAAAACTTGGGATCCATTGATCCGCTTACAAGTAATCTGGCATTCGTACTTCTCCAGAAGTAACGAGGAATAAACCGCCGATTTTAGCAGAACTTGAATAAAATGATATTCCGGACAGTATAGAACTTGTGTTTCTAACGTGTGGCTGAACAAGTGTCGACCATCGATTGGAGCGGAGCCTGAAGTTGCAGAGTATTGACACGGAACATCATCTGGCAGCAGCACGGGGAATACCTGTGAGAGGCGAATGGAAGCTTATCAGAGTAATGAGCTATTGAGAGATTCTGAGTAGTACATACGAGATCGTCACCTATATGCAGTTGCAATGAACGAATGTTCTAATAACTTCTCAGTCCGATCCTAGTCCAAAGGATCCAACATTAACTACTGGGGCATTGGTCCTTGCGCATGTCTCGCCCAGCACCATCCGCTAGACGCCTAGAACCTGCAGAGGACGAACCACTTGAAATGTCGTTACCGTCAACGCAACAAGCATCCCTGGAACTAGAAGCTCCGCACTTCCAGGCGTCGCTCTTGCTTCAGGTTCTGCCGTACAGCAACCTCAATAACGACGTTGAGGGAGGAGATGTTGTCGCTTATACCGCCTATTCTGTGATACGCCGAGCAAGACTGCGCGGCTCAAATAAAGGAATAGCAGTGAAGACCAGCTTGTCAATAGACGTCACTGCAATCCAGGTCAAGGCCATTAAAAGCACATGTATAGCTTTGCTTACCAGCCCACAGCGTACTCTCTATGAAATAGACATCTGGTCCCAACTTCAACACGAGAACATCATTCCGTTGCTGGGAATAACAACCAACTTCAACAACACGGTATCAATGGTGACAGAGTGGATGGAAGGAGGCAACGCACATGAGTATGCACAAGACGAGGCTGTGGATCCCGGTCCACTGGTATGTCAACGTTAATATCAATCACGCTTGACAATGACATAGTGCCACAGCTGTTGGATATCGCCAGTGGATTGTGTTACCTGCATAGCCTTCATATAGCGCATGGTGATATGAAAGGGGTGCGTCCTAGTCGTGCTAGCGTATGGTTTGAATGACAGGTGCAACGATTTCCAGCCGAATGTGCTAATTTCTGAAGCAAGGAGAGCTCTGATAACCGACTTCGGGTTTTCGCGCCTGACCAATCCGCCACCTAGCCTTCAAGTCGACCCACCTTGTGGTGGCTCGTTACCATGGATGGCTCCCGAGAGACTGAATACACCTACCCCTAGCAGCACTCAAGCTGACGTCTGGGCATTTGGGATGACAGTGCTAGTAAGCATCTGTCCATCATGCACACTGGAAGTTTAGTACTCACAATTATTGTATATGTGTTGTCTTATGTAGGAACTGTTTTCACGAAAGAATCCCTTTCACGAGGTACGCACGAAATGGGGTGTCATGTCGCGTATTGTAGAAGGTCGCCTGCCAGATCGTCCAAGCGACGAATCGACTAGTTTTCGTCTGTGCGACAGCTGGTGGAACATATGCTTAGAATGCTGGGAGTACGACCCAGTGCAGCGTCCTGCCATGAATGATATCGTGGCCAGAGTTGAAAAGTTAAATGAGGGAACGGGCAGAGCAGATGGTGGGAAGGGCGAGGGGACGGGAGGCGAGGGGGGAGGAAGAAGGTTGTGGTTAAGGGTGCAACAGCTTGGCTATTTACTATTTCAGCGGGGGCGTGACAGACGATAACAATACTAAACATCGGGGCTTCCTAGGTACAGAATTAAGAGACATTCCCAGTATGAGACTTAGGTTTGAACACAATATAATATGCGTATACATCCCTTCCCATTGTGTCAGCTGCATCTGGGGAGTGTGCTTGATGCTGGCGTAGAGGTTGCGGACGTGATCTAGATGAGGCAGGGACTACGCTGCGAGGGCACCCCAGCGGATATTATTTAATAAAGTCCAATTAGCAATTGTAATACCGCGATTAAGCACTGTAATTCCTACTTGACCCTAATAACAGACACCCCGCAAGAACGTTGCCGTATAAAGATGCACTTGCTCCTTCACAACGGGGAGAGGGGGGAAACTCCCCTTTGCAGCTTTGCTCGAACATGACTTGGCCAACAGCCACGTACGGAATCCTGCGTGGCGTCCTGCATCTGCAAATCGCTTAGTGCTCTACATCAGTAAAGCTAAGCGTTCAAAAACCTGGGTTTTCAAGCGCTTAATGTTCGCCAGTGTTTGCCGAGCATTCAAAAACTGTCTAATGTGCATGCTGTAATTTGGCTGAATTTACTGATGTAAGAGCAACGTTAGAGCGCTTAGCATTGGTAACAGTGCGTGCCGAGCTCTCAAACAATTCAAAAACTGTCTGAAGCGCATGCTGTAATTCAACCGTCTTGCAGATGTGGGAAACGAACGCAAATCAACGCTTCATAACCGGCAAACACCGGCAGCTTGCGAAACAAGACCTCCCAAACTCTACTTTGTCGTAAGATCGGGAGTTGCCTGTTGTTGTCCGGACATGTACAGGGATATTCCGGGGTCCTACTGTACTTTGGTTATCCATTTCAACAGTGCACAGGGCATGACCAAGGAAGGGATGAAGGGAGGCACGACTCGTCTGCAGAGGTACGATTCATAACCCCCATTATCCAGCAATTCATCATGGGTGGTGGTGCTCACAGAAATCTATAGCAAGATCTCAGTTGAGTGCGCGAGCGGCAAACGTCTATATTTGCATTACCTATAGCAAGATCTAAGGTAATGACGTGAGTGCGAAGTACACAAACATGGGAACAAGACACTATACCCACCTCAGTCGAGTGCGCGAGCGGCAAACGTCTGAGGTGGTGTTACTACAGTAACGAGTTAAATACGCTATACAAAACAAAAGGGTGAGACACGGGTGTTGAACCTGGTATTGAAACTACAAGCACAGTCATAGCATGAGTGCTTGTACCATTAATTATACATATGAAACATTTGGAGACAATAAACCAAAAATTACCATGCTGTATTGTCAGCGCTCGAAACAACTAAGTACAGTGGTCTTGTAGACCCATAAACAGGAAGTGTTTCCCACGGTAAGGAAAAGTAGCGTCAATTAGTGAACAAAGGCTATGAGCAACTTGCCAAATCTAACAGGTGCCATATTGGAGCCCTCGCTACTGGCCGCATACCTTGATATTCCCTGATTTTCCATTGGCCCTGCTTATGTCCGAAAATGTGTTCTTCTCGGATGTGGCGCGAGATGCATCCGCGTTCTCTCATGGTCAGGAGTCCAGAAATTCTCATGCTTTTCCACACAAGAAAACTTCCGCTGACCATGGTGCTCGTCTGGCAGCGTCGTGATAGTCACCCTCGTAAGGGCCGCCATTATCACACCCTCGGAACATGTCACGGACCATAATGTCACGCTTTCCTCACCTTGCCAATTGGCACAACCTGTTGGTCAAGATATTACCGATCATAAAAGGGGAACGGTATGCCTGGCTGAGGGAAGGAAACAACACCCTACGTTATCGCAGGGAAGAGAGCTCTTACGGCATCTGTGCAGTCCGTGGATCTTTCTTTGGGCATATGCGCTTCACGGAGGTGCCTAAGTAGGTTTTGCCACGGAAGAACATCAGCGGCAGATGATTTCAACATGCCATGCTATGTTCTTGATATTATGGCCAGGCATACCGCGTTCTTGGCCATCACAGTTCTGCCAGCCACAGGGAGTGCATGCATTGGGATCGCAAACAGAGCGTATTTCCTCAGGGTTCGTGACTGGGAGGTGGCGAGACGACGTGAATTGCAGAACACCCACAATGAGCATGTCCTCTAGGGGTTGTGCTGACGATTGTGGGAGAATGAAAGCAAAGGCTCACTTATCGTCGTCTGAACTCAGGCATATCTGCATCTCCTCGCAAACTGCATACATTCGAACGCTTACCCCATGCTGGTGGCAGGAACTGTGCAATATCTGCAGGACTGCTAGCGACAAGCCATCCTTAGGAGAAGACGACATGAGTATGTCACATTCGCATACCCTGCTGCTGGAATAAGCCAGACGGAACGGTTTGCTATAAACCGATTGATTACCACTGCGAAGGTCATTTCGCCGCTGCACATGCATCACGAACATGACATCGGATTTCAAAGTCGGGTGCCGTTGGTGTCCTCTAGGCGCGCAAAAAGAATTGAAACGAAAAAATTTCATCAGACACTTCAGGGAGGTACATATGAAGGGCCAGCGTTCAAAAGCTCACGTACCTTTTAAAACATCAGCACCAGTTCTCCTTGTCTCCCATGGTCACTGGCACATAGGGCGCGGTAACCCTTGTGCCACTTCCTTCTGTGATTGTTGTCGCTCGCTTGCGCAAGCAAGATTCCGGGACCGTTTTCCATCGTGAGCCGCTGTACTCTCTAATTGGCGACATCGCCTGTGTGCGCTTGTCCCGTAGTATATGTGTCCATTAAATCCCTCCCCTTCAAGGATGCCTTCTCATATCCTTATCCTAGCTTTCCCTGTTTATCTTGCGTGCACCATTGTTGTATGGTCTTCCTGTCGCTTACTGTATTCGTCTCCTGCTGTGTGCTCCCTCAGCGTTCAAATTGAGGACATCAAAGTCAAGCGTCAACAAAAGCGGGTGTATTATTGGTATCAGCGAAGATGATCGGTATTCAAGCGAATAAAAAACATACCTCTTCATCAGAACTATCGTAATCTGCGTCTGCATCGGGATTTTGTTTGCGCTTTGACATGATACACCAACGGAAACCTACAGCACTACGTCCGACGTCGACACGGACCTTCGTAGCTAGGTGAACGAACGGAGAGTAGAGATGAAGATACAAGTCAATAGAACAAGAAAGCGAAGAGAACAGAATGACTAGAGAAACGTAGATCACAAAGGAGAGTGATCTAGTGCGTGGGGGGAAGGCCGCCGGACGCTAGCTCCAGAATCGAGTGAGCGTGCCGAGATGCCGAGAGCGCGCGCGCACTGAGCGGGGGTCACGTGACTACGAAGCCGGGAGATTGAGACCAGATCGGAGAGAGAGACGCAAGACAAGGGGGAAGAGAAGGAATCTAAGAGTGAACGCGTCTTAGATTACATAATGTTCACGTGATCGCTACGAAGGCCCTGTTGACTGCGTCCAAGATCGCGGGCTCACTAGTTAGCAGTAAACGCCCACCAGGGTTATTATGTAATTTTTTTTAACGAATCATACAATGACCAAATCAGTGCTCGGAAATGCAGGACCACGCCATCGAACCACAATGCCACACTTTCCTTCCCTCACACAGGTCTTCTACCACCCTAAATTTAATGACGTGGTCACTTATCCGACAATCTATGGAGCTGCATTTTCATTTATTTCGAAGATCTCAATGATTCCAATTGTAATCAAGTCCGTCAACCCACACACTCAATTCAATTCAAATCTTCGAGCTTCAGAAGTATGTACGCAAGTAAATAAGAGGGTAGAGGGTATTCTGTACAAATCATATGCCCGTGTCCAAACCAGGACACGCATACAAGCATATAGCCAGAATCTTAATAGCAACAACAGGAAGGCGTTAAGGAACCATCCTCGATACGTCATATCACAACTCGGGAGCATATCACATCCTACGAGTCCCTCAGGGCTCCTCCATCCCTTGCCATCGACGGAACAACCGGTGAGGGCAACAGTTCTGGGGTATACGCTACCGCGTGATGCCCATCTTCAGGAACGCGCCAACGATTTCAACTTCGTCGTACCGACCCGGATTCTCGGACGTCTTCTTCGCATGAATATAGGATAACGTATTCTGGAAGTGTCGCGTTATCATTTCGGGCGAGGCAACGCCTTCGATTCTCTGCGAAGGGTGCAGGTATGAAGTCGAGAATGCAGGTGAGGAGATCGCGTCGATTGATGACGCAATGAGTTCGACGAGCGATACGATGTACTTGGGAGCGATCTGCACAAAAAAGCGTCAGCTAAAATGCGCGATTTAAGAAAAGCCTTTCGAGTAAGACATACCGCGGGTGCACCGCGATCGAAGTAGTATAGGTATTTGTCTAGAGTCTCACAGTACAGCTGTACCGTCACGATCTCCTCTGTTGCAGAGTTGGCTATACGCAACGCTTTCTGCAGGCACTCAAGTACACGTTTGCTGTCTTGATGAGGGAACTGAACACAAATGATCGGGTTAAGAGGGTAAGGTCGCAATGGAAAAGGAAGGTCTAACCGCTCCGGCTTCTTTTTCCTTGGGACTACTGCTCTTTTCGTCGTCTGTCCGCGCGCCGTCACCTTCACCATCGCCATCGCCTTCTGCTGGCGGCTCCTGCCACCATAGATGACTAGCCGCATGAACAGCGATAGCCTGATGCGGTTTCTTCAACAACTTTGCACCATGCAAGGCAGCTTTCGTTATCAATGTATCGTATGCGTCCACCTCGAACACTCGGGACGTCTGTAACGTGCCGATGATAAGCGTAATCGCTGCAAGCTGAGCACGAGATTCCGAAATCGAGTCCTCGTAAACGGAGAAGGCTTGCACGTAGAAATCATACGCAAGATCAGCGAATTCGGGTCCGCACTCGGATGCGATTTGAGCAGCGAGCAGGAAGAGTCGTAGTGCGAGCGCGGGAGCATCGACTTGTGTAGCAAGGATAGAAGTACACTGTCGCACGAATTTGAGGATGGTCGTTACTTTGGATTGCCAATCCTCCTCCTGTGGACTGAGGTGTCAGAGCGGGAGGTTTTATGATCAAAGGAAGACGCTCACCAGATGCTCCCGATTCTTATACCGACGACAGAGCTTAATGCTCGACGTGATGAGAGCAGGGAAGGTGTAGCGCATCCGCTCGCCACCTGCCTCGAAGTGCCTGCGCGCCGTCTGCAACAACTGCACAAGTAAAGTTAACGACTGCCCACCGTCCATATCCAATATACCCACATCAAATTGTGTATCCAGCGACTCTGCTCTGAACAAATGCACCATACGTGCGACCCAACCTTGCTCCTCAGCGAGATCCTCTCCCCCCGCGAACTGTGGTCCCTGTCGTCGTGCCTCTTTAACTGCGCCAAGGCCCTGTGCGGGCATTGCATCATTCTGGTCCTTGATCAATACGTGGCACAAGTCAAGCACACCATCCACATCACGCGGAGTCTCGATGAGTGTCTCATTTTTGAGCACGCTGGAAACGACAGAGTGCGCGATGGAACGGCGAGTAGAGAATAGCTGTTGAGTCAGGAGGGGAACGTAACGTGGGATAGCAAGCAGAGTGAGAACGGATTGGTAGGAGTTGATAGGAGCAACGAGAAGAGCAGCAAGGTTGGCAGCTGTCTGAGGAGCGTGAAGGTCAGGGCTGGGAAGAGTATATAAGTTTACGCGGTGTCAAATTTTGGCCACAGCCATGCCTTTTTGAAAACTCCTTGATCTTCTCGTGTGTGAAGCCAAGAATTTGGTCCACGTATTCCAGCCTGTCGGGATAGCAACTTAGCGAGAGGTTCGTTAATGATACGAACAACGCCGTGATATCCTGTATGGAAAGATCCGGTCTTGCCTAATGACGAGATTAGCTCAAACCCCTATTTAACGCAATCACACATACCTTGATAAGCTCGACGACTTGCTTCCAAAATACTTCGAACAGTTGGACGTTTTCTGGTATACCCCTGAATTTGTGCGCAGGAGCGCCCTCCTTGTCCTTGCCCTTCCCTTCCTTACTCTCATCGGGCATGCCATTCACCTTCTCGCCCACTACACTATTTACCGCATCTTCTTTTGCAGCCTGAACGGCATGGTCTTGCCAGGTATCTGCACCGTCCTGCGACACTTGTTCTACCCGAGGTGCACTTGCCTGCTCGCGCGCTACTCTGACCTTCTCCGCAAGTCGTCGTGCAGCACCTTCTTCCTGCCTCTTGGTTTCCTCGGGATCTTCATTCTCCGCTTCACGTGCAGCATAGGCGGCAAGACGATCGATGAGAGCAATCACTATCAACTTGATGTTCACCTTTGGATGAAGCTGAGCAGTCGCTGATAGGAAAGGACCGAGCGAATGCAGGTGGAACTCATCTGTGAAGACCTGTGAAACAACGACCATAAAGGTTTCGTATAGCGCGCGGGCGGTCCAGTGAGCTAATCTCAGGATGAAATTATCGTAATTCTACTGCACCTGTATGACGACCTCCATCAGATATTCCTGGGCGATGACATCCTTGCAGTTGACCACTTGTTCCAGAATAGCGGGAAGAATGGATCTTTGGTACATGTCAAGGTCCACACCATCGAGTTGAGATAAGCGAACAAGATTCGTCCCGACGAGTATTCGCAAATCGCGTCGTTCCATTTCACGCTTCTCGCGATCTCGGGAATGACCTTGATGTTGAAGCCGGACCCATAGCTTGTTCATTTCGATGAAATTCGTGAGGACGAAGGATATGGAATCTTGCAAGTTTCCACAGGGTCTGACGCAGAACTCGCACTGTCAGCAGGTCTGACTAAAGCAATACGCAATTGATAAAGACTCGCACATACCCCTGGTCATCCCCGACTGGAAGGTAACCCCTCGTCTGACCGCTGAGATAGTGCCTGAGAAAGAGCCCTCTGACCGGGTTTAATACGCCTCTGCACATTTCTATCATGTCCTTCATGATGTCCTTAACAGGTGCTTCGGGGATAGACATGTAAACGGAGCCGACGGTAATCATGAGATAGAGCCGAGGTACTATGTTGCCGGCGTATTGAACCAACTCGTACAGGTCAGCGAGATGATGTCGGCCTTGGGTGTGTGCATCGTATAGATAGTTTGAGAGATGACGAAGAGAATCAAAGACAGCCATATCTGCATTGCAAGGAGGTTAGGTCGACCAGATACGGCACGGACAACACAAACAGAGTTCATAATATTGCTTTGGAGAGAGGGAGGAGGTTCGCAGTTCGGCGAGCATTAGGCTGGCACTCTTCAATGCATCCATGATGTCGTCATTATCCTGTTGACTAGAGTTAACATTATCCAGTAGCAAGACGATAAACACTGCGGGAGAGAAGTAACCGAGGACTGCGCATACGCACCAGATGCCTCCTCATCTGAGCCGCCTGCAACTTGACGGTGCTGAGACTTTCACTAAGGAGCTTTCCCTCTTCAGGAACCTGCGTCGTCGGCGTGGTCGCCATTCTGAGTCGCGACGAGCTCCAACGGTGAGCAAGTCTCCACAGCGCCGATGGCTACTCGTCACTTGGGTCTGTCAGTAGGACCCTTGACAATTTGCCGATTATGTAATGCTGTGCTACACAGGACTCCGTCAAGTACTCCGGGCCAACAAGTTTTTTTTTTTCATTTGCCTATTGAAGGAAGCCTCCGAAGTACCTTATGTTGAACCGGGTGCAGAAAATACCTCTCCAATAGTGCGGACTAGTGCTTCAAACCGATCTGCAGGAACCAGCATTGCCCGTCCACCAACATCGAGACCAATACTCTCCGCATCGCGTGCCGGCGCATTGGTATACGAGTATGTCAACACGTGTTCGGAGAACTGCACTTCGTATGAGATCATTGTAACGTGTCGAACGAATGATAATCCAAACCTTCATTATTTCCTCATCCTCTGGATGGAATCCATATACACCATCTCTGCTCCTTCCCAGTTCAGAACCTCCCGCCGACTTATACCGCTTCGAATTCCTCTGTGCAGCAGCCATCGCCTCCTCTTCCTCGGGTGTCAGGCGATACACACGGGATATAAACAAGTAGTGTGTAAAATTATAAGGATCACCCTACACAGCATTTAGAATTAATATGACTTTATCAAATGAAAGGTAAAAAGGCATACATCTGCAACTGCGTCTTGTAATTCGTCGACGAGCATACGATACATGGGTGGAACGACCTGCACCGGCATATTGATCAAGCGTTCACTCAAGACAAGTCCTAGGTGCGCTTGGGCCTGATTCTGAACCTGAGTTTTTGGCGCCAGCAGCGATGACAACGTGCTGTGGAAGGTAAGATCCGCTGATATCTTTGACAGCATGTACTCTATGAGAACCTTCACAGCAGGATTATCCTGTGTTCGCATTGTCCATCAGCGGGCGCCGAGAAAGTAAAAACAGGAAGTAGTCGTACTCGGTGTGCATCGCAGCTCAAGACGGTAAGAAGAGCACACGGATCGCTCTCTTCGCCGTCTGTTTTGATGGTGCTCCCGACGCCCGAGTCCGCTGCAGACAAGATCAAGTCTGCCAGCCTTCCTGTCTGCAAGCCTTCGGCGTCGGCGCCAAACAGTTGAATCAATAACCGGTTGATAGCATGGTAATCGACCTCAGCGTTCAAACTGAAGAAATCAAAGTCAACGTCGACAAAAGCGGGTGTCTACTGAAGTAGTGGTATCAGCGAAGATGATCGGTATTACAAGCGAATAAAAAACATACCTCTTCATCAGAACTATCGTAATCTGCGTCTGCATCGGGATTTTGTTTGCGCTTTGACATGACACACCAATGGAAAAATACAGCACTGTGTTGCACGTTGACACAGCAGACTCACAGGAGCAGCTTTTTTCGGATTTGTGGCCCATCATTTGGCCAACCTGATTCAATGATATGACCTCACGTGATAGTGATGCTGCCGTGAACTTGTCTCACATTGCCCTTACGATGTGCCAACGAGGCGCCGTTGTATAAGTACACCGTTACAGCGTTGTCCGGTGAGACGCTTTCCCGGTCACTTATACTGACATGGCATCCAGTCGTCACTTCTTCGTTAGTATTCCATGGTTCAATGTTTCCCGACCTTGTACTGATATGGCACTCAGCGTAACTTCTTCGTTCGCATGTCATGGATTCATTCTGGCTCTCGGATTTTGTATCAGAAAACAGCCACTTCCAGGTCATTCTTTGGTATGATGGCACACGACTCCACCAAGCAGTGTCCTTCCTTGCTGCTGTCGCTGGCACGGCCTGTATTGCCCGCCGCTGCACAAGATCGAACAAAATCGAGGCAAGTCAGGTTGCTCGCTTCCCCCCGAGCGTCTGTTGGCAGGATGGCAACCGATAAGCAGCCCACTCCCCCCACGTCAAAGCCCTTGCTGCTACCTCGCACTCCGCGCCTATCTGCGCAATAACAAGCAGTCGCTTGCTGATACTTGGGATTTAGCATTATCCCGTGTGCTGTTATTTGTAGGTTGCAGGGTTGGGGGGCTGTAGGGAGTCATGTGAACATATAAGTACAGTCTCATGCGGTGGATCTCCGCCTTGATTGACCCATTGCGACGATAGGCTAACTGAAAAGGCGAAAACTACCCAAAGTTCCAGATCGGTATATTCTACCGGATGTTTTGAGCTCATCATTGCCACAGACCGCCAGTGCAGTGTTGGAGGGCTACCATTACCAATGGACATACCCCCTCGGGGGGTCTCCTCAGCAAGTCCCTGTGTATTTGCTGTAAGGATAATATCCTTGCAAACGATCGCTCCTTGTCTGGCTCCCTTCCCAATAGTTGTCTGCTACCAGACTACCCTCAGACGAGGTTGTGGCCAAGAGTAGAAACCTGTTCGTTGAATCGGAGGAGGTTCGGCGATCAATTGGGATTTAAGGCCTCCCCCGATTACGATCGCGGGGTGTACAAGTGGCGCACTGGCGGATTTCTGGAAGTTAATGCCACCGGAGGTTCATAGGACTTGCCGTTAACCTTTTTTTAACACTTTCAACTCAGCATTCCACTACTTTTCTCGCCAGCTTGCGTCTTTGCCTGCCCTCCATTCAATCAGAACGATGCCATCGCATAGCCGTTATTGATACCCGAGCTGCCCTCCAAGTCCATGTGCCGAAGGATCCATGCCCTCCATATGTATGGCAGCCCTCCCAACAGTCTCACATCAAACCCTTTCTAGCCAATTCATATCCCTGCCTGGCCTCAAATCCAGGAGGTATTCGACTGCGAACGATGTCAGCGTACTTCCACTTAGGATACTTGGAGGGCCTTCCACGGTCCATATTCTAGAGAATTTGAAGCCTCCATATATATTGGAGCCCTCCCAAGGTCTCCCTACCACCACCTCGTTGTTTTCAATCCACCGTCACCTTCAAAACCATGTTCCCGTTCCCTCAGCTCGAGTTTTCGACCCTCGTTCCCGTCCAGGAGGCGGCGTTCGATGCGTCTGCATATTATCTTCACGATCCAGAGAACAATTGCTGTTCCTTCCCAGACGAACCTTTTCTGGGAGAACATGGAATTTCTTTGCTATCAGAGTAGGCTTCAATGTCGACTCTGCAATGTCCTGTTTCTCACTGTCATGTTCTGTATCAGTGATACTACCTGGTATGATGATCATGCCGAGGTGCGGAGACTACTTATATTTATCTTCTATGCAGCCAGCTTACGCTTGTTACCATGTTCCAGCAATCGTGTGCATCGGCCATGCCAGCTTTGTCTCGTCTGCCAACGTTTCATATGGATTACCCGAACACCGCTGGCGTTTTCGGCTACTCGGATTATGTGCAAAGTGCAGCAAACGACTACGACACATCCCAATACTACTACCCAAACTTCGGATCTCACATCGTAAGTTCGACTTGATACCATAAGAGTGACCTCTCGTAATTTTTCATGTTGTCTGATAGCCTGTGCAATCCATCCCCGCTGTAATGTCCGTTCAAGCCACTGAAGTCGGCGTTCCTGCCGGACACCTCGCTGGTGCCGAAGGAGACTTGGGACCCTTCAGCCGGGATGCTTGCGCCGTCGCCACTTCAATTGGCTTCCCCGTCACACCCGATACGCCAGGCTCTGCTTTGGAAGTTTCACAGGCGTATCCCGTCCCAATCCAGTTTACAAACACCGCAACCCTGGGGTCTCCACAAGTAACATCACAGCCCGACTGGAAGCCTTGTAAGTGGAAATCCAATCAGGGGGGTATGTGCGGCGAACTCGTGGGTTGGCACTGCGAGGGCCATCTGGCCGCTGTCCACGGAATCGTTGTACATGGCAAGTAACAAACTCGTCACCTGCGGTGCTTGTGGCAAGGGCATGAAGCGGAAGTCCATCTTAAGGCATTTCCGAGAGAAACATCTTGGATTCCGTCGCTCAAAGTGAGATTCCTCGTGGAACCCAACAATTGCTGTATTCTGGTAAGGTCTATCTATACTTATTGCGTGCTTGACAAATTTAATAGACATTTTGTTCTGGCTGCACACAGGTTTTACGTACAGTGCGAATACAGGTCCTATTGACTGCGCTACTTCAATCATTTCTTCGTGATCGTTGCTCATCCTTCTATACGAGCTGCTTCTATTCCATTCTATAGCTACGGTCATGCATTCCTCTGATCCGCCACTACTGGTCATCATACATCCACAAATAGTAGAAAATCGTAGCGTTCGATTTCAGCTAAAACATTGGGCCCCAGTCAGACACTTCAACTCGTACATCGCACTCATCCCGCGGCACATTATACCGTTGCATCCGTTCCAGTGGACGGGTTTAAATAAGATGGTCAGTGTCAGTCGTATCACATAGTTTCTACGTTCAGTACCATCTTGAGATCTTCTCATCGAAGGTTTGCAGGGCCACGAGGTGCTTAGCTACAGCAAACGTCAATGATCCAGGCCCCGCCGGGGATAACCACTCGTGTTAATTTATCACCAGTTCCTGTGATGCGGATCTAGGGGACAGTGGGCTCACAGCTCTACTAGTTCCAGGGCCCTAGAGACATTCTCAGTGTCCTATTATTCCGGGACTATTTGTCAGGTTGGGATAACTCCTGCAATCGACCAGAGCTGCGCACCAATCACGGCACCTTCCGATACCGCAAGGTGAACCTGTTGAGGTGCGTTATCACCGGGAGGTTCCAGCGAGCATTTACTTCCGCGGATACCGTGTTGGTACACTCGCGGAGACAAGGGCGCCGCCACGTGATCACTCTACCATACGGCCAGATCGCTGGCTCGATGTGCTTGGGGCCCAACCTTACCCATCCTGGAAGATTAGCTTTCAGAACGTTGTTTCCAGAATGCTGGCGTTTTGGAAGTGTGCCCTCATCGCCACATTTCGAGCGCATTAAATACGGCATGCACCGTACCCTCTTGAGGCTGAAGGCTTCACCTATCTCATTCCTTCTTGGACACCCCCACTCTCCTTTTATCCGGTGCTCGTGCTCTCCGTCCGATTCCAACCCTCGCCAGCCGTTCTACCAAATATGCGTAGTTGTCCATCCTACCTCGCACAATTGCCCAACATGCATCTTGTGTGTGACCGTTCGCCGCCGCCACTCTCCCGCGACGCGACTTCCTTGCAGCACGGCTGCGATCCTAGCCACATGCTGCGTGGTGCAGTACCCAAGGATCGCTCAGACGGTGAAGATGCAGTGTGCCAGGACCGGACCATCCCCCCGTCGACGTAAGTGTCATTTCATGCTAGACACCAAGTTTTTGACATTTCCTGTAATCAGATTTAGCCCTTCTACTATCTTATCCGAGGTTTGCAGACAGACCTTCTTGACCTTAAAGGGAGTTCTAAGATATTGTAGTATCACCAGCATTTTCCGATCCGTTTGACACGGACTTCAGCCCTCGCGCCCGGCTTTGGAACATATGGGACTCGTGATGTAAATCGTTACTTCGGTTCTCAGCTATGATGCTTATCGCAAATCTCAGCATGCTCTGCTCGCGTTATATGTCGCTGACAATGCTAAATACGCTGAGGCAACCATGGTGCGTTCAACTTTGACCAACGGCACCCGAAGAGTACTTACGCAGGGATCCCCTCCGTACAGCAGCCTCCTTATGCGCGTTCCGTCCCACCCAACCAGGCTCATACCCTCAACCAGATGGATCCGGTTTGGAATGCTCAAAGCGCAGGACTTGGCAATCCTGCAGCTTCATACTCGACCCATCATCCCGTTGATGAAAACGAGGGGTCTTTGATGGTAGGCTTGACTTTGGCAGGTATCCAGCCATGATGCTTATCGTAATCCCAGTATACTCCGGGCACATTATATGTCTCTGACGATACTAAATACGCTGAGGCGACCACGGTGCGTTCAATTTTGGCCAACGGCACCCGAAAAGTACTTACGTAGGGTTTCCTCCCGTACAACAGCCTCCTGATGCACGTACACTCCCACACAACCAAGCTCACACCCTTAATCAGATGAATCCGGTTTGGAATGTTCAATATGCAGAACATGGCAATCCCGTTACTTCATACTCGACCCCTCTCGGTGATGAGAGCGAGGGGTCTTTGATGGTATGCTTGACTTCGGCAACTATGGTATTGGGCTACTAATTAAATTGAGTTAAGATTCCGCCCTTTAAATCACCGCCACACGACACCCATTCCCTCGCTACTGCTGATGCCGTCCAGTTCATTGGCACGCCTAGGTGGACTGCGGAATATGGTCATGCAAACTCTATTAACCTCGGAATTGTCGGAGGACCTCGTGGCTGCTGGAACACGCGAACCCTTTTCGACTCGAGCGTATGTCCGCCGTCAAACATGGTTCCGCCACCTTCTCTGGAACCGTGTGGACACGTGCTTGCTGGGGGCATTCCAATATCCACATGTCCCCCAATCGCATCAAACGTCGCTGATGGCACCATGGTGAACGCGGGGACAATACCCATCTCACTTGATCGTCCCATGCTCCGGCCTGGCGGAGGGGATAATCGTGAAAGGATGGATGGAATTGATCACAATTCCGACAACGCCCCCTACTCGGTGGCGCCATCATGGTCGCTTTCGGATGTCCCTCGGTCACTGCCTCATAAGCTGCAACCAACACACAGCATCGGGAACCTTTCTATGCCTAAGGAGTCACCAAGAATTAACCGTTCCACTGGGTCCTCGACGAGCCTTCCGACAGCACCCAAACCCTGCGGCTGGCGGGGCAACGGCGGAAATATATGTGGCATGCCTGTTACGTACAACAATCTAGTACACCATATCGCTGCCGTCCACGACATCAAGGACATGGCATTCGATGCCATAATCGAGTGTCGTTGGTGTCGTCCGGGAAACAGAATGAAGCGGGAGAGCATACTGAGACACCTCAGAGAGAAGCACTTGGGGTATCCGCGCCGGAAGAACGGGGTTACGCGACTTTCCCTTCGGTTTCCTTCGATGACCTCGTCACATAGCGCCCTGAATACGGGCACGCCGGTGGAATCGCCAACGTTCGCTTTACCCTATCTTCCTTATCCTGTGTCCCCTAGTAGTGCTCTTTCCCCGCGTTCCTGCGATTTTTCAACTTCGCCATCCTTGTGGAAACAGAACGAGTAAAGTATGCTAGATTTCAAGTCAAACTGCGACTTTTTATCGCACGGAAGACTATAGTAGCGTTCCAAGCTGTGTTAGATACCTGCAGGAGACCAGTCGGTGTCCGACATTTTTTCCGACCTTCCCAAACCATACATTGGAATATATACAACACGCAATTTTATGATTCACTTCCCATGTACTATGCACAGCCCAATTGGATCGAGTAGGCGAATCACCTGAGATATCCCAGTATCCCGGCGGTCGCCTTTACGAGTCGACATGTAATAGTTTCTACGTACTGATTCTTACGGTCACCCATTCACCTTTCCTCCTGACCGCGAGTTCCGAAGCGTGACAGGCAACCTCTGTCTGTCTGATGGATGTCCTACAGCAGACCATATGACTACATACTCAGATGTTCAGGTTTCCAGGAAGAAGGGCACAGCACAACGCCACCGAATTGGAGTCTCTTCGAAATAGGTGGAGACGTAATAACGTACGGATCGTGGGCATCATAGGGCGAGAAGATCAGAACGCCACGGAAGCCTTCTATGGGGAATTGAGTGAACTTCCTCCAGCGAGAGAGCTGGGGTATGGTACAGTACCGTACAACTGGCGGTAAGTATTTACTTTATACTTGAGGCCTAGGGACAGGAGGTAATAGCGAACAGCCACGCTACGTATCGCTTAGTCAGAAAGGCGAAGACATGGTCGTGCGTCGTGCACATCAACAACTCCATACCTCAGCCTATAGCTTCCCCAGAGCTCAGTTCATTGCTCGGAGGCTCTCTCCCACTGCTTCACGGGAACAAATTCACAGGGACTCGCAGGGGCTGGGCCAAGCTTCTGGAGCAGACCGTACTTCAATGATACACACAAGCATGGAAACAAACCCCGCCTTGGAGGAGGATACAAAACAATTAGGACAAAGGGGTCAGAGTCGTAAAGGCCGCCATCATGTGTAACGAGCCAACACGTAACACTATCTCATGTGAGTAGGACCGCTGGGCTGGCGGTATCGTCAAGTCTTATCTTTGTCGCCGAAGCGAATGCAGTGTATCAGGTGAGTACTTGTCCTGCTGGCACCGGTACGTATCCCGTTTTTCGCGCGGGTGTGATCATGGCTACTCAGTGTTTTTTTGACGGCAAGAATTTAAACTTACTGCTGCATACCTAGTTACTAATTCTGTATATGCCTGGCACGTCGCAGACACACTATACTGAGTCGCGGGCCTAGCAGGACTCGAGTTAAAGAACCACCAACCTCCTTCCTCCCCTGGGATCTTATTGAACTGTTCCTACGCGACTAAATTCATCTCTCACCGGTTGATACCGTCTGGATATACATACACTGATCATATCTCCGAACCTATAGAAAAGTTGTCTTCGCGTCGATCTTAACCTTAATCCTTTACTCCTTCCCGTGCACAGAATTCCATCCCAGGATTAACCTGTGACTCTACCAGGTTTCTAGTGTCTTCTTCCATCAAGGGAGACTCCGTTGCCAATCTTGGACGAAGGCTCGAATAAATTTAGAGTTCCAGAAGATAGCGTAACTTTCTTGCTGCGCGTGTGCACCAGAGGCTCACGGAGAAGTTCCGAAGCAACTCTGAAAAGGGCAAGAACGAGAAGATGATATATGATGACCAAAGAGAAGTGAGTCAGTTATGTTTCGCGTTGCTTTACCCCTAGAAAGTTACCTGCAAGGTTCGAGGCAATCCATCCCCGCGGACCCTTGCACCGTATTCCCTGATCTGCTAGCAGTGTGAACACCAAAGTCATTCGTAACATCAATGCTGTGAATAAATTTTTTCGTCATGCTTTCGTAAACTAATTGTGATTTTGACACAACTCCGTACGACCACGGGTCATTTCCAGCACTGTCGTCACCATTGCCACACTGTACTTCTCGATCTCCTGCACTACATACCTTCATTTTCGTATCGTAAACGTTGAATCAGGAGCATACCGTCCTATCCCCTACTATGGAAACAAGTGATGAAGATATTTCGGAGTCGGGGAATAGCTCGCAAGGTGTGTATTGAAAATCGTCATAGAAGATAAAAGAAGATCCGTCGACTGAGATTCTCGCATCGGCCAACTGAGTTGCTTCTCTTCTCACGATGAAGCAGGGAGAGAGTCCGAACACTGGCTGTGGTTCCGTCCACACGTTGACTACAAGTCGGGTATCACGCCGGTCAGAAGCAGTCTTACTGTGTACAAACAGCTTTCGCCACCTTCGCATTTACCCTAATCCACAAGAAAAAGGAATGATCAACAACGCTATCGAGCGGGGTGCTGACAGCTTGGCCGGGCATAGGTAATGCCTACAAGATAATCTATTACAGGAACTGGCACAACTCATCTACAAACCTAACACTTTGTACTGAGATCGATGAACGAGTCGAAAACGGGTGGGAATGTAAATAAAGCTGACTACCTTCTCGTTCTGGGGTACCAAATTCCTGCTCCGTGCTGCTCCAGAACTTCCTGGCAACTTGTATCGCTTCGAAGTTCGTTGTGCAGCAACTATCGCCTCCCCTTCCTCGGGCATCGGGTACTATACCATGAGTATAACTAGGCATGTATACCTATGTAGCGGGAACTGTAAGGATCGCTTTGCACAGTGCTATGTTTTCTTCGATCAGTTAAATGAAAGAGCGACTGGCACTGGTATGTTGATCAAATGGGGATCTATGAAGGGCAAGATCCGTTGATGTGCTTAACAGCATGTACTCCACAAGAACCCTCACAAGCTTCACAGCCAGATGATCTAGCGTGCCGTGGTTCGTCAACAGCAACACAGGAGCCGAAAAGGAAGCGGACTGCTCTCTCCACCGTTATTAAAAGATCAAGTCTTCTAATCTTCCTGTAAGTACACGCTCTCCGCGCCCGTGTTTAACCAACAATAAATTGATCGCGGCGATCGATCTCGATGTTCAATTTGAAGAAATCAAAGTCAGCGGTACAAGCAAAGATGACCGGGGCCTAGCGCAAGGGAAGGGGCTAAAATCAACTCCCTTCATCTGAGCAGCCTATAATCTACATTTTCACCGAACCCTGTTTGCACTTTTGAGATGGAACGAGGGGAATTATGTACCGCGCTGATCAGTACATGGAGCCCGTTTCTAGGTTAAAGATCTCACGTGACGCATGAGCTGTGGTTAACGCAATTATGTAATGGCAGCAAGCAAATGAAACGATCATATAGCCGAAGTCGTGAAGTCCGTTGCAGCACATGGACGACTTGATGCTCTCACATTATCCTTGACATTAAGCGCTGCTCTATAAGTGGACAAGGTTCAAATTCCTCAATTTAGTCTCATATTAACTTTGCGTCCGGGTGTAGCATCTGGTGGAGTACTCTGCAATGAAACCGCAACCACTGACTCAACTCGACATCGATCAGACAGGATAGGTGAATGATACGAGACATCGTAAAGCCACCGCGGAAACAAATTCAAGTGCAGTGGAAAACTGAGCAATACCAAGTCACATACCGTGATGTGGCCGTTCTGTCGTTCTCGGGCTTTTCATTGGCAGCAAGCATGGAGTTTCAAGTGCGGCTTCGTCACAATGACGCGATGTTTTTACAAAGCTCAGAAAAGGTGTTAGATTCTCTGTCGAGATGATTAGTATAACATAATAGGTCCAATGAGTGGAAGGTGATAAGCGGTTCGATTCCTATGTGAAGGCTGGACTGCGTTACTTCCCCATCTGCATGATGCCGTAGCTAATATCTGATATTTAGCATTACCCGGTGGATGATTGTCTGTCGTGAGCTGAAAGGATTCTGGCGATTACGGCGACGACGCGAACAGGTAGTATTGGTCTTCACCTGCATATTTTCTTCTCTGAGTGTCCAACTCTAGACATGAGATCGACTGAGAGGGACCGGAGGATGCCAAATCGCGGGATCCCTGCCGACCGAACAGTGTCCAACACAAGACGCCAATTGGCAATACCACGATGGAGGCCAACCCTCGGACGGACTTGCTCGCGATAGTTTCACTGTAACTTTCACCCACATCTAGGGGTTCCCTAGTCAACAGGCGATGGCCCACCAATGTGCGAAAGTCTGCGAAAATTTGCTGCAAGATAGGAGTACCTAGCGCGGTACCCTGAACAGGTCCCCTTATATTTGGTATTCAGTTTATGCAAAATTGCATGAAGTTTGGTGTCATATTTATCCCTTTCGTAGCCGGTATTTCCTTTGGCCACTCGAATTTCCAGTGACAACGGTGACGGAATGCCACGCGTTGCGCAATACAGGATATTTTCTCATCTTGTGGATGGAATCCACATACACGATTTCTGCCCCTACTTAACTCAGAACTTTCTACTAACGTGTATCGTGTCGAATCTTTCTGCACAGCAGCCATCGCCTCCTCTTCGGGTGTCAGGTGATACGCCCGGGAGTGGGTGAAAAGGCATACGTCTGCGACTGCGTCCTGTAATTCGTCGACGAGCATATGATACATGGGTGAAACGACCTGGACCGGCATGCTGATTATGTGATCACACAAAACAAGTCCTAGGTGCGCTTGGGCCCGATTTTGAACCCGTGTTTTTGGTGCAAACAGTAAAGACGGCGTGCTGTAGAAGGTAAGACCCGCTGATATCTTTGACAGCATGTACTACCCTATGAGAGCCTTCACAGCAGGATTATCCTGTACTCGTTTTGTCCATCAGTGAACGCTGAGAAATTAAAATCAGGAAGTAATCGTACTCGGTATGCATCGCAGCTCAAGACGGTAAGAAGAGCACACGGATCACTTTCTTCGCCATATGTTTTGGTGATGCTGCCGACGACCGAGTCCGCTGCCGACAAGATCAAATTTGCTAGCCTTCCCGTCTGCAAACCTTCGGCGTCCGCGCCAAACAATCGACCTCAGCGTTCAAATTGAAGAAAATAGAGTCAACGTCGGCAAAAGCGGGTGTCTACTGAAGTAGTGGTATCATCGAGACTCTGTTTGAGCTTTGACATGGTACACCAATGGGAATATACAGCACGTTACACGTTGACACAGCAAACTCACAGCAGCAGCTCTTTTCGGATTTGTGGCCCATCATAGATCAATGATGTGGCCTCACGTGATGGTGATACTGCCGTCAACCTGCCTCACGTCGCCCTTATCGTGTGTCGACGAGGCGCCGTTGTATAAGTACGCTGTGTTACGTCCTTGTTCTGCGAGATGCTTTCTGTGTTACTTATACTTCCATGGCACCCAGTCGTCACTTCCCGGTTAGCATTCCATGGTTCAATATTTGTACTGACATGGCACTCAGCGTAACTTTTTCATTAGCATTCCATGGTTCAACAATTACCATGGATTCATTCTGGCCTCTCGGGTTTTGTGTCAGAAAACAGCCACTTCCAGGTCATTCTTTGGTATGATGGCGGCTCTCACCAAGCAGTGTCCTTCCTTGCTGCTGTCGTTGGCACGGCCTGTATTGCCCACCGCACAAAATTGAGCAAAATCGAAGCGAGGTTACTCGCTTGCCCCAAGCGTCTGTTGGCGGGACCTTAGCCGATAGACGCTGTGCCTGACATATATCTGGCGATTGGGGGTTGATAAGCAGCGACTTGCCTATGTTAAAAACCTTCCTCCCCTACTTCCCCCCCAGTTCTCTGCGATTCTAGGCTGATATCGGGCCTTTCGCGTTGTGATATGTAGATTTCAAGGTCGGAGAGCTGTACGGGACCATATGAACATGTAAGCATAACCTCCAGCAGTGAATCTCGGTCCTGATTGACCAATTGAGACAAACGGCCGACAGAAAAGGAAAAGCACCCAGAACCGTCGCCACACATTTCTGGGCTCATCACCGTGACAGGAGGTGGTCTGGTGATGCAGTTTTGGAGTGCAGAGCACCCCAACGCCGCGAACGGACACGCCGAGGTTCTAGTTGGACTTTCATTCTCCCCGGCCAGCACCGCCAACCAGACAAATCAGCTGGGTTCGAAAATCCACAGCAGCCAGCTGCGTTACCTGGGGGGTCTCCTGGGTTGGTTCCTGTGTACTCGCTATATGTGTAGTTTTGAACTACATTCATTGTCTCCGCAGTCGGTCACACCTCGGCTGCTCGGCTTCCCAACGGTTTCTTCGCTAGGCTTATCTCCAAGGCGAGGTTGCGGTCGAGATAGTGACCTGCCTCTGGAGTCAGAGGAAGTTCATCGATCGAGTGAAATTTAAACCCCCACCCGCTCATAATACCGCGGTGTGTAAGTGGCGCTTGCAGTTTTCTGGAAGTAAGTTAACGCCGTCGGACTTTCATAGGACTTTTCAGTTAATTCTTTCTTGCAGTCTCCTCTCAATTTCCAGCTCGAGATCTGCGTCCTTGGCGTCCTTTTCTGTTTTCAGTCCAGCTAGGGCTGCCCTCCAACATCAGTATTCACCGCCCCCATATGTTTTGCAGGCCCCCAAATGTCTCTCATTTCTGGCTTCTTCCAATCAATTCAATTGCGAACGAGGCCATCACATTCCCACCCCAGATACTTGGCTGCCTTCCTTGGTTCATGTTTTAAAGGGTTCATGGTCTTCATATATAAATACAGCCCTCTGGGTAGAATCCCTTCATCAAGCTCGTTTTCTGTCCACCAACCCCTTCAAAATTATGTTCTCTCAGCCTCGGTTCTCGTCCTCAGTCCCCACCCCTGTGAAGGAATACGACGCGTCTGCTTGTTATCTTCACTACGATCTGGAAGACAGCGACTGCTTCCCCCCAGATGAAGACTTGCTGGCAAAGCGAACAAATGCTTTGCCACCAGGGTAGGCCGTACGCGGTCTCTTTGCAATGTGCCAGCCCCTCATTGTCATCTTCTGCATCACTCGCAGTATTCATTATAATTTTCCTGAGGTAAAGAGACCATCTACGTTTATCTTCGGTACAGCCTGTGTACGCTTTTTACCATATTCCAGCAGTCGCCCGCATCGGATGCACCAGCTATATCTGGGTAGTCCACGTTCCGTGTGGATTACCTGCAAACCGCTACTGTTTTCGGTCACCAGGACAGTGCAGGGAACATTGAACTGCTACGGTAGGTCCCACTTGGTACCTTCCCTATTTTCCCGCCGTGGGATCTGTTGCCGTGAGCTCGACTTCGATGTCTGCATTGGCAAGGACTGATTGATGATTTCTATCTTTTCACAGTTCGATTCCTTAGTGGTCTCGGTTCAAGCCACCGAAGTCAACGTTCCCACCGGACATCTTGCTCTTCCCCGAGGGTACCTGGGGCCCTTTAGCAATGATGCCGGTGCCGTCGTCACCTCTGCCAGTTCAGTTGGCTCTCTCGCCACAGCCGATACGCTAGCCTTTCCTTCGGGGATTTCCCAGGTGCTCCCTAACCCAATTCAGTTTACAAACACCACAGCCTTAGGGCTTCCACAAGTAACGTCACAGCCCTATCGAAGGCCTTGTGAGTGGAAAGACAACACGAGGCGTATATGCGGCAAGGATTGCTGTCTTGTGGTGAGGCCTATGGATACCTCGTGTTCGCCGAATTTGATCGACTTTTTTTTCCCCATCTGCATACAGGTCTTACTTACACTGCACGAAGGTATCTCATTAACTGTGCCATTTGATTACTTCCTGTTGCTCATCCTTTCATACGAGCTGTTTTTGCTTCACTGTATATATTTGCTCATGAACTCCACTGATCCGCTAACGTTGACCATCACACGCCCACGAACAAATAGAAGTCATGTCGGTCGGTTTCGGCTAAAATATTGGGTATTAGTTAAACAAACTTCAAGTGGTACACTGCGTTCGTTCTTCTGCTTTCACTTTACTGTTACACTCGTTCCAGTGGACAGGTTTATATAAGATGGTAAGTGTTTCACATAGTTTTGGCTTCCAGTACCTTCTCGGAATGTTCTGATCGAAGATTCGTAAGGCCACGAGGTAGCCTGCCACAAACTTCAATGATCCAGGCCCCGCCGAAACACTACGGAATTAAGTCACCTCGCCACGAAGTTCCTGTGACGCGGATACCGGGGGGCAATAAGCTTCTCAGTCTGAATGGTCTCTGGGGTCCCAAAGATATACCATCCCGTTACTTCGGGACTATTTGTTGGGTTGAGGTGACTGGTTGACATGCGCCGCAAGCCACTAAAACATCTCGCTCACGAAACTGTTCCTATTTTAAAGTTTGCGTTGCATGGAAGCTTCCGCCATTGCATGGGAACCTATTGAGGTGCAGACTTTCGCTTATCTTCAGGAGATTCCAGCAAACACTTACTTCCGCGGGCACTGGTGGTACATTTGCGGATAAATGGGCGCATTCACTTGATCGTCCAACCATACAACCTCGTGGCTGGATTAGTGTGTTCGAAGGTTTGACCTGACCCATCTGGAAGACTACCTTTCACGGAGCTTTCGTTTCTAGGGCGCATCCTTCACTCTGCGCCGAGTACTTTGGGGGCAGCATGCCTGCATTGCCCCACTCAGTATAATAGTCCGGGTCACACAATAACCCTCATACAGCTGAAGACTTCGCCTCCCCCATTCCTTTCTAACTTCGCCTGCGTGCTCTCCCTACGCACGTCCCCTCCCAGACGTCCGAGCGAATACCCTCGACTTGATGAACGGAGTCTGGCACTGGGGTGCTCAAAATGTAGGGGTACATAATCCCTTTCCCGTTACTTCATCGGCCAGTCGCGCCGAGGAATGTGGAGGGTCGTTGATGGTAGGCTTGACTTCAGCGGGTGCCGTCTTGGGTCACTACTTAGTTAATTAATAAGGTTCAGCACCCTCAGCAACCGCGACATGATGCCCTCTCCCTTTGCGCTGATGATGCCGTACAAATGGGTGAATCGACATGGAATACGGTTGATCGAGGGAAGCTTTTTAATCTCGGAACCCTCGGAGGACCCCATGGATTTCAGGATGTGCAAACTTTCCGCGGTTCCAATGAATCGTTTTCCCCATTTTCCAATTGGGCTCTGCCCTCCTCTCAGGGACTGTTCACCGGGGCCGTTCCGGGGCCCACATGCACCTCAATTGTACCAGACATCGCTAATGAAACCACGACGAACGTGGGGACGATACCCCTCCCACTCCATCGCACTGCACTCCAGCCTGGAGGGGGGGACAATTGTGAAAGGAAGGACGGAAATTGTCACACTTCTGGCAAGATGGCACTATTGTCATATTCAAACGAGTCGTGGCGTCAGGAAGTAAGAATGCTATCCACGTTTATCTTCCATGCAGCCAGCTTAACGCTTGTTGCCGTATTCCAGCAACTGTGCGGATGGGGCACGCCAACTATGTCTGCGCTACGTACAGTGCGAATACAGGTCCTATTGACTGCGCCACTTCAATCATTTCTTCGTGATCGTTGCTCATCCTTCTATACAAGCTGCTTCTATTCCATTCTATAGCTACGGTCATACATTCCTCTGATCCGCCACTACTGGTCATCATACACCCACGAATAAATAGAAAATCCAATCGTTCGGTTTCGGCTAAAATATTGGGCCCCAGTCAGACACTTCAACTCGTACATCGCACCCATCCCGCGGCTCTCATTATACCGTTGCATCCGTTCCAGTGGACGGGTTTAAATAAGATGGTCAGTGTCAGTCGTATCACATAGTTTTTACGTTCAGTACCATCTTGAGATCTTCTCATCGAAGGTTTGCAGGGCCACGAGGTGCTTAGCTACAGCAAACGTCAATGATCCAGGCCCCGCCGGGGATAACCACTCGTGTTAATTTATCACCAGTCCCTGTGATGCGGATCTAGGGGACAGTGGGCTCACAGCTCTACTAGTTCCAGGGCCCTAGAGGCATTCTCAGTGTCCTTTTATTCCGGGACTATTTGTCAGGTTGGGATAACTCCTGCAGTCGGCCAGGGCTGCGCACCAATCACGGCACCTTCCGATACCGCAAGGTGAACCTGTTGAGGTGCGTTATCACCGGGAGATTCCAGCCAGCATTTACTTCCGCGGATACCGTGTTGGTACACTCGCGGAGACAAGGGCGCCGCCACGTGATCACTCTACCATACGGCCAGATCGCTGGCTCGATGTGCTTGGGGCCCAACCTTACCCATCCTGGAAGATTAGCTTTCAGAACGTTGTTTCCAGAATGCTGGCGTTTTGGAAGTGTGTCCTCATCGCCACATTTCGAGCGCATTAAATACGGCGTACACCGTACCCTCTTGAGGCTGAAGGCTTCACCTATCTCATTCCTTCTTAGACACCCCCACTCTCCTTTTATCCGGTGCTCGTGCTCTCCGTCCGATTCCAACCCTCGCCAGCCGTTCTACCAAATATGCGTAGTTGTCCATCCTACCCCGCACAATTGCCCAACACGCATCTTGCGTGTGACCGTTCGCCGCCGCCACTCTCCCGCGACGCGACTTCCTTGCAGTATGGCTGCGATCCTAGCCACATGTTGCGTGGTGCAGTACCCAAGGATTGCTCAGACGGTGAAGATGCAGTGTGCCAGGACCGGACCATCCCCCCGTCGACGTAAGTGTCATTTCACGCTAGACACCAAGTTTTTAACATTTCCTGTAATCAGATTTAGTCCTCCTACTATCTTATCTGAGGTTTGCAGACCGACCTTCTTGACCTTAAAGAGAATTCTAAGATATTATAGTATCACCAGCATTTTCTGAGCCGTTTGACACGGACTTCAGCCCTCGCGCCCGGCTTTGGAACATATGGGGACTCGTGATGTAAATCGTTATTTCGGTTCTCAGCTATGATGCTTATCGCAAATCTCAGCATGCTCTGCTCGCGTTATATGTCGCTGACAATGCTAAATACGCTGAGGCAACCATGGTGTGTTTAACTTTGACCAACGGCACCCGAAGAGTACTTACGCAGGGTTCCCCTCCGTACAGCAGCCTCCTTATGCGCGTTCCGTCCCACCCAACCAGGCTCATACCCTCAGCCAGATGGATCTGGTTTGGAATGCTCAAAGCGTAGGACTTGGCAATCCCGCTGCTTCATACTCGACCCATCATCCCGTTGATGAAAACGAGGGGTCTTTGATGGTAGGCTTGACTTTGGCAGGTATCCAGCCGTGATGCTTATCGTAATTCCAGTATACTCCGGGCACATTATATGTCTCTGACGATACTAAATACGCTGAGGCGACTATGGTGCGTTCAATTTTGGCCAACGGCACCCGAGAAGTACTTACGTAGGGTTTCCTCCCGTACAACAGGCTCCTGATGCGCGTCCACTCCCACACAACCAAGCTCACACCCTTAATCAGATGAATCCGGTTTGGAATGTTCAATATGCAGAACATGGCAATCCCGTTACTTCATACTCGGACCCCTCTCGTTGATGAGAATGAGGGGTCTTTGATGGTATGCTTGACTTCGGCAACTATGGTATTGGGCTACTAATTAAATTGAGCTAAGATTCCGCCCTTTAAACCGCCGCCACACGCCACCCATTCCCTCGCTACTGCTGATGCCGTCCAGTTCATTGGCACGCCTAGGCGGACTGCGGAATATGGTCATGCGAACTCTATTAACCTCGGAATTGTCGGAGGACCTCATGGCTGTTGGAACACGCGAACCCTTTTTCGACTCGAGCGTATGTCCGCCGTCAAACATGGTTCCGCCACCTTCTCTGGAACCGTGTGGACACGTGCTTTCTGGGGGCATTCCAACATCCACATGTCCCCCAATTGCATCGAACGTCGCTGATGGCACCATGGTGAACGCGGGGACAATACCCATCTCACTTGATCGTCCCATGCTCCGGCCTGGCGGAGGGGATAATCGTGAAAGGATGGATGGAATTGACCACAATTCCGACAACGCCCCCTACTCGGTGGCGCCATCATGGTCGCTTTCGGATGCCTCTCGGTCACTGCCTCATAAACTGCAACCAACACACAACATCGGGAACCTTTCTATACCTAAGAAGTCACCAAGAACTGACCGTTCCACTGGGCCCTCGACAAGCCTTCCAACAGCACCCAAACGCTGCGGCTGGCGGGACAACGACGGAAAGATATGTGACATGCCTGTTACGTACAACAATCTAGTACATCATTTCGCTGCCGTCCACGACATCAAGGACATGGCATTCGATGCCATAATCGAGTGTCGTTGGTGTCGTCCGGGAAACAGAATGAAGCGGGAGAGCATACTGAGACACCTCAGAGAGAAGCACTTGGGGTATCCGCGCCGGAAGAACGGGGTTACGCGACTTTCCCTTCAGTTTCCTTCGATGACCTCTTCACATAGCGCCATGAATACGGGCACGCCGGTGGAATCGCCAACGTTCGCTTTACCCTATCTTCCTTATCCTGTGTCCCCTAGTAGTGCTCTCTCCCCGCGTTCCTGCAACTTTTCAACTTCTGCATCCTCGGTGGCCATCCCGCCAACTTCGCCATCCTTGTGGAAACAGAACGAGTATAGTGTGCTAGATTTCACGTCAAGCTGCGACTTTTATCGCACAGAAGACTAGTAGCGTTCTAAGCTGCGTTAGATACCTGCAGGACACCAGTCGGTGTCCGACATTTTTTCCGACCCTCCCAAACCATACATTGGAATATGTACGCAATTTTATGATTGACTTCTCACGTACTATGCACAGCCCAACTGGATCGAGTAGGCGATTCACCTGAGATATCCCAGTATCCCGGCGGTCGCCTATACGAGTCGACATGTAATAGTTTCTACGTACTGATTCTTACGGTCACCCATTCACCTTTCCTCCTGACCACGAGTTCCGAAGCGTGACAGGCAACCTCCGCTTGATGGATGTCCTACAGCAGACCATATGACTACATACTCAGATGTTCAGGTTTCCAGGAAGAAGGGCACAGCACAACGCCACCGAATTGGAGTCTCTTCGAAATAGGTGTAGCTCTTGTCGGGAGACGGCCGCGTAGTGCTTAGTCAGAAAGGCGAAGACATGGTCGTGTGTCGTGCGCATCAACAACTACATACTTCAGCCTATAGCTTCCCCACTCGGAGCTCTGTTCATTGCTCAGGAGGCTTCTCTCCCACTGTTTCACGGGAACAAATTCACAGGGACTCAGCGGGGGCTGGGTCAAGCTTCTGGAGTAGAGTGTACTTCAATGATGCACACAAACATGGAAACGAACCCCACCTTGGAGGAGGATACAAAACAATTAGGACAAAGAGGTCAGAGTCGTAAAGGCCGCCATCATGTGTAACGAGCCAACACGTAACACTATCTCATGTGAGTAGAACCGCCAGGCTGGTGGTATCGTCAATGTCTTATCTTTGTCGCCGAAGCGAACACAATGTATCAGGTGAGTACTTGTCCTGCTGGCACCGGTACGTATCCCGTTTTTCGCTGGGGGTGTGATTATAGCTGCTCAATGTTTTTTTGACTGGCAAGAATTTAAACTTACTGCTGCATACCTGGTTACTAATTCTGTAGATATGCCTGGCACGTCGCAGACACACTATACTTGGGTTGTGGGCCTAGCAGGACACTGAGTTAAGGAACCACTAGCCTCCTTCCTCCCCTGGGATCTTATCGAACTGTTCCTACGCGACCAAATTCATCTCTCACCGGTTGATACCGTCTGGATATACACTACATTGAACCCATCTCCGAACCTCTAGAAAAGTTGCCTTCGCATCGATCTTAACCTTAATCCTTTGCTCCTTCCTGTGCACAGAATTCCATCCCAAGATTAACCTGTGACTCTACCAGGTTTCTAGTGTCGTCTTCCATCAAGGGAGACCTCAGTTGCCCATCTTGGACGAAGGGTCGAATAAATTTGGAGTTCCAGAAGATAGCGTAACTTTCTTGCTGTGCAGTGTGCACCAGAGGCTCACGGAGAAGTTCCGAAGCAACTCTGAAAGGGGCAAGAACGAGGAGATGATGTATGATGACCAAAGAGAAGTGAGTCAGTTATGTTTTGCTTTGCTTTACCCCTAGAAAGTTACCTACAAGGTTCGAGGCAATCCATCCCCACGGACCCTCGCACCGTATTCCCTGATCTGCTGGCAGTATGAACACCAAAGTCACTCGTAGCATCAATGCTGCGAATACTATCGTTTGACCGGTGTTGCAACATCAAAAAACACTGTTTCAGAAGCACACAATCACATCAGTAATTACACTAAAAAATACATGGGTATATAGAGGAATGTGCACAGAAAACCTTCTGATAGAAATAAAGATGATATGTGTGGTGTAGAAGATGCCAGAGAGATGCTGGTCTATGCATTCAACTAGTTAGCTAGGGGAAGGAATGTATGGTGCTCGTGGGAGAGAATCTAAGAGTATTTGGTGAAGTACTATATCACTAGGGGTGTTGCTTGAAAGGGACTGGGCAAAAACTGTTAGGTTTTCTGGCCCTAAAGCCAAGACCTGAGTTGTCAAGCTGAGCTGTGAAACCCAAAACATAAGGAGTCAGTGATGCATCCAGCAAAGCTCAAGGCCCAGGAAAAAAAGAGCTGTGGACTCACTTCCTACTGTACTGGGGGGAGTATGTATCATTTGAGAGCATTGAGTAGCTCTGGTTTGTACTGTAGGAAAGGAGCAAGCACCAGAGCATGGTGCCTAAGGTATATGGTGAATGAATCCCCTGACCAGTGACCCATGGTCTTAACAACATCAAAAGGGACTTTGTTTAGTAGGTAAAAGAGTGTGCCTCTGATGTGGAGGCTGTGGCATTGATATTCGGCAGTCCTGGGTGAGGTTTAGCTAGTTTTGCTATTGTGCTCATTACTTCTGTCTTGGATAAGGGTCTAATGCTGTGAATGGGGTGCTCTCAGGTGAAGAGGTGTGTGTCATTGGTAGCTGGGTTTAGACAAATGTGGTTTTGTAGGGCTCACATGGGGTCTGTGATGGGGTTGTCTTGGGGGGCACATTGAACTGTTTCACCCTTGATTGAGCACTTTGTGGCTGGGAGGTTGAAGACTATTACCAGGAGACCTTGCTGATTGTGTACAAGTTGGAAACTTACTCTGGAGATGTGTTTTGTTGGGTTGAAACTTTGGATGGAGGGTACAGTGAATTCTCCTAGTCTGGTGATGCAGTAGAACATTACTACTATGCATGTGTTGTGAGTCAAAGTGTGGTTCAGTGGTGAAAACCAACCAAAACCAACACAAAAGACAAAAAGAGTGAGTGGTGGTGTGCCTATGTGGTACCTAGATGGTAGAACCTTTGATTTGGGTGGGTTTCTGCTAGCTACAACACTCAAAGATGAGTGCTGAGGGTTGGGGGTGCTCCTGATGAAGAGGGAGCAAGAATGCAATAGAAAGTGATAGGGTAGACTGCTGTCAGCCTACAGAAGGATGGATGGTGACTTAATTTGATGTCCTGAGCTGCACTGAGCTCAGGGAGGGCTTGGAGCAGAGTATATTGATGATAGACAATAACAAGCAAGGTAGATGATAGTTAGACCCTTAATAAAGTCTCAACTATCAAAGCTGATGGAGGATTTACTGAGTGATGATAAAAATGTGAGCAAGAGGGGCTCTCTGACATCTTTTTTTTTGCTACCTAAGTACAGTGATTTATATACAGTACAGGGGTATTGCCCATGGAAAACAAGGTGCAAACACTTGGTAAGTGATTGGTAACTGATGAGTAAGGAATGTAAGTGATGGGTAATCATCTTGGAAAGCATTGGTAAGCATTGGTAAGCCAAAAGGTGAAGAATCAGTAAGCAAAGTCAAAAGATTGGTAAGTATTGGCAATAGGTGAGTCAGAGACAGCCAGAATGTCAAAGTATGAGTCAAGTAATGGCAGGAACTGGGAAAGCACACTGGAATCACATTAGGGGGAGGCTGTGCATGTCACATCTCGAAGAGATCACTTCTAGGCCAAAGTGGGATGACAGAGAGGTAGCACTGATCTGATGCCAATATAGTACATCCAAAAGTGGACAGGATGAGTCAGATGTCAACAAGGGTCAAGCTTTGGGGGTCTGTGGGGGTGACAGGAGCATGGGGGATCACAACTTTTCCCCCCAAACCATCCTCTCAGTGAAGCAAACAAAAACTTCATGAATGAGGCTCTGTTAGAAGAGAGGATGAAGGGGGAGTGTCTTCTGCTGTATCTTGCAACAAGGAGGCAAGATGTGCATCATACTTGTCATGGATGCAATCAGGGAGAGTGGAGAACAGTAGATTATACTGTAGCTGTCACAATCTTGGAAGAATGACAGATGAGACTGGTATGAAGACATTGCAGGGAGTAGGGAGGATGGATCCATATGTTTCTTGGACCAGAGAGACTGAAATGACCACATAAGACCTTTCCAAGCAAATGACAGACCTGAGGTGACCAAAGAATGTCCTCCTAGAGGTCATACTGACAAAAAGAACATGCTGTCCAAGCTGGATGGGCTGAGAGGGCACAGACAAGGGTGGGATGTACCAGGATGCTTCAGGATGGAAGCTGGTAGGAACTCCTGGTAGATATATGTAGCCATGGTCCCTAGAAAAGGGGACAAGCAAAATGATTGATGTGGAGGCAGCCATATCAGAAGAATTAGTGAAATGAGTGTCTTTTGGAGGGAGTGCTGTAGAAATGTGTGGAGCATGCAAATCCTTTCCAATCTTGGAAGGTAGGATCATGTGGCTGAGCACTACAAGCAAGTGTGGGAATGGTCTTGGTATCTGCAGAAACAGTGGAGATATGTCAAAAACTGGAATGCCATACACCAGTGCTTAAGAATTTTAACCAGCACTTATCCCACTCCCTTTCTTTTTCTTTGGCACTGATGACTTGTTGTCACACACCAAAGGTGTTTGGTGAGGTGGACATGGATACAACTGATGAGTGGAGGTGGAGACCATAGCCCTCATGTGAAGAAGGACAGCCAGAAATGTCAGCAGTCATCCCTTGCACAAGAACGAGTCATCAGTGCCAAAGAAAAAGAAAGGGAGCAAGTTAAGCACTGGTTAAAATTCTTAAGCGCCCATGTACAGCATTCCAGTTTTCAACATATCTCTGCCATTTCTGCAGATACCAAGACCATTCCCACACTCACTTGTAGTGCTCAGCCATGCAATCTTACCTTCCAAAATTGGAAAGGATTTGCGCACTCCACACATTTCTACAGCACTCCCTCCAGAAGACACTCATTTTGCTAAGTTCTTCTGATATGGCCACCTCCACATCAGTCATTTCACTTGTCCCCTTTGCTAGGGACCATGGCTACATATATCTACCAGGAGTTCCTACCAGCTTCCATCCTGAAGCATCCTGGTACATCCCACCCTTGCCTGTGCCCTCTCAGCCCATCCAGCTTGGACAGCATGTTCTTTTTGTCAGTATGACCTCTAGGAGGATGTTCTTTGGTCACCTCAGGTCTGTCATTCGCTTGGAAAGGTCTTATGTGGTCATTTCAGTCTCTCCAGTCCAAGAAGCATATGGATCCTTCCTCCCTACTCCCTGCAATGTCTTCATACCAGTCTTGTCCATCATTCTTCCAAGATTGTGACAGCTACAGTATAATCTACTGTTCTCCACTCTCCCTGATCACATCCATGATGAGTATGATGCACATCTTGCCTCCTTGTTGCAAGATACAGCAGAAGACACTCCCCCTTCATCCTCTCTTCTAACAGAGCCTCATTCATGAAGTTTTTGTTTGCTTCACTGAGAGGATGGTTTGGGGGGAAAAGTTGTGATCCCCCATGCTCCTGTCACCCCCACAGACCCCCAAAGCTTGACCCTTGTTGACATCTGACTCATCCTGTCCACTTTTGGATGTACTATATTGGCATCAGATCAGTGCTGCCTCTCTGTCATCCCACCTTGGCCTAGAAGTGATCTCTTCGAGATGTGACATGCACAGCCTCCCCCTAATGTGATTCCAGTGCACTTTCCCAGTTCCTGACATTACTTGACTCATACTTTGATGTTCTGACTGTCTCTGACTCACCTATTGCCAATACTTACCAATCTTTTGACTTTGCTTACTGATTCTTCACCTTTTGGCTTGCTAATCCTTACCAATGCTTTCCAAGATGATTACCCATCACTTACATTCCTTACTCATCAGTTACCAATCACTTACCAAGTGTTTGCACCTTGTTTTCCAAGGGCAACACCCCTGTACTGTATATAAATCACTGTACTTAGATAGCAAAAAAAGAAAAGAAGATGTCAGAGAGCCCCTCTTGCTTGCACTTTACCATCACTCAGTAATTCATTCAGCAGCTTTGATAGTTGAGACTTTATTAAGGGTCTAACTATCATCTACTTTGCTTATCCTTGTCTATCATCAATATACTTTGCTTCAGGCCCTCTGTGAGCTCAGTGCAGCTTAGAACATCAAATTAAGTTGCCATCCATCCTTCTGTAGGCTGACAGCAGTCTACCCTATCACTTTCTATCGCATTCTTGCTCCCTCTTCATCAGGAGCACCCCCAACCCTCAGCACTTGTCCTTGAGTGTTGTAGCTTGCAAAAACCCACCCAGGTCAAAGGTTCTACCATCTAGGTACTGCATAGGCACACCACCACTCACTCTTTTTGTCTTTTGTGTTGGTTTTGGTTGGTTTTCACCACTGAACCACACTTTGACTCACACCAGAGAGACTGAAACAACCACAGAAGACCTTTCCAAGTGAATGACAGACCTGAGGTGACCAAAGAATGTCCTCCTAGAGGTCATACTGACAAAAAGAACATGCTGTCCAAGCTGGATGGGCTGAGAGGGCACAGATGAGGGTGGGATGTACCAGGATGCTTCAGGACAGAAGCTGGTAGGAATTCCTGGTAGATATAAGTAGCCATGGTCCCTAGCAAAGGGGACAAGTGAAATGATTGACATGGAGGCAGCCATATCAGAAGAATTTAGTGAAATGAGCATCTTTTGGAGGGAGTGCTGTAGAAACATGTGGAGTGTGCAAATCCTTTCCAAGTTTGGAAGGTAGGATTGCATGGCTGAGCACTACAAGCAAGTGTGGGAATGGTCTTGGTATCTGCAGAAATGATGGAGATATGTCAAAAACTGGAATGCTGTACATGGGCACTTATGAATTTTAACCAGCACTTAACTTGCTCCCTTTCTTTCTCTTTGGCACTGATGACCCATTCTTGTGCAAGGGATGACTGCCAACATTTCTGGCTGTCCTCTTCACATGAGGGCTACAGTCTTCATCTCCATTCATCAGCTGTGTCCATGTCCACCCCACCAAACACCTTTGGTGTGTGACAATGCCCATGCTCCAGCTAGCCTTAAAAAGCAGCCAGTTATGTGTAGATAGAATTATCACCTGACAGAAGTACTAAACCACCCTTACTCCAAGGTGGAGTGTCTAAAACAGCCAGCAGGAACAGTGGACTGGTGGAGGGCCAAAGGCCCTGCCACCAGGGCATTCACTCACTTGTAAGGGAAGGTAGGCCACAGGGGGCCTCTGGTTAGGTAGATAAACTACATTTGTATAGTGTGACATAGGGTTACAACTACCCTCAAGCACTTAAATATGAGTTAAAAATAAAAAATAAAAATAGCAACACAGAGCCAAAAAGGAAGCAGACTGCTCTCTCCACACCAGTGGGTCAGATAGTTGTTAGAAGTGTCTGTACCTGCAGTGGACCAGGTTACTGAAAAAATACTACAATACTGCACAGTTGTTATAGTACTAATGCATAGTGGTCTGTACCATGATGTAGCAAATTTGTCAGCCACTGCAATGCTGGCAAGATGGCTGGCCTTCTCAATCACAGATATTGCAATTAGATGTACTCGATAACACTCAGGGAATCCTGACTTAGTATCATATCAATATTTTCAAGAGTATTGAACAAAAAGATGCATAAATTGAAATGTATGGACATGCAAATCAAAGCATATGGATGCATAAATCAAAGTGTATGGATGCATAAATCAAAGCATTTGATGATATTGGTGAAGTTCAGACAGCCCTCCCTCAAAGGCCTGTGAGGATGATCTGGCCCATGGATATTCCCCAGCCTGAGGATCACCTTCTGGATTGATGTGACTGTATGTGAATGCAGTAGATGTTGGGTGGAAGGGAGCCTACCCCTGAGTGGGATGGAGCCCCATACATCAGCATTAGAGATGACACAGCCTCATAGACCACTACCTCATCTGCGCAGGGTATGAATACATGCAGAATCTTCTTTGGAGATGTGACAGTTTGGTTTGAAGAGATTAATTTCCTTGCAGTGGTTGTCATTTTCCATAGTCAAAACACCAAGCAAGGCAACTTACATTCCCTGTGTATTCAACCACATGAGGTGGGCAGTGAAAGCAGGCCCAATGGCAGTGTTCTGCAATGCTTCAATAAAACCCTCATAGTATGCATTGAATACAGGGCAGTAGTCTGATCCAGTGAACTGGATTGCACTACCAGAATTGTGTGTTCATCCTGGTGTGACATGGTCAAGAGAACAGGTAAACTGCTTATGAATTAGTCTGGAGGTATCCACAGAAATAATTATCAGCTTACTGCCACAGCAGAGAGTGCATACATGTGTGTTGGCATGGTCTTGTAGCTGCTGGCAAATGTTTTAACTGGGGAGACTGATTGCATATACCAGAAGTTTGTATGGAATCTCTTGAAAATGGAGTTTCCAAACCATCTTATGATGAGGCCCTAGAGACATGTCAGTTAGATGCAATTGGTTGTAAAATCATGCACATTATTGTCATGCTCATGCATAAAGAAGTTGGTGATATCAGTCTGGTCCTTGAGTTTTTCCAATAGCAAAGTTTTCCATAGGGTATATGCTGGAGGGTCTGCAAGAAGTTGAATATCATTGGTTCTGAAGAACTCCATCACATAGGTTTCACTGAATTCTACAGCTTTGGACCATACAAGACCAAGTGCCTTCAGAATCTGACAGGCAGATTAGTGAATGTTATCAAAAAATGCATGAAACTTACCAGCATTTCAATATCCTTCATCATTGCTACATCTATGTGGTAGCTTAAGGGCTTGAGTGCTCACAAAGCTTCAGGAAGACTTACTGCCCTGCAATGCCACATTTGCATGTGACAAACACATGGACAGTACTCTTCCAAACTGTGCAGGTGTTTTGGCCATGGAGCCAACTGATGTTCAAAATCATTTCACTAGCTAATGCCTGGCATGTGTACTTCAACACTTCCTGAACATCTTCTCTATACCATGCAAGGCACACTGCATTGACATTTTTCTTGTGGGTACTGCATGGTGCCCAATGCCTGGGTGCACTCCTGCCATCTTCATCATATGTAGATACCTGGCTCAAAGTGTGGATAAAAGTTGCTCTTGATGACAGGGTTCTTGAAAATGTTCTGAGTGATGATGTCCATCATGATGATATGGAGTAGATGGATGAATCTGCAAATGTGCAAAGTTGGTCTTGTGATGGGGCTCTAGAAGCCCCACAATGCCTTTGGTGGGTCACCAGGACATCCATTTCTTTCCCTGTGACCTGGTAATGAGTCATCATAAGGGTGTATTGATTTAGAGTTGATTGGATTGTTACCTGGATCATTGCAGCAGCTGCTTGAAGTCTGTTTGTGGCAGTCATTACTGGTGGCTGGGGTAAGGTGATTTGTGGTGTGAACACTACCAGATTTTCAGATACTGGGGGTGGATCAATCATACTCATATCAGCCTGATATGTATGAACATGGTGGGGGGGGGAATGGTATCATGGAAGGGTCAGTGGGACAAACTGATAAGGCTCATTGCCTGCAGGGGTTGTCAGTTAGTGTCAAATTGAGCTCAATTGAGTCTTACCAAGGTGATTATAATGAGTGAAGGATCTGTACCCATCAGGTTCAATATTGGTTGTGTTGGTGTCTGATTGAGATGGAGTAGGGCCATGGTATTTGATCAGATGGAACAGTGGCAGATGTTCCACAGGACTGGTCACTGATGATGCTTGATTGTGACTATGGCCATGACCATGACCATGACCACCTGCATTACTACTGCACCCTCTTGACTTGGAAGGAGGATTTGAGCCCTGTAGAATGAAGGTGGGGTGGGCCATCAGGATCAAACTCACATAAGACAGTGCACACTCACAAGGGGGCATATCTAGGGGACTGTAGCTAGAAAGAACCAGTAGGGTAGTATATATAGTAAGCCCTGGGGATGCATGTTTGCAGGCATGCTTCATGATAGACCCTACACCTAATCAGCTGGGCAAAAAATGAAAACAGTGCCATAGTAGGTTAAACTTACTGAAGCTCCATGGACAGAAGACCATATAGGATGCCAACTCTGGGGTGAGGTGCAGAAGTTGCAACATGTGGTGTGCCTCAAAATTGCTGCATTCATGCCAACATGCCAATGCTTGGTACAGACATAAGATGGACATTGTGCAGCCACAGCACAACACAGCACATAGACATATAGAACAAACAATAAGTATACCATGCTGTATGATGGGCATAAAGAATTCAAGCATTATCGAAATTGGAAGGGATGGGGGAGGCAGAACCTTCACATTCTGACCCAGAAAAGTCACTGTCCTCAGTGTTACTGTTATCTACTGGTAAAAGTTTGATGCCAGGGTTAAATAATGCTAAGCTTCCTTCACAGCTAAGGATATGCTTGACCTCCCCAACCTGACAGTCAGCAACTTTCAGAAAGGTCTTTGCCTCCTCGAAAGTCATCCATAGCAATCATTCACATCAATTCAATCTCTTGAAGGCAGAGGTGCTGATACTTGACACCTGTGGCAAATGCATCTCAGCTGGCCCAAGCAAGCTGCAGCATCAGATGAGAGCAAAGGTCCTCAACCTCTGGAGATATGTTGGCTGTAGTCTGTATCTCATTGTCAATATCAAGTCTAGCTGTTTACAAGATTTCCTGACCATTGTGACCAGTTTCTTGGTCTTTTTGCATGGAGAACCACTACTTTTATCAGATGGAAGGGCCAGCTGAAAGTGGGTGTGCTTGAGACTTTTGGGTGATAATGCAACATGATCCAAAACCTCTTCCTCCCTTAACTTAGTTGGTGGTGTACTCATCATATTTGTTTTTTGATGAAGGGGGGGTTGACAGAAGGGCAAATTGACTGGATTGTGGTGTGCTAATTGAGTGATTTTCTGATGACTGCATGGACATATTGGCACCAGTAAGTACTAGTGCACTTAGCAGTAGAAGGTGGTTTGAGGGAGCACAGCTCCTAACCCTAATCCTATATCACTACTCATGGGTTGGGGACACATGTAAACCACTGACTGTAGATCCCCATCTCTACAATGATCCTTGTCACTTATTCCCCCAGTAAGCTTTGCCCATCATCCATTTTTAAAATTGCATGACCCATGTAAAAAGAGGCAGAACAGTAACCTGGGACTTCAGTATTGGAATGGCCACCTCAGATCCCTTCTCAATGACTCTTCCTGCCCTAGCTAATACTGGCTTCACTTGGCCTAACTGCACTACACTGTTTACGACAGGGGATGCCATGATGCAGCATCTGTCTGGGCCAGGGCCATGTGGACAGTGGCTTGTTCAAATCCTACCCAGCATGGAGCCTGTAGGGTTGCCCTTTGGAGATGAATACCTCAATGATGTCAATGCTGCTAATGATGGTGTGTAGCATTCAACAATCTTTATGCAGTTAACATTTAAATTCTCTAGTTGACACAAATAGGAACTTCAACAACCCATTCAATGATAGTGATGATGATAGTGAGAACAGCAACCACACAAACATTTACCATTCCCTTGAAGATGACACCCACTACAAATATCCTGAAACTCTCCCCCCTTCAGCATCAGCTCCACATGTATGAACATATCATCCAAATCAGGGTGAGAGCCTCAAAGGAGGCTTGAATCATCTTCAGTGCATGGACCAAGATGAATTCACACATATATCTGACTCTGAAAACATTTATTATCCATTTGCATCAAAGGGTGAGTGGGAACTCACCAACTGGCTGGCAAGTGGTGCCTTATCACAGAAGGAGATCAATGCTTACTTACATCTACAACATGTGAGTGTGCTCATCCAGCACATGTGTGAATACTCACTGTTAAATAGACAAAAGACTTCCCTGTTTCATTCAACACCACCAAGGATCACCATGCACATATTGAATCTTTGCCTGAAGTCCTGCATTGGCATTTTCAAGATATTAAAGTAGAGTCTTATCAAACAAAAGATCTGCTCATCCTTGATTGGCATGATGGTCCTCAAGGCAGTCAAACACCTCTTTTGCAAGTCCAGTTTTTGCCAATTGTATGGACATGAGTCCATATTGAGAGTTTGAGGAAACACTGAATGGCAGAGAGCATTGTCACACACCAAAGGTGTTTGGTGAGGTGGACATAGATACAGCTGATGAATGGAGATGAAGACCATAGCCCTCATGCAAAGAAGGACAGCCAGAAATGTTGGCAGTCATCCCTCACACAAGAATGAGTTGTCAGTGCCAAAGAAAAAGGAAGGAAGTGAGTTAAGTGCCAATAAAAGTTCTGAAGTGCCTGTGTATGGCATTCCAGTTTTCAACATATCTCCACCAATTCTGCAGATACCAACACCATTCCCACACTTGCTTGTAGTGCTCAGCCATGCAATCCTACCTTCCAAAATTGGAAAGGATTTGCACACTCCACATGTTTCTACAGCACTCCCTCCAAAAGATGCTCATTTTGCTAATTCTTCTGATATGGCTGCCTCCACATCAATCATTTCACTTGTCCCCTTTGCTAGGGACCATGGCTACATATATCTACCAGGAGTTCCTACCAGCTTCCATCCTGAAGCATCCTGGTACATCCCATCCTCATCTGCCCCCTCTCAGCCCATCCAGCTTGGACAGTGTGTTCTTTTTGTCAGTATGACCTCTAGGAGGACATTCTTTGGTTGCTTCAGGTCTGTCATTCACTTGGAAAGGTCTTATGTGGTTGTTTCAGTCTCTCCAGTCCAAGAAGCATATGGATCCTTCCTCCCTGCTCCCTGCAATGTCTTCATACCAGTCTTGTCCATCATTCTTCCAAAATTGCAACAGCTACAGTATAATCTACTGTTCTCCACTCTCCCTGATTGCACCTATGATGAGTATGATGCACATCTTGCCTCCTTGTTGCAAGATACAGCAGAAGATGCTCCCCCCCCATCCTCTCTTCCAACAGAGCTCCAATCATGAAGTTTTTAGTTGCTTCACTGAGAGGACAGTTAGGGGGGGAAGTTGCAATCCCCTATGCTCCTGTCACCCCACAGACCCCCAAAGCTTGACCCCTGTTGACATCTGACTCACCCTGTCCACTTTTGGATGTACTATATCAACATCAGATCAGCACTGCCTCTCTGTCATCCCACTTTGGCCCAGAAGTGATCTCTTCAAGATGTGACATGCACAACCTCCCCCTAATGTGATTCCAGTGCACTTTCCCAGTTCCTGACATTACTTGACTCATACTTTGACATTCTGACTGTCTTTGACTCACCTGTTGCCAATACTTACCAATCTTTTGACCTTGCTTACTGATTCTTCACTTTTTGGCTTACTTATCCTTACCAGTGCTCACCAATGCTTTCTAAGATGATTAACCACCACTTACATTCCTTACTCATCAGTTACCAATCACTTACCAAGCATTTGCACCTTGTTTTCCATAGGCAATGCCCCTGTACTGTATATAAATCACTGTACCTAGATAGCTGAATAAGAAGAAGATGTCAGAGAGCCCCTCTTTCTCATAGTTTATCATCACTCAGTAATTCATTCATCAGCTTCAATAGTTGAGACTTTATTAAGGGTCTAACTATCATCTACTTCACTTATTATCATCTATCATCAATCTACTTTGCTCCAAGTCCTCCCTGAGCTCAGTGCAGCTCAGAGCATCAAATTAAGTCACCATCCATCCTTCTGTAGGCTGACAGCAGTCTACCCTATTGCATTCTATCACATTCTTGCTCCTTCATCAGGAGCACCCCCAACCCTCAGCACTTGTCTTTGAGTGTTGTAGCTTGCAAAAACCCTCCCAAATCAAAGGCTCTACCATCTAGGTACCACATAGGCACACCACCACTCACTCTTATTGTCTTTTGTGTTGGTTTTGGTTGGTTTTCACCACTGAACCACACTTTGACTCACAGTGTGTGTACAGCAAATTCATGAGTGCTGATTGGGCTTGGGAGATACAGGTCAGTAACATGTTGATCAAGTACATCTCTGACACTGAGACTTCCTGTGATAGGACTCATTACCCACTGGTCATTCCTTCCTTGGTGTAATTGGTGCTTCAGACAAGACTCCTTTGACAACTGGTACTGGCAATAAAGAAATGCACCCACTTTTGCTCTCCCTAGCTAATATTCATGCTGGTGTGCAGATGAAGGCCACATCACATTCATTTGCACTTGCTGCATACCTCCCAATTCCAAAGTTCCATAACATTTCACCTGCAGTACAGGCTGTTCTATCCTCCCATGTGTATCACTTTGCCATTTCAATCATGATGAAGAACTTGAAGTTAGCCCATCATGATGGTGTGGTCTTATCTGATCCCAACAGTGATCTTTGCATAATCCATACACCACTTGTTGCTTGGATCACATATTACCCTGAGCAGCTCCTTGTGGCCTGTGTTTCCTCAAAGAACTCTCCAATCTCCATTGCCTACAGCAGACCACTTTGGCAACCCCACCCCTCATCTCTCCTGTGTTCACCAGAATACCCTTGCAGCTATCCATGAAGCATGCATCACTTGTGATCCATGCAATATTGCTGCATTCCACAAGGTATGTTTGGAAAAGCATCTCAACAGCATTGTGGAACCATTCTGGGTGGATTGGGGGGATGCATGTCCATTGGTCTTTCTCACACCTGATGCACTCCATCAATGGCACAAGTTTTACTTTGACCATTGCTTGTGCTGGGTTATCAATATTATCAGAGGTACAGAACTCAATCATCACCTTGCTCTCCTTCAGCCAACAATTGGGACATGTAATTGGCTGAATGGAATTTCCACCCTCAAGCAGTGCACAGGCAGGGAACATTGTGATCTTGAAAAGGTACTACCCATTGTTGCCACAGGGGTGTTGCCAGACAATGTTCTTTGCACCATTTGGGCAATTACTGAGTTTATTTTTCTTGCACAGAACATCTATCACTTCAATGAGACCCTACATTCATTCATGGAAGCACTGTGGGAGTTCCATCACTATAAACAAAGTGTCATTTCTGCTGGAGGTTGCCAAGGTAAAAATGGACCACTTCAACACTTCCAGATCCCAAAGCTGGAGTTGACTCAACATGTTGTATGGAGCACATGTGCTATGGGTGCTCCTTACCAATGGAGCAGTGACATCATGGAAAGGTGTCATATTACCCATGTCAAGGCTCCCTATCACCTCTCCAATTGCCATGATTTCCATAAACAATGTTGTCATTTTCTTGATCAACAAGAAAAACAATGGTTTTTCCAGCTCTTCACCATGCTCAAGATGGCAGGTGCACCTCTTATCAATGAGATGCTGTATGAGGCTACCCAGATGCAGATTCACTACCTGGAATCAACTTGGATTTCTAATGTATTGCCAAATGAACAGTACATGGGCTCTGTAGCACCCAGGAAGTCTGTCTTCAACAGTGGCCAGTCTTGTATTTCTTCCAACAACTCCACTGCATTTCTCCTTACTGCCAAGCCCCACTTTCCTAGCATCTCCATTGACTATGCAGCTCCCCTTTTGATACATGACCTGTGACCTGCATTGGGAGACTTTTTTTTGGGCCAGTCATACACAAGCTGCCATGGCTGCCATCTCTCCTCACCCAATTCTCCCCTCCCTTTCTTGCACTTTCACTCCTGGGACAAGTTTTGCATTCAGCAGCATTTGGCACAGGACCCCCTCTCCCTGTCACCACCTCAAGCAATTCAGGCTGTTCCCCCGAGCACCAATATGCCATGGGGTTGGGCAAACACTGTCCTGATATGCCATGAGAGTGGTGATGTGATTTCAGCTGGTCATGTGGATGAACATTTGCTTTATATTCCTTATCACTTTTTACTCTCACCAACAACACCATTCTACCATTCTGGGTTATCTTGTTGCCCAAGTTCAAGCAATTTTACAACCTATCACCATTCCCCCATTCCCACCCCTCCTTTATGTTGAGTTCTTCAACTTCTCCAGTGCCCATTCTGCAGTGGTAGATGGTATACATGTCACTGTGCCTGCTCCCAAGATCAAAATGTTTGTCACTCAGCAGTGCTTCCAAAGCAATGGCCAGCAGTTAGGAGATATCATTTGCTTGGATGATGTTTGTCAGGCTGTCCAACTCATCCCCAAGTTCAGTGCACAGGCACCACCCAGGTTGACCTGTGACAACTGCCTGGAGGTTGGATGAGAGTTCTATGTCAATAGCTTCACAGATAAAGAGGTTTTCCATGCCATTCTTAGTTACCAGTAGTTGCTGCACATGATTACCAATGGCATTCTGTTTAATCTTACAATGTACTTGAGTCATATCCTTGCAAACAGATAATCAGGACTTGATCATCATGATTGCCACCACTTCCCGGTCAGATAACTGATAGTCCATGTACGTGATTACACCCGCATCTTTAGAATGGTAATTTGCTACCATGTGCGACAAGCTACTACAACTCGCTACAAACTGCTAGTTCGGCAGTGAGTTGCTACGAGCGGTTGCCTCGGCTGACCATTTCACTGATGCACTGTTGTTGAAAGATCAAGTCTTCTAATCTTCCTGAAAGTTCAGACTCTCCGCGCCCGTATTTAACTAATAATAAATTGATCGCAGTGATCGATCTCGATGTTCAATTTGAAGAAATCAATGTCAGCGGTACAAGCGACGACGGTCGGGGACGAGTGCAAGGGAATGAGTTAAAACTACACCTCTTCATCAGAGCAGCCTATAATCTACATTTTCACCGTATCCTGTTTGCACCTTGAGACGGAACGAGGAAATCATGTACCACACTGATCAGTGCAATGCCCGGTTCCAAGTATTTGAGAAAATCTCACGTGATGCATGGTGTGGCCAACGCAATTATGTAATGGCGGCAAACAAAGTGAAACTATGAAGTAGCCGAAGTCGTAAGTCCCTTGAAGCACATGGACCACTTGTGATGCTCTCACATTATCCTTGTCATCAAGCGCTGTTCTATGAGTGGACAAGGTTCAAATTCCTCAATTTAGTCCCATATTAACTTGGCGCCCAGGTGTGGCGTCTGGTGGAGTACTCTGCAGTTGAACCGCGACCGCTGACTCGACTTCTCGTCGATCCGATAGGATAGGTGGATGGTACGAGACACCGTAAAGCTGTAAATACTACAAAGTCACCGCGAAACAAATACAAGTCCAGTGAAAAATCGAGTAATACCGAGTTACCTACCCGTGATGTGGCCATTCTGTCGTTCTCGGGTTGGCAGCAAGCATGGGGTTTCAGGTAAGTCGCTGTCACAATGACGCGGTGCTTTTACAAAGCTCAAAAACGGTTTTAGGTTCACTGTCGCGGTGGTTAACATAACTTCGCGTACGTATGTACCGTCGAAGCGTAGTTGATTGCTTCCTGAGCGTTTGTTGACCATGCCGCGTGTAACATAGGTCCGGTGAGTGGAAACTGATAAGCGGTTCGATTCCTATGTGAATAGCTGTACTGGGTTATTTCCCGATCTGCATGATGCCGTAGCTAATATTTGATATTCAGCATTACCTGGTGGATCATTGTCTGTCGATTTTGAGCTAAAAATCCTGGCGATTACGTGACGAGGCGAGCAGGTAAGTATTGGCTCTCACATGCATATCTTCTTCTCTAAATGCCCAAGTCCAGACATGAAATCGACCGAGAGGAACCGGGGGATGCCAAATCGCGGAATCCCTGCCTGCTGAACAGTCTCTCCAACACAGGAGGCCGACTGGCGATACTACGATGGAGGTCAACCCTCGAACGAACTTGCTCAAGATAGTTTCATAGGAACTTTCACCTACATATAGGGGTTCCTAGTCAACAGGCAATGGCCCACCAACGTGCGAAGTCTGCGAAAATTCGCTGCAAGATAGGGGTACCTAGCGCGGTACCCGGAACGGGTCCCTTATATTTGGTATTTAGTATATGTATATTGCATGAAGCTTGGTGTCATAGTTATCCCTTTCACAGCCGGTATTTCCTTTGGCCACTCGGATTTCCAGCGACAACGGTAGCGGAATTCCACGCGTTGCGCAATAAAGGCTATTTTCCCGTCTTGTGCATGGAATCCACATACACTATTTCTGCTCCTGCCTAACTCAGAACTTTCTACTAACTTGCATCGTGTCTCCTCTTCGGGTGTCAGGTGATACGCACTGGAGTGGGTGAAATTATAAGGATCACCCTACACGGCATTTGGAATTAATATGACCTGATCAAATGAAAGTGTGAAAAGGCGCACGTCCGCGACTACGTCCTGTAATTTGGCGACGAGCATACGATACATGGGTGGAACGACCTGGACCGGCATGTTGATCAAGCGTTAACACAAGACGAGTCCTAGGTGGGCTTTGGCCCGATTTTGAACCTGTATTTTTGGTGCAGGCAGCAAAGACAACGTGCTGTAGAGGGTAAGATCCGCTGATATCTTTGGCAGCATATACTACCCTATGAGAGCCTTCACAGCAGGACTATCCTGTGCTCGTTTTGTCCATCAGTGAACGCTAAGAAATTAAAATCAGGAGGTAAGCGTACTCGGTATGCATCGCAGCTCAAGACAGTAGGAAGAGTACACGGGTTGCTCTCTTCGCCATTTGTTTTGATGGTGTTCTCGACGCCAGAGTTCGCTGCCGACAAGATCAAATCTGTTGACGTTCCTGTCTGCAAGCCTTCGGCGCCCGCGCCGAACAGTTGAATCAATAACTGATTGATAGCATGGTAATCGACCTCAGCGTTCAAATTGCAGAAATCAAAGTCAACGTCGACAAAAGCGGGTGTCTACTGAGGTAGTGGTATCAGCGAAGATGATCAGTATTGCAAGCGAATAAACACATACTTCTTCATCAGAACTATCATAATCTGCGTCTGTATCAGGATTTTGTTTGCGCTTTGACACAACAGACTCACAGGAGCAGCTTTTTTCGGATTTGTGGCCCATCATTTGGCCAACCTGATCAATGATATGACCTCACGTGATGGCGACACTGTCGTGAACGTTCAGAACATGTCTCACATTGCCCTTCCGATGTGCCAACGAGGCGCCGTTGTATAAGTACACCGTTACAGCGTTGTCCGGTGAGACGCTTTCCCGGTCACTTCTACTGACATGGCATCCAGTCGTCACTTCGTTAGTATTTCATGGTTCAATGTTTCCCGACCTTGTACTGACATGGCACTCAGCGTAACTTCTTCGTTAGCATGTCATGGATTGGTGATATTGCCGTGAATGTTCAGAACATGTCTCACATCGCCCTTGCAATGTGCCAACGAGGCACCGTTGTGTAAGTACACTGTTTTACAGCCTTTCCGGGTTACTTATACTGACATGGTATCCAGTTGTCACTTCTTGGTTAGTATTCCACAGCTCAATATTCCCCGATCTTGTACTGACATGGCACTCAGCGTAGCTTCGTTAGCATTCCGTAGTTCAACAGTTACCATGGATTCATTCTGGCTCTCGGGTTTTGTGTCAGAAAACAGCCACATCCAGGTCATTCTTTGGTATGACTGCGCACGGCTCCCACCAAGCAGTGTCCTTCCTTGCTGCTGTCGTTGGCACGGCCTGTATTGCCCACTGCACAAAATCGAGCAAAATCGAAGCGAGATTACTCGCTTCCTCCAAGCGTCTGTTGGTGGGACTTTAGCCGAGAGACGCTGTGCCTGACATATATCTGGCGATTGGGAGTTGATAAGCAGCGACTCCCCCATGTCAAAAACCTTCCCCCCCACTTCCCCCTCCCAGCTCTCTGTGCGATTCTAGGCTGATATCAGGATTCCGCGCTGTTATATGTAGGTTGCAAGGTTAGGGGGCTGTACGGGACCATATGAACATGTAAGCATAACCTCCAGCGGTAAATCTCGGTCCTGATTGACTAATTGCGACAAACAGCCGAAAGAAAAGGAAAAGACACCAGGAACCGCCGCCACAGCATCTGCAAAACTACCCGAGGGAGTGAGCAGGTTATACCTGCCTCCGTTTGGAAGTGACTTGTCGTAAGACTCGCTAAGACACTTGTTGGCCAATGAGAGAGCTCGCTCAAGTGCGGAAGAGCTGTTAACAGCCGCGTCGCGTAGCTGTTTCCCAGATGCACATCCCTAGGCTCATCACCATGACAGGATCTATTTTGGTGATGCAATGTTGGAGTGCAGAGCACCCCAACACCGCGAACGGACGCGCCGTGGTTCTACTTGGACTTTCATTTTCCCCGGCCAGTACCGCCAACCAAACGAATCAGCTGGGTGCGAACATCCACAGCAGCCAGTTGCATTGCCCAGGGGGGTCTCCTGGGTTGGTTCCTGTGTACTCGCTACATGCGTAATTTTGAACTATATTCATTGTCTCCGCAGTCAGTCACTCCTTGACTGTTCGGCTTCCCAATGGTTGCCTTGCTAGGCTTTTCTCCAAGGCGAGGTTGCGGTCGAGATAGCGGCCTGCCTCTCGAGTTAGAGGAAGTTCTTCGATCGAGTGAAATTTAACCCCCCAACCCGCTCATAATACCAGGGTGTAAGTGATGCTCACAGATTTCTGGAAGCAAGTTAACGCCTGTCGGAGTTCTATAGGACTTTCTGTTAATTCTTTCTTGCAGTCTGCTGTCAACTTCCCACTTGAGATCCGCGTATTTGACGTCCATTCCTGAATTTTAGTCCAACTAGGGCTGCCCTCCAACATCAGAATCCACCGCCTCCATATGTATTGCAGGCCCACAAATGTCTCTCATGTCTGCCTTTTTCCAGTCAATTCAATTGCGAACGAGGTCAGTCACATTCCCACCTCAGATCCTTGGCTGCCTTCCTTGGTCCACTGTTCTAAAGTATCCATAGTCTTCATATATAGATGCAGACCTCTGAGCGGAATCCCTTCATCAAGCTCGTTTTCTGTTCACCAACCCCTTCAAAATTATGTTCCCTCAGCCTCGGTTTTCGTCCGTATTCCCCACCCCCGTGGAGGGTTATGACGCGTCTGCTTGTTATCTTCACTACGATCTGGAAGACAGCGACTGCTTCCCCCCAGACGAAGACTTGCTGGGAAAGCGAACAACTTCTTTGCTATCAGAGTAGACCTTACGCCACCTCTTTGCAATGTGCCAGCACCTCACTGTCATCTTCTGCATCAGTGGTAGTATTCATTATGATTTTCCCGAGGTGAAGAGACCATCCACATTTATCTTCGGTGCAGCCTGCTTACGCTTTTTACCATATTCCAGCAGCCGCGCACATCGGATGCACCAGCTATATCCGGACAGTCCACAATCCGTGTGGATTACCTGCAAACCGCTACTGTTTTCGGCCACCAGGACAGTGTACAAGGAACAGCGAATCACTACAGTATGTCCCACTTGGGACCTTCCTATTTTCCCGCCGTGGGATCTGTCGCCGCAAGCTCGACTTCGATATCTGCATCGGCAGGGACTGATTAATGACTTCCATCTTTTCACAGTTCGATTCCTTAGTGGTCTCGGTTCAAGCCACTGAAGTCAACGTTCCCGCCAGACATCTTGCTCTTCCCCAAGGGTACCTGGGACCCTTTAGCAATGATGCCGGCGCCGTCGTCACCTCTGCCAGTTCAGTTGGCTCCCTCGCCACAGCCGACACGACAGCTTTTCCTTCGGAGATTTCCCGGGTGTGCCCCATCCCAATTCGGTTTACGAACACAGCAGCCGGCACTCCACAAGTAACGCCACAGCCCTATCGAAGGCCTTGTGAGTGGAAAGACAACAAGGGGCGTATATGCGGCGAACTCGTCGGTTGGTATTGTCAGGACCATCTGGCCATAGTCCACGGCATCGTCAACATATCAGGTAGCACCCACGTCACATGCGGTGCTTGTAGCGAGAAGAAGATACGTAAATTTATTTTAAGGCACTTTAGAGAGAGGCACATTGGGTTCCGTCGCTCAAAGCGAAATGCCGCGTAGGCTAGTAGGCAAGAGATTGCTATATTCTGGTGAGGCCTATGGATACCTCTTCTGTTGGACGAATTTGATAGGCTTTTTTTCCGTCTGTACACAGGTCTTACGTACACTGCAAAGAGGAATCCTATTCAGCTTGTGGTGCTTGATTACTTTCCTCGTGGGGTCGTGATCGCTGCTCATCCTTTTACACGAGCTGCTTCTGTTCCATCCTATGACTGTGGTGGTGAATGAACGCTGATATCCCATCACTGAGCATCATACACCCACAAACAAATAGAAGCCATGTCGTTCGGTTTCTGCTAAATTATTGGGTAACAATCTGAAAAACTCCGATTCGTACAACTGTGCCTACTCCACGGCTCTCTCTCTCCACTGTTGCACCCCGTTCCGGTGAACAGGTTTACGTAAGATTGTTCGTATTTTAGCCTCCGGTATGATCTCGGTCTTAACGAAGATTCACAGGGCCACGAGGTTGCCACGAATGTTAATGGTCCAGGCCCCGCCGAGAATGATGACCCTGCATTCAATACCACAGCATTGAGTTCCCTCAAGACCAATTCCTGTGACGCTGATACTAGGGAGCAATAAGCTTTCACCTACACTGGTTTCGGTGGTCTCGAAGACATGCCGTTCCATTACTCCGGAATAATTCACTCTTGGAACTGCTGCTATCTTAAGGTCCGCGTTGCATGGAACCTTGCGCTATGGTGTAAGGGACCTATTGAAGTGCAGATGTTCGGTTATCTCCGGTTGGTTCCAGCGAACGCTTACTTCCGCGGATACCGTGTTGGTACATATACAGATGCAAGGGCGCATCCACACCATTATTTCAGGGTTCGATTTGACCCATCTGGAAGACTAGCTTTTTACGGAGCTATCTCCGTAGCACCCCTTTTTACTTTTGGCGGACCTCAGTGGCAGCGTGCCAACATTTCCACGCTGCAAGGATACTTAAGTATCTGTGGGCTACGGCGTAGCCCTCATGCAGCCGAAGGCTTCGTCTCTCCCGTCCTTTCTTAACACTCAAACATTCCTTTTCCTAGAGCTTTCCGCGCCCGCGTGATCCCTTCTACAGATCAGACACTCATCCTACACGACACTGATGCCTAACATATATGCCATGTTGGACCATTCGCCGCCATCATTCTCTCGGGATGTGGCTCTCTCACAGCAGGAGTATGAGCTCAACTACATGCTGTATGGCGCAGTACCCAGGGACTTCTCGAATGGCGAAGATGCACTGCACCAAGACCGGACCATTCCACCGTTGACGTGAGCGGCATTTCACATTGGGTACCAATTTTTGACGTATCCCGTATTCAGAGGTCATCCTGTGATCTTAACCGAGGTTGGCCGTCCTACCATCTCTTCCACCTTAAAGGGGTATCTAAGGGATTTCTAGTATGATCAACTTTTTCCGATCCATTTGGCACAAACCTCGGCTATTGCGCCTGCCCCAGGAATACATGGAACGAGAGATGTACGGCTTCTCCACCGAGTTACCTGCCGTGACACTTATCGCACTCCCAGCGTGCTCTAGACACACTATGCCTAGCTGACGATGTTGGCAAGGTTGAGCCGTTCGTGGTGGGTTCATGTTTGACGGCATCCCCTGAGGTCGCTAACACATTACAGTTCCCCTTCGTGCAACAGCATCCCCCTTGCAAGTCCACTACCAGCCGCCCGGGCTAATGCCCTCGACCTGATGAATGGAGTCCAGCACTGGGATGTTCAAAATGTAGGAGTACATGATCCCCTTCCCGTTGCTTCATCGGCCAGTCACTGGCCAAGGACATGGAGGGCCGTCGATGGTAAGCTCGACTTTGGCGAGTGCTGCCTTGGGTTACTGATTAGTTGTGTTAAGTTTACGTTGCCGCCACATGACGCCCACTTCACCTTGCACTGACGCTAGTGTACAAATCGGCGAGCCGATGTGGAATATGAACATCGATCGAGAGATCCTTTTTAATCTCGGAACTCCCGGAGAATCTCGTGGCTACCAGGATGGACAAACCTTGCACAATTCGAGTGAATCATTATCTCCATTTTCCAACTGGACTCCGCCGTCTTCTCAGGGACTGCCCGCCGGGGCCGTTCCAACGCCCGCATATCCCCCAATCGTACCAGATATCGTTGATGGAACCACGACGAACGTGAGGATGATACCCCTCCCACCCTGATCGTACTGTGCCTCAGCCTGGAGGGGGGGACACTCATGAAAGGATGGACAGAATTTGTCACGCCTTTGGGAAGATGGCACTATTGTCATACTCAAATGAGCCGTGGAATCAGGAGGTAATGTGACTTCCACATTTCCATATCCCCGAGCAACCAGCTGAACACTTCTTACCGTATTCCAGCAGCTGTGTACACCGGGCACGTCAACTATGTCTGTGTTGTCGACGTACCACATGGACTCCCCGAAAACCGTCACATTTTTTGGCCACCATGGCGGGGTGCAAAATGGACCAAACGACCATGTCATTTCCCAGCCCTGCTCTCCAAATGCGGGACCTGTCATTGTAAGTTTGACTTGATACCACAAGAGCCGCCACTTACTCATGCTTTCCGTATAGCCCGCACAACACGTGCCCCCTGCGTGTCCTGGTCTTTTCACAGGATACTTGGAACCGCTCAACGGCGGTGCCAGCTCCGTCGCCACCTTTGGCAGTTCAGTGGGCGTCCTTGCCACAGCCAACTTGACAAATTTTCCATCGGAAGCTTCTCAGATACACCCCTCCCCAACTCAGCCCACAACCTTCGCAACCTCGGGGCCTCCACAACAGTCTTTCAGTGATCCGAAGCCCTGTCCTTGGAGAGACGAACAGGAGGTTATATGCAACGAACTCGTGAGCTGGGATTGTCAGGACCATCTGGCCTCTGCCCACGGCATCGTCAACGTCTCGGGTAGCACGCTTGTCACATGCGGTGCTTGTGATCTCCAACTGAAGCGCGAATCTCTTTTGAGACATTTTCGAGAGGTGGATCTCAGATTCCGTCGCCCAAGGTGAAATACCGCCAGCGATCGCTGACATCTAACAAGGTACGGATACCTAACTGTGTGCTTGAGAATATTGTGAGACCTTCATTTCGACCTGCATACAGGATTTTCGTACACTGCGAGAAGGGGTCCCGTAAACTGTGTTATTGTTATGACTTTTTTTGTGATCGTTCGCTCTTTCTACACACCCATTTCTATTCCATTCTATGGATGTGGTCATGAACGATGCTGAGCACTTAATCTGCCACTATGTATGTACTGGTTATCATACATTCACAAATAAGTACATGGCAGTCACGTCGTTTGGTTCCAGTCAGACACTTCAGTATGTAGGGCGCAATCAGACTGCTTGTTCTCATTCCGTAGCTCTCGTTCTGCTGTCGCACCCATTGCAATGCACGATTTTACTTATGTAAGGTAGGGAAGGTCGCAATGGAAATACCGCCTGGAAACGCCAAGTCTCGCGCAGGAAGTTCACAGTAAATGCCAATATTGTGGAGCTTTGGGTGAGAAAATTGTAACGCCACAGTTCGCGGAAAGCAGTGAATTCCCACCTCAGATCCTTGGCTGCCTTCCTTGGTCCATGTTCTAAAGTATCCATAGTCTTCATATATAAATGCAGACCTCTGAGCGAAGTCCCTTCATCAAGCTCGTTTTCTGTTCACCAACCCCTTCAAAATTATGTTCCCTCAGCCTCGGTTTTCGTCCTTGGTCCCCACCCCCGTGGAGGGATGCGACGCGTCTGCTTGTTATCTTCACTACGATCTGGAAGACAGCGACTGTTTCCCCCCAGATGAAGACCTGCTGGGAAAGCGGACAGAGTAGGCCTTACGCCACCTCTTTGCAATGTGCCAGCCCCTCACCGTTAGAAAAATGTGGATGGTCTCTTCACCTCAGGAAAATTATAAAGAATACTACCACTGATGCAGAAGACCTACAGGAGATTCCAGAAAAACGCTTACTCCCGCGGGTACTGGTGGTACATTTGCGAATAAATGGGCGCATTCACATGACCGTCCAATTATACAGCCTCGTGGCTGGGTTGGTGTGTTTGAAGGTTCGATCTGACCCATCCGGAAGACTACCTTTTACGGAGCTTTCGTTTCTAGGGCGCATCCTTTACTCTGCGTCGAGTACTTGAGGGGCAGCATGCCTGCATTGCCCCACTCAGTATAATGGTCTGACCACACCATAACCCTCGTACGGCTGAGGGCTTCGCCTCCCCTATTCCTTTCTAACTTCACTTCGTGCTCCTTTTCCCCCAGAGCTTTCTCCATCCTCGCAATCCGTTCTGTGGATATGCAACAGCATTCATCCTATGTGACACCAATTCCCAGCATGCATGTCATGTTGGATCGCTCGCCACCATCATTCTTTCAGGATGTGGCTCGCTCCAAGCAGGCGTACAATCCCAGCCGCTTACTGTACGGTGGAGGAGGCGGGTACCTCCCTGATGGCGATGATGCACCACACCAGCACAGGACCATCTCACCGTTCACGTGAGTGGCATTTCATATTGGGTACCAATTCTTGACATACCCTGTATTCAGATACGGTCATTCCATGATCTTAACTGAGGTTTGCCATCCTACCATCTTCAGTCATGAGGAAGTGGCCGCCCTCGTAGTATCAAACTTACAATGACAGCTTCTGCATTTGGATAACAAGACTGGGATATATCGTAGTAGTTTGGTGCTCTTTGCACACCGTCCTGGTGGCCGAAGAAGGTAGCGGAATTTGAGGGGTCTACGTGGTAGGTTGACAGCACAGACATAGTTGGTGTGCCCGATCCGCACAGTTGCTGGAATACGGCAACAAGCGTTAAGCTGGCTGCATGGAAGATAAACGTGGACAGCGTTCTTACTTCCTGATGCCACGACTCATTTGAATATGACAATAGTGCCATCTTGCCAGAAGCGTGACAATTTCCGTCCATCCTTTCACAATTGTCCCCCCCTCCAGGCTGGAGCGCAGTGCGATGGAGTAGGAAGGGTATCGTCCCCACGTTCGTTGTGGTTTCATTAGCAATGTTTGATACGATTGAGGTACATGTGGACCTCGGAACGGCCCCGGTGAGCAGTCCATGAGAAGGGGGCGGTGCCCAATTGGAAAATGGGGGAAACGATTCATTCGAACCGAGGAAGGTTTGCACATCCTGACAACCATGGGGTCCTCCGAGGGTTCCGGGATTAAAAAACTTCCCTCGATAACTGTATTCCACGTCGATTCACCCATTTGTACGGCATCGTCAGTGCAATGGGAGCAGGCATCACGTAGTGGTAGCTGGGGGTGCTGAACCTTAATAATTAACTAAGTAGTAACCCAAGACGGCACCCGCTGAAGTCCAGCCTACCATCAACGAGCCTCCACATTCCTCGGCGCGACTGGTCGATGAAGTAACGGGAAAAGGATTATGTACCCCCACATTTTGAGCACCCCAATGCCAGACTCCATTCATCAAGTCGAGGGTATTCGCTCGGACGTCTGGGAGGGTATGTGCGTAGGGAGGCTGTTGTGCGTAGGGGCACCGTAATATGTTAGCAGCCTTAGGGGGCATTGGCCAAAGCTGAACCCACCATGGACACCTCAACGTCTGCAGCATCGTCAGCTTGGCACAGTGTGTCCGAAGCATACTGGAAGTGCGATAAGAGTCATGACAAGGAACTCAGCAGAATCACGATTTACATCTCGAGTTCCATGTATTCCTAAGGCGGACACGATGACTGAGGTTCGTGTCAAATGGCTCGGAAAATGTTGATCATGCTAGCAATCTCTTAGAATTCCCTTTAAGGTGGAGAAGATGGTAGGACGGCGAACCTCGGTTAAGATCATGGAATGACTGTATCTGAATACAGGGTATGTCAAGAATTGGTACCCAATGTGAAATGCCGCTCACGTCAACGGTGGGATTGTCCCGTGCTGGTGCGATGCATCATCAGCATCAGGGAGGTGCCTGCCTCCTCCACCGTACAGTAAGAGGCCGGGATTGTACAGCTGCTGGGAGCGAGCCACATCCAGAGAGAATGATGGTGGCGAGCGATCCCACACGATATGCATGCTGGGAATTGGGGTCACATAGGATGAGTGCTGTTGCATATCCACAGAACGGATTGCAAGGATGGAGAAGCTCTTGGGGAAAAGGAGCACGTGGGTGAAGTTAGAAGGGAATGGGGGAGGCGAAGCCCTCAGCCGTACGAGGTTTATGGGCAACGCCACAGAAGCCTTCCAATGATTAGGTGATGTCCCTGCAGCAATATAATTAGCCAGCGAATCTGCCGCAACCATTCGGGGAAGGCAGTGGGTTCTGAAGCAGCGCCCGCTCGCCCACAAAGCTACCATCTCTCCACATGAACCCCTGTCTGCAGCTCGTTCGATCGCCCCGATTCGGAGCCTAACAGGGCTTAAGCCCTACCGCCAGTCGATGCCAGCTGCATATGCATACATTGATTCCGCCGCCGAACCTATAGAAAAGGTGACTCCATGTCGATCATAACCTTAATCCTTTCCTCCTTCGTGCGCACAGAAATCCATCCCGGATTAACGTACGACTCCACGGGCTTCTAATGAGTCTTCCTTCATCAAGGGGGGGTCCGCGTGGCTGCAGCGTTGCCTACCTTGGATGGAAGGTCAAATGAATGTGGAATTGCAAGAGATGACGTAGCTTTTGGACAGCATGTGCACCAGAAGCGCCCTCAGAAGTTGCGAAGCAACTCTGCACGAGGTCAGAGCGAGCAAACAACTGGGCCGTAGTGACCAAAGACAAGTGTGTCAGTTCTATTCGCGCTGCCTACCCTAGAAAGCCACTCGCAAGGTTCGTGGCAATCTATGTCCCATGCACTTTGATCCCTGACCTTCGAAGTCACTCTCAACATCGACTCTGTGAACAACCTCATCTACCACACGTTTGCTAAAGGTGATGTAAGCAGAGATCTCCATGTGACGGAAGGTCATTGCCAGTTACTGTCGTCACTGCCTCCCATTGCCACATAGCATTCTCCTCCGCTCTCGCACTATAATCCCGCGTATGCCTCTGTTTTCGTAGCGTAAACGTTACTTGTATGCGTGTACCGCTTCGAATTCTGCTGCGCAGAAACCGTCACTTCCTCCCTCGGATGTCAGGCGTGCGCTGCCCTTTAGTTGATGGAACTACCTTGTGCAGCAAACTGACTTAGTACGATCGGGGCAAATGAAAGTGTGAAGAAAACAGTGACCATATCAATATCGAATTTCGTCTCCGGGTATGCAATACGTCGACCAAGATTCGCGCCAAACAAGTTCTACGTGTACCTCTGTGCGATGCTGAACCGGTGATTTGGGCGCAAGCAGTGAAGACAGGGTGCTGTAGAGAGCAAGATGCCCTGTTACTTTTGACGGCATGCCATTAGCAGGGAAGCCGGAAAAATAAACATTCGTACCCAGTGTTGCAAGGATTGTTCCGCACAGTTGTTAGGAGATCAACATCTGCTGTGAGTGTATACATTCCGCGGCTGGTGTCGAATCAAAAACAGAATATTGATCGCATAGTGATCGATCTCGATTCCCGATGCTTAAATTGAAGAAATCACAGTCAGCGCTATTGACGTGGTGGTATCAGCGACGATGATCAGCATTTAGTTGTAAGGGAAGTGGGAAAAAGGATGCCCCTTCTGTAATCTATATATTGTTCGCACTTTGACGTAGAACAAGGTGCTGTTAGATTTGGCAAGTCGTACGTAGCCCATTTCGGCCGCGTCCATCCTGAGCCGTGAGAATCTGAGCTCCGAAGCTTCGCGTCCTGCAGCAGACCATATAACGACATACTCAGGCAAGTTCAGGTTTCCAGGAAGAAGTGCACAACACAACGCCACCGAATTGGAGTTTCTTTGAAATAGGTATAGCTCTTGTGCAGAGCCGTAACGTATGGATCACAGGCATCAAAAAGCGAGAAGATCAGAACCTCACGGAAGCCTTCCATGGGGCATCGAGTGAACTGACCACAGCGAGAGAGCTGGCATATGGTATGGTGCCGTACAACTGGCGGTAAGTGTTTACTTCATACTTGGTGTAGTAGGGAAGCCTGGGGACAGGAGGTAGCAAACAGTCACGTAGTGCTTAGTCAGACAGACGAAGACTTGGACGCGCAGCATGTGCAGCTACAAAGTTTAGCCTATAGCTTTCCCAGAGCTCAGTTCATTGCTCGGAGGCTCTCTCCAACTTCTTCATCGGAACAAATTCACAGAGACTTGTGGGGGGCGGGCCAAGCTTCTGGAGCAGATGTACTTCAATGATACACCCAAACATGGAAACAAACCCCTGCCCTGGAGGAGGATACAAAACAATTAGGACAAAGCGGTCAGAGTCGTAAAGGCCGCTATCGTGTATAACAAACCAACACGTAACACTATCTCATGTGAGTAGAGCTGCCAGCCTGGCGATATCAGTCAAGTCTTACCTATGTCGCCGAAGCTGAATACAGGTGTATCAGGTGAGTACTTGTCCTACTGGCACCAGTATGTGTCCCGTTTTTCGGGCGGGTGTGATTATGGTTGCTCAATGTTTTGTTGACGGCAAGATTTTAAACTTACTGCTGCATACCTAGTTACTAATTTCTGTAGATAAGCCTGGCACGTCGCAGACACACTATACTGGGTACGTGGGCCTAGCAGAACTCGAGTCAAAGAACCACCAGCCTCCTTCCTCCCCTGGGACCTTATTGAACTGTTCCTACACGATCAAATTCATCTCTCACCGATTGACACTGTCTGGATATACATACATTGATCCCCTCTCTGAACCTCTGGAAAAGTTGCCTTCCGTGTCGATCTTAACCTTAATCCTTTGCTCCTTCCTGTGCACAGAAATCCATCCCAAGATCGACCTGTGACTCTATCAGGCTTCTAGCGTTTTCTTCCATCAATGGAGACTCCGTTGCCCATCTTGGACGAACGGTCGAATAAATTTGGAGTTCCAGAAGACAGCGTAACTTTCTTGTTGCGTATGTGCATCAGAGGCTCACAGAGAAGCTCCGAAGCAGCTCTGCGAGGGGAAAGAACGAGGAAATGAATGATGTATGATGACCAAAGAGAAGTGAGTCAATTGTGTTTCGCGCTGCTTTACCCCTAGACAGTTACCTACAAGGTTCAAGGCAGTCCATGCCTGCGGACCTTCGCATCGTATATCCTGATCTGCTGGCACTATGAACACAAAGTCACTCGTAACATCGATGTTGTGAATAAATTTTTCTGTCATACTTTCGTAAACCGATTTTGAATTTGACACAACTCCGTACGACCACGAGTCATCTCCAGCACTGTTGTCACTGCCTCCCATTGCCACACTGTGTTTCTCGATCTCCGCACTACATACCTTTGTTTTCGTACCGTAAATGTTGAATCAGGAGTATACCTGTCTATCCCCCTACTAAGGAAACAAGTGATGAAGAAATTTCGGAGTCAGGGGAGTAGTTCACAAGGTGTGTATTGAGAATCATCATAGAAGATGAGAAGGTCCATTGACTGAACCTGCTCTATCGGCTTACTGAGCTCCTTCTCTTCTCACAATGAAGCAGGGAAAGAGTCAGAACATGACCGTGGTTCTGCCCACACGTTGACCGCAACCCGGGTAGCACACTGGTCAAAAGCAGTATCACCATGTACAACAGCTTTCACCGCCTTCACATTGACTCTAACCACAAGAAAAGAAAAGACCAACGACGCTATCGAGCGTGATGCCAGTCTGCTTTGTCGAGCGCAGGGAGTGCCACAAGATAACCCATTACAGGAACCTGGCACGACTCGTCTACTAACATCAAAATGGCTACTTCCTCGTTCTGGGGTACAAAATCTCTGCTCCGTGCTGATCCAGAACTTCCTGCCAACTCGTATCACTTCGTGTGCAGCGACTATCGCCTCCCCTCCCTCAGGGCATCGGGTGCTATACCCTGGGTATAACCAGGTATGTACAACTATGTAGTGGGAACTATAAGGATCACTTTGCACAGTGCTATGGTTTCTCCGATCGATTGCATAACTGCAAGAGCAAGTGGCACTGATATGTTGATCAAATGGGGCTCTGTAAAGTGCAAGATCCGTTGATGCAGTGCTTAACAGCATGTGCTGCACGAGAACCTTCACAACCTTCACAAGTCAGATCATCCGACATATTGTAGATTCGTCAACAGCAACACAGGAGCCGAAAAGGAAGCGGACTGCTCTCTCCACCAGTTGTTAAAAGATTTAATCTTTTAATCTTCCTGAAAGCGGACACTGTCCGCACCCGTGTTTAACTAACAATAAATCGATCGCAGTGATTCGATCTCAGTGTTCAATTTGAAGAAATCAAAGTAAGCTGGTACCAGGCAACGATGCTCGGGGCTCAGTGCAAGGGAAGGGGATAAAATCATACCTTTTCATCGGAACAGCCTATAATCTTCATTTTCACCTCATCCTGTTTGCACTTTGACCTGGTTTCAAGTTACACAATATCTGTGATAATCTCACGGTGTGGTTGACGCAGTTCTGTAATGACGGCAAACAAGTGAAACGATGAGATAGTCGAAGTCGTAAAGTCCCTGAAGCATATGGACGACTTGATGTTCCCACAATATCCTTGCCCTCAAGCACTGCTCTATGAGTGGACAAGGTTCACATTCCTCAATCTAGTCTCATATTAACTTGGCGTCTAGGTGTAGCGTCTGGTGGAGTAACATAGAAGTTGATAAGTGGTTCGATTCCTATGTGAAAGGCCGTACTGTGTTACTTCCCTATCTGCATGATGCCGTAGCTAATATTTGATATTCAGCATTATCTGGTTGATGAATGATTATCTGTCAGTTTTGAGCTGGAGATCCTGGCGGTTACAGCGACGACGCGAGCAGTAAGTATTGGTTCTCACCTGCATACTCTCTTCTCTAAATGCCCAAGTTTAGATATGAGATTCGACTGAGAGGGACTGGGGGATGCCAAATCGCGGGGACCATGCCCACCGGACAGTTTCCAACACGGGACTGCCAACTGCGATACCACGATGGAGGCCAACCCTCGAACGAACTTGCTCACGGTAGTTTCATTGGGACTTTCATCTGCGTCTGGGAGCTTCCTAGTCAAGAGGCAACGGCCCGCCAACGCGCGAAAGTCTGCAAAAATTTGCTGCAAGAGAGGAGTACCAGTGCGGCGTCCTGAACGGGTCTTCTTGTATTTGGTATTTGATTTATGCAAAATTGCATTAAGTTTGGTCTCATACTTATCCCTTCTGCAGCCGGTATTTCCTCTGGCCACTCGGATTTCCAGTGAAAACGGTAGCAGAATTCCACGCGTTGCGCAATACAGGCTATTTTCCCATCCTCTGGATGGATTCCACATACACTATTTCTGACCCTTCCTAATTGAGAACTTTCTGATGACTTGTATTGTGTCAAATCCTTCTTCGCAGCAGCCATCGCCTCCTCTTCCTCGGGCATCAGGCGATACGCACGGGAGTGGGCGAAATGATAAGGATCACCCTACACAGCATTTGTAATCAATATGTCCTGATCAAAGGAAAGTGTGAAAAGGCATACATCTGCGACTGCGTCCTGTAATTCATCAACGAGCATACAATACATGGGTGGAAAGATCTCTACAGGCATGTTGATCAAGCGTTCACACAAGACAAGCCCTAGGTGCGCTTGGGCCTGATTTTGAACCTGTATTTCTGGTGCAAACAGCAAAGACAGCGTGCTGTAGAAGGTAAGATCCGCTGATATCTTTGACAGCATTTACTACCCTATGAGCGCCTTCACAGCTGGATTATCCTGTGCTCAGTTTGTTCATCAATGAAGGCCGAGAAATTAAAATCAGGAAGGAATCGTACTCGGTATGCATCACAGCTCAAGACAGTAAGAACAGCACACGGATCACTCTCTTCGCCATCTGTTTTACTCCCGAACGCCCGAGTCCGCTGCCGACAAGATCAAACTTGCTAGCCTTCCCGTCTGCAAGCCTTCGGCGTCCGCGCCAAACAGTTGGATCAATGACCGATTGACAGTATGGTAATCGACCTCAGCGTTCAAATTCAAGAAATCAGAGTCAATGTCGGCAAAAGCGGGTTTCTATTGAAGTAGTGGTATCATCGGAATTTTGTTTGAGCTTTGACATGGTACACTAATGGGAAAATACAGCATGTTACACGTTGACACGGCAGACTCACAGCAGCAGCTCTTTTCGGATCTGTGGCCCATCATTTGGCCAACCTGATCAATGATATGGCCTCACGTGATGGTGATACTGCCATCAACCTGTCTCACCCTTACCATGTGTCGACGAGGCACCGTTGTATAAGTACGCTGTGTTACAGCCTTGTCCTGTGAGATCCTTTCCAGGTTACTTATACTTGGCATCGAGTTGTCACTTCTCGGTTAGCATTCCTAGTGTAGATGCCGGTTACCTCCGGTAGCAAACATCCATCTGAGCGACAAGCCTGAAGCACTGCCACCCTGCCTTTCTGCATCAGACGAGCACCCCCCAACAGACCGTCGCTGCTCCCACTCCAGCTCCTCACCCAATTGTCATTCCTTTCACCCACCCACCATGCCCTCTTCTTCACACTATAGCCACAGCCATAGATTAGCCCAGCCACCGTTCTAATCTTAGCCCAATAATTACATACTGTTCGAAATGCTACTGCTATGCCTACGCAGTCCTGTCAGAGCGAGCAGGTGACCCGCCCTCCCGAGCGGCTCCGCCTGCCTCGCCTCCGCCGAGCTAACGCTCGGCCCAGCCCAACCACTGACAGGACAGATCCTAGCGAAATGCGTGAGACGAGGATGGAATGGTTTAATATTCCCCGGTTTTGTACTGACATGGCACTCAGCGTAACTTATTCGTTGGCATTCCATGGTTCAACAATTACCATGGATTCATTCTGGCCTCTCGGATTTTGTGTCAGAAAACAACCACTTCCAGGTCATTCTTTGGTGTGATGGCGCACGGCTCCCACCAAGCTGTGTCCTTCCTTGCTGCTGTCGCTGGCACTGGCCTGTATTGCCCACTGCTACAAAATCGAGCAAAATCGAAGTCAGGTTACTCGCTTCCCTCAAGCAGTCTATTGTCGGGACCTTAGCCGATAGACGCTGTGCCTGACATATATCTAGGCGAATAGGGATTTGAATAAGCAGTGACTTGCCCATGTCGAAAACCTTCCCCTCCTACTTCCACTCCAGTCCTCTGCGATTCTAGGCTGATATCTGGGCTTCCGCTCTGTTATGTGTAGATTTAAAGGTTGGAGGGTTGTACGGGACCATATGAACATGTAAGCATAACCTCCAGCAGGTGAATCTCGGTCCTGATTGACCAAATGAGACAGACTGCCGACAGAAAAGGAAAAGCACCAAGAACCGCTGCCGGCACATCCCTGGGCTCATCATCGTGACTGGATGTAGTGTGGTGATGCAGTGTTGGAGTGCAGAGCACCCCAACACCGCGAACAGACACGCCAGTGGTTCTAGTCGGACGGTTCACTTCCCCGGCCAGCACCGCCAACCAGACAAAGTCATCTGGGTGCGAACATCCACAGCAGCGAGCTGCGTTACCCCAGGGGTAGGGGGGTCTCCTGGGTTGGTTCCTGTGTACTTGCTATATGCGTAGTTTTGAGCTATGATCATTGTCTCCGCAGTCGGTCACACCTTGGCTGCTCGGCTCCCAATGGTTTCCTTGCTAGGCTTCTCTCCAATGGCGAAGTTGCGGTCGAGATAGTGGCCTGCCTCTCGAGTCGATTCATCTATCGAGTGAAATTTAACCCCCCTCCCCCACTCGCTCATAATACCAGGGTGTGTAAGTGGCGTTTACAGATTTCTGGAAGTAAGTTAACGCTGTCAGAGTTTCATAGGACTTTCTGTTAATTCTTTCTTGCAGTCTCCTGTCAATTTCTAGCTTGAGATCCGCATATTTGGCGGCCTCTCCTGTCCTCAGTCCAACTAGGGGCTGCCCTCCAGCATCAGAACCCACCGCCTCCATATGTATTGCAGGCCCCCAAATGTCTCTCATGCCTAACTTTTCCAATCGATTCAATTGCGAACGAGGCCATCACGTTCCCACCCGAGATACTTGGTTGCCTTCCTTGGTCCATGTTCTAAGGGATCCATGGTCTTCATATATAAATACAGGCCTCCGAGCAGAATCCCTTCATCAAGCTCGTTTTCTGTCCACCAACACCTTCAAAATTATGTTCCCTCAGTCCTCGGTTTTCATCCTTAGTCCCCACCCCTGTGGAGGAATACGACACGTCTGCTTGTTATCTTCACTACGATCTGGAAGACAGCGACTGTTCCCCCCCAGATGAAGACTTGCTGGGAAAGCGAACAAATTCTTTGCCGCCAGAGTAGGCCTTACGCTGTCTCATTGGAATGTGCCAGCCCCTCACTGTCGTCTTCTGCGTCAGTGGTAGTATTCATTATGATTTTCCCGAGGTAAAGAGACCATCCACACTTATCTTCGGTGCAGCCTGCTTACGCTTTTTATCATATTCCAGCAAGCCCGGGCATCGGATGCACCAGCTATATCTGAACAGTCCACGTTCCATGTGGGTTACCTGCAAACCGCTGCTGTTATTAGCCACCAGGACATCATGCAAGGAACAGCGAACTGCTACGGTATGTCCCACTTGGTACCTTTCTATTTTCCAGCCGTGGACTCTGTCGTCGTAAGCTCGACTTCGATGTGTGCATCGGCAGGGACTGATTGATGATTTCCATCTTTCCACAGTTCGATTCCTTAGTGGGCTCGGTTCAAGCCACCAAAGTCAATGTTCCCGCCGAACATCCTGCTCTTCCCCAAGTGTACCTGGGACCCTTCAGCAATGATGCCAGCGCCATCGTCACCTCTGCTACTTCAGTTGGCTCCCTCGCCACAACCGACATGCCAGCCTTTCCTTCGGAGATTTCCCAGGTACACCCTATCCCAATTCATTTTACAAACGCCACAGCCTTGGGTGCTCCACAAGTAACGTCACAGCCCTATCGAAGGCCTTGCGAGTGGAAAAACAACGAGAGGCGTATATGCGGCGAACTCGTCGGTTGGCACTGTCAGGACCATCTGGCCGTTGTCCACGGCATCATCAGCATATCAGGCAGCACCCGCATCACATGCGGTGTTTGTGGAGAGAAGAAGAAACGTAAATTTATTTTAAGGCATTTTAGAGAGAAGTACATTGGGTTCCATCGCACAAAGCAAAATGCCACATAGACTAGTAGGCAAAGATTGCTGTCTTCTGGTGAGGCCTATGGATACCTCTTGTGTTCAACGAATTTGACTGACCTTTTTTTTTCGTCTGCACACAGGTTTTACTTATACTCCATGAAAGTATCTCATTAATTGTGCCGTTTGGTTACTTCCTGTTGCTCATTCTTTCATACGAGCTGTTTTTGTTCCACTGTATATGTTCGGTCATGAACTCCACTGATCCGCTAATGTTAACCATCACATACCCACGGACAAATAGAAGTCATCGGTCGGTTTCGGCTAAAGTATTGGGTAATACTTCAACTGGTACACTACGTTCGTTCTGCCGCTTTCACTTTGCTGTTGCACCCGTTCCAGTGGACAGGTCTATATAAGATAGTAAGTGTCTCACCTAGTTTTGGCTTCCAGTACCATCTCGGAATGTTCTCATCGAAGATTTGTGAGGCCACGAGGTAGCCTGCCACAAACCTCAATGATCCAGGCCCCGCCGAGATACTACGGAATTGAGTTACCTCGCCACTAGTTCCTAGTGACGCGGATACCCGGGACAATAACCTTCTCAGCTTTAATGGTTTCAGGGGCCCCAAAGATATACTGTCCCATTGTTTCGGGGCTATTCGTTCGGTTGAGGTGACTGGTCGGCATGCGCCTGCAAGCCACCAAAACATCTCGCCCATGAAACTGTTCCTATTTTAAAGTTTGCGTTGCACGGAAGCTTCCGCCATTGCACAGGGACCTATTGAGGTGCAGACATTCGCTTATCTTCAGGAGATTCCAGCAAACGCTTACTCCCGCGGATACTGGTGGTACATTTGCGAATAAATGGGCGCATTCACATGATCGTCCAACCATACAGCCCCGTGGCTGGGTTAGTGTTTTGAAGGTTCGAATCTTTTCCAGGACGCATCCTTTACTCCGCGCGGAGTACTTCGGGGGCAACATGCCTGCACTGCCCCACTCAGTATAATAGTTTCGGATCACACCATAGCCCTTGTACAGCTAAAGGCTTCGCCTCCCCCTATTCCTTTCTAACTTCACCCGCGTGCTCCTTTTCCCTCAGAGCTTTCTCCATCCTTTGCAATCCGTTCTGTGGATATGCAACAGCACTCATCCTATGTGACCCCAATTCCCAGCATGCATATCGTGTGGGATCGCTCACCACCATCATTCTCTCTGGATGTGGCTCGCTCCCAGCAGGTGTACAATCCCAGCCGCTTACTGTACGGTGGAGGAGGCAGGCACCTCCCTGATGCTGATGATGCATCGCACCAGCACGGGACAATCCCACCGTTGACGTGAGCGGCATTTCACATTGGGTACCAATTCTTGAACCCTGTATTCAGATACGGTCATTCCATGATCTTAACCGAGGTTCGCCGTCCTACCATCTTCTCCACCTTAAAGGGAATTCTAAGAGATTGCTAGCATGATCAACATTTTCCGAGCCATTTGACACGAACCTCAGTCATCGTGTCCGCCTTAGGAATACATGGAACTCGAGATGTAAATCGTGATTCTGCTGAGTTCCCCTGTTATGGCTCTTATCGCACTTCCAGTATGCTTCGGACACACTGTGCCAAGCTGACGATGCTGCAGACGTTGAGGTGTCCATGGTGGGTTCAGCTTTGGCCAATGCCCCCTAAGGCTGCTAACATATTACGGTGCCCCTCCGTACAACAGCCTCCCTACGCACGTACCCTTCCAGACGTCCGGGCTAACGCCCTCAACTTGATGAACGGAGTCCAGTACTGGGGTGCTCAAAATGTAGGGAGTACATAATCCCTTTCCCGTTACTTCGTCGACCAGTCGCGCCGAACAATATGGAGGGTCGTTGATGGTAGGCTTGACTTCAGTGGGTGCCGTCTTGGGTTACTGCTTAGTTAATTATTAAGGTTCAGCACCCCCAGCTACCACCACATGATGCCCGTTCCCTTTGCGCTGGCGATGCCGTACAAATGGGTGTGCCGATGGGGAATACGGTTGATCGAGGGAAGTTTTTTAATCTCGGAAACCTCGGAGGACTTCATGGTTATCAGGATGTGCAAACCTTCCTCGGTTCGAATGAATCGTTATCCCCATTTTCCAATTGGGCTCCGCCCCCTTCTCATGGACTGCTCACCGGGGCCGTTCCGAGGCCCACATGTACCTCAATCGTATCAAACAATACTAATGAAACCACAACAAACGTGGGGACGATACCCTTCCCACTCCATCGCACTGTGCTCCAGCCTGGAGGGGGGAACAACTGTGAAAGGATGGACGGACATTGTCACGCTTCTGGCAAGATGGCACTATTGTCATATTCAAATGAGTCGTGGCATCAGGAAGTAAGAACGCTGTCCACGTTCATCTTCCATGTAGCCAGCTTAACGCTTGTTGCCGTATTCCAGCAACTGTGCGGATCGGGCACACCAACTATGTCTGTGCTGTCAACCTACCACGTAGACCCCTCAAGAACCGCCACCTTCTTCGGCCACCAGGACGGTGTGCAAAGAGCACCAAACTACTACGAGACATCCCTGTCCTGTTATCCAAATGCGGGAAGTGTCATTGTAGGTTTGATACTACAAGGGCGGCCACTCATTCATAATTTCCATGTTACCTGACAGCCTGTACAATTCATTCCCCCTGTGGTCCCGGTTCAAGCCACTGAGGCCAGTGTTCCCGCCGCACATCTTGCCCAAGGAGACTTGGGACCTCTCGGCGGCGGCGCTAGCGCCATCGTCACTTCTGCTAGCTCGGTTGGCTCCCTCGCCACAGCCAACATAGCAAGCTCTCCATCGGAAGCTTCTCTGATACATCCCCTCTCAACTCAGTTTACAAACTCCACAATCTTGGGGTCTTTACAACAGACCTTCAGTGATCTGAGGCCCTGCCCTTGGAAAGACGATCAGGGACGTATATGTGGCAAATTCGTGGGTCGGGATTGTCAGGACCATCTGGCCTCTGCCCACGGCATCGTCAACATCTCGGGTAGCACGCTTGTCACATGCGGTGCTTGCGATCTCCAACTGAAGCGCGAATCTTTTTTGAGACATTTTCGAGAGGTCGATCTCGGATTCCGCCGCTCAAAGTGAGATACCGCCGATGATCGCTGACATTTAACAAGGTACGGATACCTAACTGTGTGCTCGAGAATATTAAGAGACCGTTGTTTCGGCCTGCACACAGGATTGCCGTACACTGCGGGAAGGGGTCCCGTAAACTGTATTGTTTTTATGACTTTTTTTGTGATCGTTCGCTCTTTCTATATGCCCATTTCTATTCCATTCGATGAATGTGGTCATGAACGACGCTGAGCGCTTGACCTGACGCTATGTATATGCTGGTTATCATACATTCGCAAATAAGTAAATTGCAAACTTCAGGCCGCTTGTTCTCATCCCGGCACAGTAGCTCTCGTTCTACTGTCGCACCCATTGCAGTGCACGGTTTTACTTAAGGTAGGGAAGGTCACAATGGAAATACCGCCTGGAAGTGCCCGTCTCGCGCAGGAGGTTCACAGTAAACGCCAGTATCGTGGAGTTCCGGGTGAGAAAAATTGCAACGCCTGTTATGCCACAGAAGCCTTCCAATGATTGGGTGATGTCCTCGCGACAATATAATTGGTCAACGAATCCGCCGCACCTGCCCCCGGAAAGCAGTGGCTTCTAAAGCAGAACCTGCTTGTCCGCAAAGCTACCATCTCTCCACATGAACCCCTCGTCTGCGGCTCGTTCGGTCCTCTCTCTGCGCAAACCAATCCGCTTCTTGGCTATGGGAACCGATACCGGTGACACCCTGTAATGCGTACCAACGAAACCGAGAAGACCAGGCCCACCTAGGAGGGTCGGGATCAAGTGATCAGAACATCGTGCGTAGCAGGCAACCTACATCGCCATCCCATGTGGGTGGCTCCTTGGACGGCGGAACCGCCAGCTACGTCGTACATACAAGACCGCCGACCGCCGAAGCAAATTGCATACATGCATCTCCTGATACCAGTCCCTCTGACACCTCATCTGCCTCTTCCGATATGTTCCCACTACAACAGGCTCGAACGCTGAGCGTTTCCCCTCTCGCGGAGGTACGATTATGTTGCTCAAGGTTTTGGTGATGGTAAGAACTTTAACCTAGTGCTACTTACCTAGTTGCTAAATCCTGAAAATAAGCCTGGCATGTCACGTACATACCGTGCCTACCGGGTCGTACCCCGATTCGAAGCCTAACAGGACTTAAGCCCTACCGCCAGTCGATACCAGCTGCGTATACATACATTGATTCCGCCGCCGAACCTATAGAAAAGGTGACTCCATGTCGATAATAACTTTAATCCTTTCCACCTTCTTGCGCACAGAAATCCATCTCAGATTAACGTACGCCTCGACGGGCTTCTGATGAGTCTTCCTTCATCAGGGGGGAGTCCGCGTGGCTGCCGCATTGCCTACCTTGGATGGAAGGTCGGATGAATGTGGAATTCCAAGAGATGACGTAGGTTTCTGACCGCATGTGCATTGGCGGGGCCCTTAGAAGTTGCGAAGCAACTCTGCACGAGGTAAGAGCGAGACAAATGAATGGTGTGTAGTGACCAAAGGCAAGCGTGTCGGTTTTATTCGCGCTGCTTACCCTAGGAAGCCACTAGCAAGGTTCGTGGCAATCTATGTCCCGCGCACTTTAATCCCTGACCCGCAGGCAGTTCGATCTTCGAAGTCACTCACAGCATCGACTCTGAAAACGACCTCTTTTACCATACGTTTCCTACATGTGATGTAAACGGAGATTTCCGTGTGACCGTAGGCCGTTGCTAGTACTGTCGTCGCTGCCTCCCACTGCCACATAGCACTCTCCCCCGCTTTTGGACTATAATCCCGCGCATGCCTTTGTTTTCGTTACTCGTATGCGTGTGCCGCTTCGAATTCTGCTGTGCAGCGACCATCACTTCCTCCTTCGGATGTCAGGTGTGCGCTGCACTGTAGTTGATGGAACTACCTTGGGCAGCAGTGGGACTTAGTACAATTGGGCAAATGAGTGAAGAAACAGTGGCCGTATCAGCATCGAATTTCGTCTCCGAGTATGCAATAAGCAGGTACGTTGACCAAGCATTCGCGCGAGACAAATTCTACGTGTGCTTGTGCGTGATTTTGAACCTGTGATTTGGCCGCAAGCGGCGAAGACAGGGTGCTGTGGAGGGCAAGACGCCCTGTTGTTTTTGACAGTAGCATGCCATCAACAGGAATAAAGAGGCTGAGAAAAAACAATCGTACCCAGTGTTACAAGGATTGCTCTCCACAGTTGTTGGAAGATTAACATCTGCTAACTTTCCCGTAAGTGTATTATACTCTCCGCGGCTAGTGTCGAGTCAAAAACAGAATATTGATCGCATACTAGTGATCGATCTCGATTCCCGATGCTCAAAATTGAAGAAATCAAAGTCAGCGCTATTGACATGGTGGTATCAGCGACGATGATTGGCGTTTGCTGCAAGGGAAGTGGGAAAAAGGATGCCCCTTCTGTAATCTACATCTTGTTCGCACTTTGACATGGAACAGGGGTGCTGTTAGATCTGGCAAGTCGTACGTAGCCCATTTCCGATGCGTCCATCCCAAGCCGTGACGCGCGAAAATTTGAGCTCCGAAGCTTCACATGAGCGACCTCCGTCTGATGTTTTTGAGAAAATCTCACGTGATGCATGGTGTGGCCGACGTAATTACGTAATGGCGGCAAACAAGTGAAACGATGATCATGGCCGCCGAAGTCGTTAAGTCCCTTGAAGCACATGGACGACTTGATGCTCTCACATTATCATTGCCATCAAGTGTTTCTCTATGAGTGGCCAAGGTCCAAATTCCTTTATTTAGTCCCATATCAACTGTTGGAAATATAGTAATAGTTCTGATATCTAGATTGATCCAGACTTACATGTGTATCAACACATTGTTTGTCACATGACTTGCCTTAGCAATCAGCCCCACAATGATGTCAGTTATGACATCATTTCATACATCATATTCCATGACATTCTCTGCTATTCCATACTATACATAGTAGTAGTTTCCTTTTATGCTACTGGTCCATGCATACCTACTCATGTATATAAACTTGGGGTATCTCTCCTAGAGTCCCCATTGTCTCAAGCAAACAATCTAGTGTTCACTCAAACAACTGAGCCCCTTACAAGTTTTCACTCAAGTCTACAGCTGTTCTAACAAAGGCAAGTGCTCTTGTCTTATTGCTCTTCATAGTAGCCTGTCCTCTGCACAATAGGTTATGAGCCCCACCTTCTAGGCAAGTGCTATTTACCAGTTTGCATAGCTTGATCACTGTTGACAGACACATCACTATGGACCATGTGGGCCTAGATGCGCTAGGAATGGCTGTAGCTATCTTCACTTTGTTGCTAACAGCTGGGTTAAACCAAGCTGTACTTTTACTTCATTATGGTGGTTTTGATCCTTTAATGTTGCAGGAGCTCTTTGTTTGCTCTACTGCCTTTTGGTTTACTCTATTAGGTCTTTCTGCCTGGTGGCAACACCAACAACTGATGCTACAAGAGCTCATTGTTTGTCAAGCTTTAATTCAAGCTCTCATTTGTCATCCACCTACTCCACCTCCACATTATCTACATTTTCACCTTCCCAACATTGATTTCAATGCTGACCTAGATCCTGTACTGCTGTACACCAAAGTTGAGGCAGCTGATGCTCCTCTTCCTCGATGTGCGCTGACTCCTCTTCCTGGGGAAGTCCTTGCTATGAATGAGTTGCTCAATCCTGAGCCTGTTCTTGCAATTGTCGGTGACCCTGATGGTCTCACTGAGTTTGATTTACTCTAACTCGTTCGTGGTTCTTCACTGTCATTACAGGAACTAATCTACAGTCATCACAAGATGTCTCTCATCATCACTAAGAAGACTGAACTTCTCACTGCTGAGCACCATGACAGGATGCATGAAGTGAAATGGAGGAAGTATGTGGTAAAAGAAATAATAGAGTACATTGAGATGTTATACGTATGCAACTGCTTGTCCTGGGAGGAAGCCATGCTGTCTTCTATGGCCTTCTTCAAGAAGCCTAACCCAGCTACATACCTCGTTCTGCTTGCTGACATGGAAACAGCATGGTCCCAAGTACCCCACTTTCCTGGCATCAATTCTCCATACTTCTATCCAGGCCTTCATCTCACATATCATGGCTACCTTACTGACTTCTTTCCCAAACTTTCCCATACCTTGTCACCTCATGCTATAGCTAACTTTAACGGTTGTGATCTTCCTTCAGTTACCTATGAAGATCCTGCCATCTGGACTGTTCTGGCCTTCACCATCACCCATGACACATTTGTCTACATCTACTACAATGTCCACATCCTCTACGATCCCTGCATCTGTGGGCTCATCCCTCCTCTCAGGGTTTGGCATGAACATCTTGAATGCCATTTCTGAGGAGTTTGGATTGATGGGACAACAGACATCCAATGTGTCCCAGGCTGGTTCAGGGAATGCTGACATGGAGGAGACCACTTTGATAGCAGTCTCACTGGGTTTATTGCCAGATTCAAATCTGAAGCCACTTTGGGAAGTAGTCTCAGATATTTGCCAGCTAACAGACATCTTAGCTGGACTGATGGATACGCTGTCGATTGATTCACTTACTGGCCAGGAAAGACAGAAATTCTTAAAGATCTCGAATGTACCATGGAGAATAGTAGTTTTGACTATCTCACAGAACCCTGATGCCAGGGAATACTTGCAATGGCTCTTAGTCAAGCTTGCACAGCTTGAGCTGTTAGACAGGCTTTATCCTCTTCCAGGTTCAATGGATGTACCATATGTATCAGGCAGCTGGTACCATGAGGGAACTGATAGTTGTGTCTTGGACGAATCCTATAATGTCTTTGAGTTACTTACTAAAGATGTACATTTTCACCACTCTGACTGCTTTAATGTTCCATATTCTTGCACCGATCCTTATCTAGGATTTACATCTGGAGGTGAACCTTTACATGATTGCCAATGGTCATTCCTTGGCTATCATTATTTCCCTCCACTAGACTTTGAATGTCTAGAGCACAACAACTCTCACATCCCCAATAGGAGATTTGCTGAGAGAGGAACAAAAATTATAAAGCAATGGAAAAATCCTCATCCATACACTCCCAAGTACTGCAAGCACCATCCATCTCAGTCTGCTAGAGCATCAGCTCGCAGAACCAAAATTCAAGGATCACATTTATTAAATCCTCCATCTATGTCAACTCATCCAACTTGTTCGTTTCTATACAAACATTTGCTTATGGACTTTTGACACCTAGATGTCCAAAGGTCTTTCTAAGCAAATCCCAAAACTTAACAGAGTCAATTATGCCTCTTGGTCAGTTCTTATGAAAGTGTATCTTCAAACACTTGGCATCATGGGAATCATTGATGGCACTGTTGCCTTACCTGGCAGCTCCTCAGGCAGCTATTCAATGCCTGGCACACTAGTGACATATGTGCACAGGGTATTCTTACCCTATACTGCGATCCAATGATCACTATGTCAATTGATGTGCTGGCGACTTCTAACACCAAATGGGTGGAACTCCAAAATCAAGTATGGCACTTCTTCTGCCATGACTATGTTTATGGAATTTCAAAGGCTTATCTGGATTCAAATAAAGCTAAAGGATGACATCATGGCTAAAATCTCTGAAATTACCATGATCATGGTGGCTATCTCCAGACAGGGCATTGCCCTGAATGATAAAATGAAAGCTTTAATTTTAGTCCACTCAATGTCACAAGCATGGGAGCAAGCTCCTGTCAATATCTTATCCTCTATTCCTGCTGATCAATTATCTGCTGATATGGTCATACCTCATATGAAAGAAGTCTGGTCCCATAAATCAGGAAAATCTATGCTTCCACAAGCTGAAAAAGCTTCTGGTTCATCTATGCAAATTAAACAGGAATCCAATTCCCTTCTGGCATGCATGAATAAGCCTCCTCTTTGCAATATCTGCAGAGGCAGCCATAATACTCAAGATCATCAAGGTGGCTCTGGATCTGGATCTTTCTGTGGAGGATGCAAAGGTTGAGGTTGAGGTCATGGATGTGGAGGTTATACTCCTTACCCACAACAGCAGCAGCAACAACAAGGTTCTGGCTCTCAGTGGCTGAGGCCAAAACTGTCGCTGTGGCAAGGGCAAAGCCTGCACCAATAATCTCAAAGTTGAGGGTGCAGAAGCTATTAATTCCGCCTATATCAAAGAAATCCCTGAAGGATCCTTATGATCCTAACACTCATTCCTACAATGGTGAGTTCGGAGGATATGAACCCTCCTATGAGAATTATGAAAATGCTGCTGAAGATTTTGATATTACTGCTTTAAATATTCCCTCTCGCAAACCTTCCCCTGAATATTCTCTCCCAGATCCTACTCCAGTTGAACGAGTTTATTCAAATGACCTCAACACCAATCTCGGCTCGCATGTTATTGCCAAGAGTAATGAATATGATCCTGATCTCTTGAGACAG